TATAACTATTGTTATTGAATTGGGGCAGTTAAAAGGTGATCGAACAAGTCCACCACGGAAACTTCCTGCTTTGGGGGTGGTATGCTCGGAGCAGTCAAACGAACAATTCGGAAGAACAATGCTATCATTGGTGCGCCTTGGAACAAGAACTGGGGAAGACTTGACACATCAGCTAAAAGCGCATACAAATCATTCCACATGAATACCCATTGACATCACAAACCAAACACGACACTGAAACATTATACTTTACGACTGAACACACCCTTGTGTCTTCATCATACACGAAAGATTATCTGTTGTGGTCACATCCATAAAATTCTCATCTCAAGCAGCTCTTGAATCTGACTCTTCGTCATCATCGCCATCACAGTCATCAGCAAGACAATGCATCTCAATAACTCCAACAAGAAGCGCAATCGCCGACCTCGAAGTGATTCCCAAGGATCCACTTCATCAACGTCCTCTGCCTCCTCCCTCTCGGATGGAGAACAAGGACACTCTTATCATCGCGCACCTCAATCAAAAGGCAATCTGAACCAACAGGAGAAGAACAATGTCAACAACAAATGCCGTCGCTCTAAAGGAAAACGCCGATCACGCTCTCACAAGAGAGAAAAGAATCAACTATCACTTCCTGAAGAGGCCAAGTTTGTGGCACTGGACTGTGAAATGGTGGGCATTGGAGAGGACGGTCACACCTCTTCCGTTGCCAGAGTCACGGTCGTTGATTGGGATGGGAATTCCCTCTTGGATGAATACATTCAACAAGCGGAACCAGTTACAGACTACCGTACCTTTGTCTCGGGCATTATTGCTCAAGATTTAGACGATGCCACACTTTCCTTGGAAGACTGCCGAGACATGGTCTTGCAACTCTTGCAAAATCATATCTTGGTAGGTCACGCCTTGAAAAATGACCTCAAGGCATTGGGCATTTCCCATCCTTGGTGGCTGACAAGAGATACCGCCAAGTTTGAACCATTTATGAAGGTTCGGTTTGACGATGGTGTGTTGTGGCCACGCAAACTCAAAGAATTGGTCAGCGAAAAGCTGCACCAAGAAATTCAAATAGAGGGCAAACCACACAGCCCCTATGAAGACGCTCTGGCAGCCTTGGATCTCTACCGATCGGTACGCACCAAGTGGGAGAGTGCCATGACATACAAAATTGATAAGACGAATCAAATTCGATTGCAGCATCATCAACCAGTCTTGGCGCAATAAGAGTGAAGCTAAAATGTTAACTTCTAGCATACTTATTTGCAGCCTTCTGAAACCGTTCTCTATTTCATTCACTCGGTTCTATATACGAATCTGCTTACCAGCAGTCATGCTGTCTTCAATTCGTTTCACCAAGGCATCGGCACCCCAGTCAGTGTAGAAACCAATGGCTTGTTCCTTTTGATGCCGACATAGGACCAAGTCTTTCTTTTCTGTCATCAAAAAGTCGGCATATCGTTCACTGACCAAGCCAGCAGTTTGCGACTGTCCTGCCAGTGCAGAAACGGCAACTGCTTCTTCGTACAAAGACTCGGCATCCTTGTGATTCTTTCGGAAGGCTGCTTGCTCTGCCTTTAGCAAGAGCTGGTAAGACTGCACATTTGGATTGCCAGCCTTCGTCCAGTTTTCAAACTTGACTAGAATTTGATGGGCTGCTCTCCGGTACCGAAATTTCCGACTTTGCCGAGTCATTGCGTACAGAGCAACGCCATGTAAAAAGGCTTCCGGTGGTACCATGAAACAACCGGACGCCTTCTTCTCAAAGCTATCGCCGTTGCTAAGCGCTAGTTCGGCTGCCGCTTCAAAATCACCAAAGTAGACCAACAGAGCCAGTCGATGGAAGTTAAGGTCCCCTTCCAGCTGCGACGGTGGTGTCCATCCCACCGTGTTGAACCACTCACCTTGCAACAGAGTCGTTTGGTTTGATTTGCCCATGAGATTGGCAATCGTTTGGCAGAAGAGCTGGCTTGAGATTACCTGTTCTTCTTGCTTGACTTCTTCCATGAGGTGGATACTTTGGGAGCCGGCTGTAAGAATAGGACCGAGTGGCTTGCCTAGTAGGAATGGAAATTCGATCTATTGGAACAAAGCGTGAGAAATAAAAGGTTTCCCAGAAAAATTGCCAGAGGCCCTACCTGGTTGTCGTACCTGATGCTTGCATAACCCCGACATTGCATACACCGTATTTCCACTTCTCATCCCAACACAATAAGCTTCGAGCATCAAATCGGAGCAATCTTGCAATGGCTGGCGCCAACTTTTGGCTGCAAACGCTGCAGTATATAATGTCGATGCTTCATTGTACTTGGAACCAGTCCGTTGCTGTGTCTTGATTCCAGCTTCCGCAAAAAAGGCAGCAGTATCATAGTCTTTGAGTGCAGTGACAACTACCATACTCAGAGTCCCAAAAGCTGGTCCCGTTTCTGGACTGATTCCATGTTCCAAAGTGATGTCATACATTCGCGTCACCAACGCCATTGCTAATGATATCTTTTGCATCATGTAGGCAGCATAGAGACTTCGATTGAGAAAGGTCATTGTGGATTTTTGTACTTCGTCTGTCATCAATGGCAAGCTACGAGCATAGTCTATTTTTTCCCTTCGAGCTGTTCGAACGATTCTCATCAGAGCCCTCAAGGCCTGGACTGCCACCAACGCTTCATTTCTCACAATTGGACAGCCAAGATCCTTCAAGACCGCAAGACTCAGCTCCAGTGCTCTGTCGTACTTAAGATCTATAGTGGCCTGCTTGTACGTCATTGTTAGGTAAAGTGGCAGCTTTTCCACAGTCGTGCAGTCTTCTCGGAACAGAACTTCATCGGCATAAAGGTCCATTCGATTGACACTACCAGACGCAAGCGCCATCTCGGCACCAATTGTGAGCAGTGGGAGTGTCAGTTCCCGATGCGTCGACGACCACTTGTCAGGTGGCAACAACTTTATGCCACTTGCGACGAATCCGGAAGCGGAATCAAACGCCGAAAGATTGCGGGCCTTTTGAACTGCTCTCAAGTTCAGTTTACAAAACTCTATACGGCGCTGGGGATTGCCTATCTGGCCTTTATTGATGAGATTCACGACATCAAATAGTGATTCCTCGAGCTCATTGCTCCCCAAGCGCCCATACAGAATGAACCCAATTTCAAACTGAAACGCGGGACTACTGGCCTCTCCCAGTGTCAGCACTGCCTCTTGCACCTTGTCATGGACCCAATGGAATCTATCATTTTGAGAACCCTCAATGTATTTTCCGCTTTCCAATTCGCCGTACATACTTTGTAGGTCACAGCTTTCTTTGTTGGCAGCAGTATTGCTGGAATGAGATGACCAAATCAGTTCCATCAACGTATGAGTGAAAGATGACCCTAGATTCGCTGCATATTGCAGCAGTAGCTGCATGTCCTCAGGTAACTTCTTCATGCGATCTTGTATCAAATCTACAACGCTGTTGGTTGACTTCGTAGACTCATCCACTGTCTGCACCGTCCAATCCCATTTTCCAAGGGAAAACGTGATCAATCCCTCGGCTTCAAGCATTGTGAGAAATTCAATCAAGAAAAAGGGATTCCCCAGTGTTCGTTTGAAGCAGACTTTGGCTAGCGGCTCTGTCTTTGCTTCATCGCCCATATCCAGCATTGCCATTATTATTTTGTTGGTATCCCCAATAGAAATATTCCCCAAGTCTATTGTAGTGAGCTTGAATATTCCTTTCTCTGTCTTTTCAGCAAGAATAGAAATTGCTTTGGAAAGGACATGTGAATCGTCGACTTCGTCGGATCGGAAGCATCCAACAATCATAATCCCGTTGATATTTTGAGTATCAGTGAGAAGAAAGTCAATCACCGAAAGAGAGGCAACATCAGCCCATTGAAGGTCGTCCAAGACAATCACCATGGGCGACAAGAATGATCCAAGCACCCGAACGAGTACTCGAAATATATGTTTCCATTGTTCCATTCCAGCCTCAAAGCCATTTTCATCATGCAGTGGGACTCTGCCTCTTTCTTCTTCGGGTAGAATTATCTGTAGCTCGGGTATTAATGTGACTAACAGGTGTACTTCGGAACCTAACTCTGATATCAGCAGATTTCCAACACTCGAACTTCCGTCTTTTAATTTCTTCAAATGGGCTTCCTGGCAGACTTTTCCAAAGGCTTGTGCAATTCCAGAGTATGGAGTATTTGTTGCAAGCCCGAATTTCCCTTTGACGAAGATCGCATTGTCAAGCTCATTGGTCCAACCCTGTAACCTCTGCGAAAGCGCGGACTTGCCCACTCCGCCATCACCCTTGATCACGACAAATTCCTTGAACCCCTGCTGTGGATCTTGGCCATTGGAATTGGTTACTACCCGTCGAAGTCGCGAGTGAAGTATCTCAGATTCTACCTCTCGTCCAACAAATTCAATCGAACCATACCGCAGCTTGCTTTGTCTTGGCCCTTGGACGCGAGCATTGTTCTTAGTGGACCGTTTTAGTTCCATCAAATCAGAGGTGGTCAGGGATCTTCTGGAGTCAGCAAAGGAATCATCACATCCAACATCTTCAGATAAACTTGTTTTTGATAAGGAAGTTGCGTCATCACTTGTGGAGTGGTCCATCTCGTTCTTGCTGTGCTAGTCCCCTATTATTGCTATGATAGTCTATCTATTATTGTCTCAGGATTTTGTACCAATGATCAGAAATTCAGGTTGTAGTCGGATGGGTCCTTTTCAGAGTTTACAAAAGCTATTTCAGCTCTATCCTTTTGCAAATCATCACAATACCAATTTCACTAAAGTATTATCAGTGCCTGGGAGGCATCTCTTGCCACACTTCACAGGCAACAAGTATCATTTTCTTCGAAACCACCACCAGAACCACCAGCCGCCCAGCAGCAGCAGCCAGCCACCAAGAGTCGTACTGAAGCTCATGTATGTCTATTTTACACCAAGAAAAGCAATTTCATTTTCTATGCCACCTTGCTTTGACATGGTTTCCAACTATTGGCATTCGGCTGAATACACTAGATCAAGTATATAGATATGACAAGTTGACGACAGTAGTAGTAGAGTTCTCGTCTCCTTGACGCCAATTGCCATGACGCGTCGAAGAGCCCGAGTCCGATGAGTCAAATAACGAATATCCGGGTTTATATCAACCATGTAGCTTCAGTACTTCTTCTACGTTTCGAGATTCAAAGCTCAGCGGCTGGCTATGATCGACACGATTCAAATCGGCATCGACCACCAGCCAACGCTGCTGGTTCAATTCAAATATTACCTTCGCTACTTCACAGGTGTTGATAACAAACAGCAGTGGAGATTGCATTGATTTGACAGGCAATCGAATTTGTTATCTTGCAGAAGAATCTATAGATCATGGCACCGAAAGATTATAGCACAAAAGGCCCACAACAACAGCAGTTGTACTTGCAACATCATCACCATAGGAGGAGTACTCCCGTTTCCTTGGACGATGAAATCAGCTTGGTCAGCTCAGGAAGCAATACTTTAAATGACAAACATCCACGGGGATGGAAACTTAGCCTGCTAATTCACTTGAGGAAGCTAATGCGTGGGGAAGACGACACGATAACAACAGCCGAAGAGGGGGAAACCGATAGCGATCAATCGAGCCAACAACCACAGCATCAACAATTGGCGAGTAAATGGGGATCAGCTGCCATGACTACTGTGGCAGTCTTTCTATTGTACAAATTTGCAAAGAATCGAAGACTGAAACAACGGTTATGGCCCATTCTCTTGGCATTGTTCAAGAAACCAGATCATCAGAATGCTATGCAAGTTTCATTGTCACTACTCCGATCAGCGGCTGTCCAAGGGATCATTACAAAAGCCTTGATTGGAACTTCGGAAATTGTATTTCAAGACTCATCATCCAAAAAGTGGAAGCGATCAGCCCTTCCGCCGAACAGTCCCACCCTGCAATCGGATTTGCTCGAGTTGTTGTCAAAGAATGGTTGTGGAGATGTCTCCACGATGCCACCAACGGTATGGTCCAAGCTGAGCGGGCCTCTTCTCACTGCACTTCCCTTTGTTTACTTGGGTTTGGTATACAAGATTTTCAAGAATCTTCATGGCGATGATAATAGCAATGCCAATTCCAAACTCCTGGATAACTCGAAACAAACAACGAGATTTACTGACATTGCTGGAGTCGATTCCATCATTGGAGAAGTGAACGATATTGTTAGCTATTTGAAAAATCCAAGCTACTATCTACAGCTAGGGGCGCAGCCCCCACGAGGAGTTCTGTTGCATGGGCCACCTGGTTCCGGAAAGACGCTCTTGGCTCAAGCGCTTGCTGGCGAAGGGGATTGCGATGCCTTTATTACTTGCAGTGGTTCAGAATTCTGTGAGATGTATGTTGGAAGAGGTATGTTGTGAACTTTGATATTGAGTTATTGTTGTCTTGTTCGTTCGTTGTTCCACCTTCTCTAACACGATGATTCTTGTCATTCACCTCTTCAGGAGCTGCACGTGTTCGATCTGTCTTTGCCGAAGCACGAAAGACTGCAACCCAGAATCACAAAGAAACATCGTCGTGGTTCTCATGGAATCCTTATCAAAGAAGGAGGATACAGTCTCACGGCAGAAGCAAGAATAGCAATCTGAGACCGCCTACCGCTATTATCTTTATTGACGAATTGGATGCCTTGGCCAAGTCCCGATCTGGAGGTAATGGTACAAGCAACGACGAACGTGATCAAACTCTGAATCAGTTGCTCATTGAAATGGATGGCTTCTCATCCCGCCAATGTGGTGTCACGATCATTGTGATTGCGGCTACGAATCGTGCCGATGTCTTGGACCCTGCCATTCTCCGCCGATTTGATCGACAGATCCATGTTCCATACCCAAATGCCGTTGGCCGAAGAGAAATTCTAAAGATCCATGCCCGCAAAATCCAATGTCAACGCCATGCGGTGAATTGGGATATCCTGGCCGCGCAATCCAGCAACTTTTCGGGATCAGACCTGAGGAATGTGGTGAACGATGCTGCTTTGTTGGCTGTCCGTGACCGTAGTCAGTCCGTCCAAGAAAAACACCTATTGCAGGCCCTACAACGAGCCCGTGCCATGAGAGGGAACTTACAAACAACGGGCAATGGACTGATTGGCAACAATGGAAGCTTGCTCTGGACTTTTGCCAATAGCCATGATGGCCCCCCCTCAATGTAATTAATCGAACCGATCACAACTCTCTCTTCAATTCTTACTGAACATTCATTCGAAACAAGATCACACACATAACACTAAAGTAATAGAATGCTTTCCGAACCTGTTATTATGTAATGTGTTGTAGACGATGTCCGTGATTGGTTGTGGAAGAATAAAGCGAAAGTGTAACTGTGTATTGGAAACAAGGATGTTGGAAAGACCTCCAGGTCGCAAATACAATCAAATCATCAGAAAGATTCATGCAAGATTCTCCTTGGCCGTTTCAAACATCAAAATAGTTGTTTAAAGTGCAGTGTGCATCTTCCAACGGTTTTTTTTACAGTGTTATTCTATTGTCTTGTCAAACATCAAACCAAAATTTTATTTCATCTTCACACGTGCTCCCGCACGCTTACATTCACAATTTGTAGTGTTACATCTTTTTCTTCCTTCTTTTTGCTCTTTTCTTTCTATTAGTACATTTTTTGTTTTTGTTTCTAGCACGACCCATTGCGTCAGCGCTATCGAGCTGCCAAAGCTCGATTTAGCTGCCGAAAGAGGCGGTTGTACTTTTGCTTAGCTCGTAGCAACTCCCCTGATTTCTCCGATTCGTGAGTAGTATCCGAAGATGATGATTCTTCGTCTACCAGATTCGGTGGGCAATTGCTCGTTGATATAGTATGAATCATGTTCTTGACGCTTTCAGAAGTCGTCAAGTGAGTGATCCGATTGCGTTGGGAGGATAGTTGAACAATAAGCTTGCTCAATGCAGCCGAGTCTGAACGACGTCGACTCCCCGTAATCATTTTGCTCTTTTCAGCATTGCTTTTCCGTGGACTGGATCCCTTGATACGCTTTGTCGGCGACGGTGACCGCCTCCCACTTCTCTTCTGAGCCTTCAAGAGTATATTGCTCAACCGGTGGGCGCGTTCGGATTGCAGGGTCTCCACCAAAAGCTGAATTTCCGTTGTCATCTTGTATTCACGCAACATGTGCTGATGTTCATCCGCTGTGTACCATAAGGACCGTATCTCCTTCTCAGACTCCAAATGATAGGTAGCTGGATAAAAGTCCTCTTCCTCGGGCTCTCGAAACAACACCGTCCTCCCACTCATACGATTCCTACGCGTGCTTTGAGCGGATTCAGGTTCGATCGTATTCAGAGGAGCCATGTGATGGACGGGAGAAGGGGATGATTAAGTCTGGATAGGAATGGTGTATATTGTTTGGTGTTTGCTGTAACACAATCAGTGTATGTATATCAGTGTAACTGATGTTTTCGAAGCAAAAAGAGTTACGTAGAGGGAATATTGCGAGTTGATTTGGGAGGGAGAATCTGCGAGTTGGACCACAAAATTCAGTTCAAACTCATCGATTTGTTCTGCAGTTTTTACCCGCGTACGACCAAACTAACCGAAAAGACATATCGAACTTCAACGGTATGCAAACCTGCGCCCAAACGTGAGGCCAAAACTTGGCCAACCCAACGCCTTCGCAAAAAAAAAGAACTTCCATCAGAATTCTGATTCCGAACGTCCCTGCCATGTCACGTTCCAGTCAGCGAATCTGTCCACGTGATGTATCTGTCCGTCTATACGTGTATGTCACGCAAAGATACCCCTTCAAGATTGCTCCAAGAACGGCGGGATTGGTACTCACAATGAATGATGGGACGTCTAGAGCCCATCGAATCGATTGAAACAGTGCAAAATGCACCGAATAGAAGTACTAATGTACTAATTTTTGCAAGCATCGGATGCGAGGACTTTTTTGAACTTGACTGACTCGCCCAAAATTCCAACAATCCTAGTGGTGCCGTTCTCATCCTCAAAACAGCAGTGCCCTTGCATTTCACTACCTCCGGTTTGTCATCGTCCAAGCAAGACAACACCGCTTTGAGTTTTTAGAATGATTGTAGATTTCTGCCTTGGAATGCGGTCCGGCCAATACAAAGTCTTCAGATGCTGAGACCTTCTGAAAACGTTAGGTGTTGCTTTTTTTTGCTGTGGTTGCTTCCAATGAGAACGGAGGCAATCCGAATCCATTCATTGGTCCAGGAACATCACAGATGTAATCATTTTAGACTTCGTTAGACTTCTTCTTTCCTTGCAGGTATGCTGTCCGGCCAAGATACACAAGTCTTTAGATGCTGAGAACTTGTGACTTTAGATCTCCTTGCTTCGAGCTATGGTAGCTTCCAAGAACACAGGAACCCAGTTGGTTCGTTGCCCATGACCAAGAATTGGTTCAAACAAAATAGATAGTGCAGCTATAGCTTTGCCATTGATCGTGACATTGCAGAAAGCTTGTTTCAGTCGTAGGCAGTTTTCCCACAAGATTCTTGAAGAGTTTTCTTGTTGTCCACCGTGCTCTCGAACTTTGTGGTAATTCTTGAAGATGCAAAATAATGAGACTAGATGCTCCTGGATTGGCTTCTGTTGTATCAGAGCATGATGAGCTCCACGAACTGACAAACGGCACATGGTGGGTCCAACAGCAGATATGTCTTGGAACCAGCTCGCTGAATCTAGATCTTCTCTCGCTACTTTTTCACATTGCAAGTAGATGATAGGCGATTCTAGAGGCTCCCAAACAAAAGAAGAGAAGCAACGGACTCTCATTTGCGAGTAGCAACCGTATTTTTGCCTAATGGATAGACCTGGATCGCAAAATGCCGTTCCATCTTTCTTGCTTGCTTCCGATCAAGATCCTGTAGACAAAAGCTTCGCCAAGGACTTGAAATGATGCACAATGACACCACTTAAGGAGTGGCAAACGCACAAGCAGAGAGTATGCCGGCTGGTTAACCCCAAATCCAAGCCCGGAGCAAAGAACTATAGTAGCGGTCTGCAATGCAACGATGATGTATAATATCTTCACAAGAACGCAGCTTAGCGATCCATTTGGGTATAATTTTCTTGCTATGCAGTGATCAACTGACGCCTGTTGAATTGGAAGCAAACGTTTGCGTCTCCTTCTGAACGGTCAGCTGGGCGAAAATGGAACTGATGTCAGCATGCTTCCACAGCAGAAACGTGACACCAGAAAGCAGCAGTTTCTACTCGTAGTGTCACGGGTGTTTTATGATTGTTTCTACTCTCATAATGAGTCATACACGGCTATACTGTGATCATCAAAGCAAAGTAGCACGAAAAAAGACTTGTTAGCATGGATCAGGGCGAAAAGATCGCGGGTGTCATTGTTGTGCGAATCTTCACGCGGAGAATGGGAAGATACGCCATTGGTGTTCTGCCTACTTTCATTGTAACATGGGGAATCCTTACCTTACATATATCAATCATTTAAACGTATCACTGCTAGCAAAATGGAATCATTGTGGATACCCATCAAATACTGCCGACACGAAAGAAATCATTGTGGTAGGTTCTTTTGGAAAGGTGCAATTCTTGTTCTCGGGAATTTTTTTGTTGGTGACGGCCGGAACGAGAGTTTTTGGATCGCGCAAACGCGCGTTCAAACGTGTTTGGTCTGACCTCCGATCGGTTTTAATCTTTTTTGAATAATATGGTATATGTCAGGAGGAAAAGATTTGCAGGTTGATGAGGTACAAGAAGCTCAAAAGAGTGCTCCTGTTTCACCCGAACAGAGAGGAGATCACAGCGCCAACGACGTACACATGTTTCTTCTACAGTAGAAAGTGTGGAACGGTCAAGCGAGCTTGCACAGAGTGCACAACCGAAGGCAGTAGAATAGTAGGATAGTACGTCTACATATATACGACGTAAACAAGAGATCAACTGCTGACACGGGAGAATGCACCACTAGAACAGCTGCACTGTTAAGACGAGACTCAGCGATGCCAAATACGAAGGTAAGCTGCAGTCGTAAGGTGTTATTCCTCGCATTCGTGGTGAGCATCGGAGCGGTTGCGGTAGTGTCCACAACAGCGTGGAGAGACCCCTTATTGGCACTACCGGACAAGAACCACACAATCCAGCCGGATTGTGATTTCCGGGGTAACAGGGAGTGCATACTTGAGGAAGTAATGCGGAACCAAGGGCGAGTGAGTCAGTAAGCCAGTGAAAGGTGAGGAACAGACTGGATGGCAAGGATGCTTTTAAAATCACACTCAAAGGAGGAGTCTACAGTGTGATAGATCTGAGGGGGAGAAGAACGAGTTAGGACGGTGGACGAGAGATCAGCTCACCGGAGTGGAAACTATTGCGAAACCAAGTGATCGTACACACTATAGTCTTACTACGAGTGCAAATACGGATTATTACATCGCAGCGCAAAACACGTACAGTACGAACCTCTTCTGGCCTGGTACTTACTTCGACTATGTGGATGAGGATTTAGGCACTCCGATGAATGCGGTAGCTGCACGGGATGCTGCTACAAGTACTTGGGGAGGCTTCGACATGGTTCACGTCCTGAAACGGGATAAGGACTTTACACGGACCAGACTACAAGTAGATAGGACGGACCAGAAGATGGTGGTCTCGCTGTCATGGATCGAGTCAAGGTGTACTGGAGGTTTTGGACTAATCGAAGCGGACAATAATGGAGGTTTTGGACTAATCGAAGCGGACAATAACAGAGTTGACTGTGCGCCAAAATTATAGCTCAATGTTTGTATCCGATGCATCGTCAGGGATATGCTTCGAAGTTGGAGAGTTGGTCTCAGTCAGCGGATGTCTCGACACAGGAGCGGGATTGGGTTCTTTTATGGCAATTTCTGTCATGACAATCCGTCGAACGCGTTGGTATCGTTACCTTGCGGGGTAAAGCAGTGGAACGCAGAATTAGGAAAAAACGACGAGGTATTCTAACTATGGAGGGGTATCGTTAACGGAAAACAGGATGGGCGAGATATTCATGACGGTTAAAGAGGCGAAATACTGTTCCAGCTAGCATAAGCGTAGGGGTGCTTCTAAATATCTCGGGCAGAGTGAGTGACTGGACTGGATTGGAGGAGGAGTCCGAGGTTAGGTTGTATGTTAACCAATATATCCTATATGTTAAAATGTAATAAAATAAAAACGAAAATGATTGCAATCACAACAAGGGAGAGTTGGAATATTGATGTGAGTCGTATGAATGACTACCTCGGACCGTCACGGCAAAGACAACACGATGCGAATAACATAATGTGCATCGAGGATATTGGGCTTTGGGGGAGAGCTGTCAAACTGATAATTCGTATAGATGAAACAACACGGAAACAAGAGGACTCATATAAGTTTTGCGCCGCAAGGTTGTGTACGACACTGTCATTTCCGAGGTCATTCAGTAGGTGGTAAACATCTTTCCCAACCTTGTTTGCGCGTAGACGAGCGGTCACACTTGACCAGGATCTTATTTGCTACCCATAAATCGCATCATATCAGTAATTGCCCAACTCTTGCAAATTACTTTTGTCTGCCATTTGGTCTCCGACTCATCATCCTGGACTTCTTGGATCGTAGCAGTTAGGCTTTCGCAAGAATTCACCATTGGCAATGCTGAAAACAAGTCTGTGGAGGGGGAAATACTCTAGCATCGCAGATGATCTAATACCTCTTGCAGTAGGATTTCATATGGAACTATGATCTTGAGGAGATGAGGTTGATTGGTGTCTACGTTTGTCATTCGTAATCAAAAGCGAATGAAAAAGAGTACCGACAGCTTCCACAGCATGGAGGGTTTCTTCATCCCATTCATTGCAAACTACGTTCTCTCCAAACATAGCTGTGGCAACCATAACATCGTCTAGGTCCTTGTTGTATGTAGTCAGAGTAAGCGAAGCCCAATCTTTGCCTTTATGAGCGAGGCATATAGCACGATGGTACAGAACGGGTTGCTTTTTTTGATCGAGCTCGGCTAGATTGTAGACTTCTTCTGCTGCAACTTGACTGCATCGTTCATCATGTCGTTGCTTGATCTTGACATGTGTAAAATTCCAGGACTTGAAGGTTTGAGAACAAGCAGGGCACGGGGACCTTGATTGACCAGAAGTTTGTTGCCATGCATGTTGAGAAACAGGCGGAACAAATGGTGCAATTCTTGCCACATTTTATGACAAACTAAGGCGCCGGCGACTGGATATCAACTTTATTGTATTTAGAACAAAGTCGTAACTGCGAAGGGCCCTCAACAGACTTCTCGTCATGGCGTCTCTTGCAAGGCAGTGTCAAGGACCATTTCATATCGGGTGTCGGACGAAGACCAGTTCTTCGAAACCAATAAAGCTTTGGATAAAAACCAACGCATCGAAGTTGTTATTTAGATATGAATTGATTGATGTACAAGGTTTGAAGTTACTAACTTTCTTGGGTGTGGAGATATTGGAAAGCAAAGTTGGATATGTTGCTGGTTTCGTTTGGAGATGAATGATATATTTATATTTTGCAGAAAAAATTAAACCGGCGTGCGCGCGCAAAAAACCGTGCGGAAATGGAAAATCGAATCATCGTCCGACAATAATGGATGAAATTTCTTGCAACACGGATGATGACACAAAGAGACCACATATTAATACTTGAATATACACTCTTCTCTTCACGCAAAAACAGCTAGAATCGTATTAATACATTCATAAACCTCAGCATGGATCAGGAAGAATCAGTTCAATCGCAAGCCCATAATAATGATGACAACGACAACAATATGGAGGCACCCGAAACTCTTCCATATGTTACCACTTCTGCAGTCTTGCGCCAATTGAATCAAAATCTCCAAGAGTTGGCTCCTCCAGGAGAAGAAGCTTATTGCAAACCGCGTTTTGAATTGCAAAAACGATTGCCAGATGGCTCTACGATTCCCGCATCCCAAGACGATTTGAGTGCTTCGGATTTGCAAAACAAGATTGCCCAGTCGGCCAAGTTTGTCTCTCAGCTGGTACCGAGCGATCGCAAGAAATGGGCCGAACAACAGCGACAAAGTGGGAATTCGCTATTCCAACAAGGCCAATACAAGGCGGCCATGGACATTTATCTTACTTGTTTGGTCGTAAAGGAAAGCAGTTCACCATCCAGAAGCCAACCACAAGATGCTGCTCCCGATTTGGAATTTTTGTCCCAAACCTTGTTGCCCGTTCTGAACAATCTGGCCCAATGCACCCTGCAACTGGGAATGCAAAAGAAGACCAAGGAATTTTGTGGAATTGCCTTGGAAGAAATTGGGGACAACGCCTCTGACATTGACCCCATTGCCTTGTGCAAGATTCATTTTAAGCGGGCCAAGGCACATCGATTGACGGGGCACTACTCGGAAGCCCGACAAGATTTGAATCTATCACTCTCGTTTGTAGAAAAGAAGGAAAAGGCATTATTGAAAGAGGATACTACTATGGAAGAAGAAGAAGAAGACGATGATAGTGCTGCTAGCATTACCAATCCGTTTCGTCAAGCCATTCAAAAGGAATTTCGTCATTTGGAGGCTGCCGAAAAAGAAGCTCGCAAGAATCGGCAACGACAAAAGAAGTCGATGCAACGAGCCTTGACATCAAACAAATCAGCTTCCTCGGTGCCCTCTGGCAAGAAGGCGCTCGACGACACTAGCTCTGGGATTCCAGTACCACAGGGACCACGCAAGTATTCGACACTGCGGGCGAGAAAGAAAGTGTCTCCAGCAGATAGTACTGGTACTGAAAACGCTCAAGAGGGTAGAATGGACATTCGGGATCTTTCGTACTGGCAATACTACTGGTTAGTGGTCGCCCGAGTGGCCGAGACCTTGTTGCTATTGATTGGTGATGAGGACGATGACGAGAATAGCGTGAGAGCTCGTCAAAGTCAAGTGCATTCTAGACGAGATGATCGAAAGACAAGATGATCAGTAAAGTGGGAATGATATTCTATTTATGATGGAAGCGAATTCGTTTCGATCGCCATTGTCGATTGAGTGGGGCTATGCTAATTACCTTGGATTGCGGCGGGAAATACGAGGATGAAGATCGCGGGGGATTTGGAGACGAATATCAAACTGCAATATGGTATGGTCCGATGGCCTCATCGGCACGCCAACGCTATGCAACTCGATGTTATGGAGGTTCTCAAGCCGGCGAGCATTAATCCAAAACTGGTAAAATTTGCCGACCTTAGGGAAGAATTCAAGAACCAATTTTCTTGATGATGTTGTTGTAGCACTGTCTATGATTTTGCCACTCCTGAAGCCACGACTCTCCAAGGTTTTGAGGGTTTGCATTTTAGGTAAATCCTGCTCCACGACCCAAATGGCACCAAAGCCGTTGGTGCCTAGGTTACAGCTGATGGTTGTCGCATAAGTATATGATTCTTGATTTGGAATGGCGGCCGCAAAACATTGTGTGCTTACTGCAAAGTACTTTGGGCTTTGGACTGTCTCAAAAATCTTGCTCTGGGACACTCGATCTCCCAAATGCAGCGATATTACGCAAATGCCAAGATTTCCATTCATACACTTGGATGTCTGTTTAAGATTCAAGAGGTCGCGAACCGAAAGAAAGGATGCCATTTGTTGCTTCAGTTCAACTGGAAGGTCTTCAAGGGTCGGGGGCGACTTGGTGGCAACATCCTTTTGTTTCTTTTTCTTTCTACGGCTGATACGGAAGCTGGGCTTGCGGAGCACTCTTCTGGTAAATGATTTCATCGTGTCTTTGTTTTGAGGAAACACACACTTGTTTGTGTGCTGTTGGTGGAATTGCTTCAACCAAATCGAGTGTATCCAGTCGTGCCACATTCGAGTCAGTCGCCTTTCCTCATTCTTCAAAGATACCGGTAGATAATGTGACCAAGTCGACTACGTTCTTCTCAAACATCTCCGAAAACAAGATGCTACAGTACTGTCGGTATCATAACATCTATCAACAGTTTTATTTTGCGGAACTATGCCCCGGAAGGAATAATTTTCTACGAAGTAATCAATACTGATACCTCTTGTTGCGTTTTTCATTGTGTATTAACAGAAGTCGGACTGGTCCAAAACTTCCGAAATCATCGATTGGGACGAGTCAGGACTGATTGTCGTACAGACATAGTTCAGATGCCTTCACCCAACAATGGGGATATTTTGGCACAGTGGAATAACTGGTAGCATGAATCTTCAATCTGCAAAACGCTCACGATAATTATTTGACACTCTGCGAAGCTGGGAGCGTACTGTATTAATAGTCATCACAAGATTGAAGAACGAAAGGGAGAATGAGCCATCACTATTGAAAGACTACTGGCGTGAAGTCACCGGGCATTTTCTGTTCTTTGAATCGGAAGGATGGTACACCTCGAAACTGAGGACGAAGCTAGTTGGGACCCAAAGTCGATGGTCGTGAACGGCAATGGAATGCGTCTCTTTCCGTTTGTTGGGGCACAAGCGACAACTTTACCAGAATCGAAGCATATATTTCTGAGGATACTGTGACTATGGCTTGCAGGCAGCTCTTGTTCGACAATCCAGATATTCCCATCGCTCCATCCCTGTTGTGTCCAGGAGGTTGCAAGATAACGTCATGGGGTGAAAGCGTACTTCTTGTTGCGGGATGATAGCTGCAAACATTTGGTTGGTGTGAGAAGTCTAGAAGACTTGGTTCCGGGATGCTTGGTCGATCAACGGCAAGGAGTCCACGGTGAGATCTAGATCCGAGATGGTGGTAATGGCAAGATGAATCGATTCTCGGAGAGAAAGGAAGGAGGCGACTCCTTGCTTCACTACTGATACTGTTGGAAGGTCATTCAAAGCCGAAATATGTTCGTTCCTTGCTGCAGTTTCTCTCTTGATCTTGAACCTTCACATCATATGGGTGATTGGATTGTAACTATCTATGAGAACACCACAAATGCTGAGACCCACACACTTAGACAATTTTATGTGCTATAGGGAACTGAGTTGTTATCTGGGATGGGAGTAGTGCAATGCAAGCCACCTCATTACAGCGATGCCAGGGCCAATAAGGGGAAGATCAACTTCAAACTGAATTGTGGTATGGTTCGATTGCTTCATTGTATGATTCGATTTCTTCATTGCCAAATCCATCCGATGCAACTCCATGTTGTGGACGATAAACTCATACCGTGCAGTATTGCTCCAAAGCTGATACAACTTGCCAACTTTCGGAAAAACAGAAGGGCAAATTTCCTTGATTCTGCTGATGAAGCCTTGGCGACAACGTTGCCGCTCCTAAAACGACGAGTCGTTGAAGCTTCAGGGCTTTTATTTTCAGACAGATTGCGCTCGATAATCCAAATGGATCCTCGGCGAAAATGGTTGGCGATTACGTTGTATCTAAAGAACATCACATGAGATTGTGATTCTTGATTTGGAAAGACGACCGCAAAATACTGGGCCATCATGTGGTTTGTTTGAAACCCCCTGTTCTGGGACATTCGATTTGTCCCAGGCGACAAGCATATGGCAATTTGAAGACCCCCTACTCATGCACTTGGATGTCTCTTTAAGATTGACGAGATCGCGCAACGAAAGAAAGGATGCCATGTGTTGCTTTAATCCGAGCACTTTGTGGCAACAATTTTCATTGTGGTTGAATGTTTGGTGGACTACAATTCTAGTAAATTGCACACCCATTTCAAATACTGAGAACAAGGAGTGTTATCTTCATCAATAAGGATTACAAAACGTTTAGGATGTGGAGGGACGCTCCAGAAGTGCTACGCAAATCTTTGGAGCCGCTTGGGCAGAGCAGTAATGGCCGACGCCAGAAATAGCGAAAATATCTGTGCTCCGGGGCAGAAGGCGACGAACTTCAGACTGAAGTCTGGCATGGTCCGATGGCTTCATTGGCTTCATTGGCTTCATTGGCTCCATTCCCAAACCCACGAGGTGCAATTCAATGCTGTGGACACGCAATTGAGACCGTGCGATATGTATCCAAAACTGGTAAAACTTGCCAACTTTCGGGAAGAACGAAAGAACCAATTCTCTTGATTCTGCTGTTGAAGCATTGGCCACAGCCTTGCCACACCTGAAATGACGACTCGTTAACGCTTCAGGGTCATCATTTTTAGATAGATTCTGCTCCAGAATCCAAATGGTTCCATGGCTAAAGTGGTTGTTGGTGAAAGCATTGCAACTTAAAGTAGTTGCATAGGACTGTGATGATGCTTGCTTTGGAATGAGGGCCGCGAAGCACTGTGTGCTTCGGGTTGCTTGGAAACTCCCGCTCTGAGATACTGGACCAGGCAGATATAACGATTTTACAGAAATGCCAAGATCCCAAGTCTTTGATATTCCGCTTCGCGGAATATCAAAGACTGGCCTTTTGGAACCGCACGCTTCGCGCGCAATCCAAAAGACCAGCTTCACACCACAACCCACCAGAGTCACACCAAGAAAGAATCCCTCACGGAAGAAACCAGGCGGCAGGCGCCAGTTGGCTATCTTCGATAGTATCCGCATATAATGAAAATGGCACGCTTCGATTTCAAACACGAATGAATCGATTTCAATGCCACGATTGCATACTGCAAAGTGTCTATGGTGAGGTGTTCTAGAGATGATCATTAATGGGGCTATCATCGCTTTGGAAGAAAGCGTATGCATATGGCTTCATGGCCAAACCCACAGTACTCAACGTCATTTTGTGGAGGTGCACTACAGTCCCTTGAGTATTAATCCACAACTGATAAAGCTTGCCAATCTTCGGGAAGAACGGAAGCACCAACTCTCTTGTTGGTGTTGCTGAAGCCGAGGCTACGATTTTGCCCCTCTTGAAATGAAGAGCCTTGAAAGCTTCAGGGCTTGGATTTTTAGGTAAATCCTGCTCCACAATCCAAATGATTCCGTCACTATTGCCCTTGGATTCTAGTTTGCATCTGAAGGTTGTTGCATAAGATTGTGATTCTTGATTTGGAATGACGATTGAAAAATTCTGTTTGGTTGGGCCTGTTTGAAATCTCTTGCAAGAGCTCTGAGACACTTGATCTGTTAGAGGTGACGACATTACAGAAATACCAAGATCCTTTTTCATGCACTTGGATGTCTCTTCAAGATAGAAGAGGTCACGAACCGAAAGAAAGGATGACATTTGTTGCTTCAGTTCGGCAGGAAGATCTTCAAGAGCCGAATAAGTCGACTTGGTGGCAACATCCTTTTCATTCCTTTTCTTTCTGCGGAAAGGGCTGCATCTGGGCTTGCGGAGTATTTGTTTGACAAACGAGTTCATTGTGTTTGTGTGTTTGAATATTTTGTGGACTTTGTTGGTAGCCGTATCATTGCACGACCCGAATCTCAAACCCGCCCATCTCGGCAAAGTGAGTACAGATCTATCTGTATAGTCACGACAAAAAAGGATTAAAACATAAACACCAATCTAGACTCTGTTTCCCATGGGTGTGTGCCGGTATGTCTCAAGGACAAAGGAAATACAGCAATCTAGTACATCGTTCATTCTCGATCTATCTGCAGATTTTAGTACGATAACTGTAGTTTTACTTGTTTCAAGCCTAGTCGAACACTTGACGCAACTCTTCTCTTTCTATTAATTCCCATCCAAGGTCAGAAACCATTGATTCCACCTTTTCCTTCGTCACTCCCTTGGAGCGCAATAGCATAGTTGATTTACCGCCAGAATATCGGGCAATATCGACAAAGACATCTTCACTGGAAATGGACCTCTCGGCACCTGGATGCAACAGATTTGATAGAGCCGAGTCGATGCAAGGGGAGAATGATTCCATGCCATCGAGTAGCTCCGAGCCAGCTATTTCGCTCATGGCCTCAAGCTGCGCTTCTTTCGGAAGTGAACCCTCTGGAAGCTTCTGAAAGAGCTCTGTAATCTTTCCGGGACTGCAGTGCAGTAAAGCTTGAACAAAGGTGGTGGTCGAAATGTAGTCTTTTCCTTGGACGTTGGCGATTAGTGCTGCAGTTTCGAAGACTTGCACTAGCTCGCTGTCAATCTTGTCCAAAGCATTAAGCTTCTGGAGAGGAGATTGTTTCTTTTTCATGTTGTCCCACGTGAAAAACAATGTGGTACTGTACCAATGTTTGGAAGCATGATATATTGAAGCTATGTGGTGTGTGTTCTTGTTTGTGGAAGATTGTACCGGCAGGCGGGCAGAGGCGGGTTTCAATTTGAAGCGTGCCCCTCGTGACTCATCCAATCACACGACTCCAATTTGACTGCGTATTTTATGTACCGTCTCAATATACCGGTATAATCGCACGGGACAACAGAACATCACTGAGACAACATCATTCAATCTTTGTCAGATGGGCGCTGCAAAATCAAAAGAGCAAGATTTAACACCCTATGAATTCGTCCAAGAAGACTGGCCGTGGTTATGGGCAATATGGGAACCTGAGAATTTAGACTGGAAGATTGGGCTTTCGGACGACGAGATCCAAGAAACTGCTCGGCGTCAAGCAAAACTGCCAGTTCCCATTACAGAAAACCTATTTCTAGGGAATGCGTTTAGCGTCGAGTCCATCGAGAAACTCAAGGCGAGGGGAATCACAGCCGTTTTGAACATGGCAGGTCCAATGGCATTGAAACGAAAGACGATACGAGCTTACAAGAATCATGGAATTGAGTATAAGCAAATCGATGGAGATGATGAATTTGAATATCCTCTACTTCAGAAGCACTGGCTGGAGGCTCACGATTTCATCAAGTCTACAACAAAAGACAGAACAGGAAAGTGTGTTGTCCATTGCGTTGCGGGAATCAATCGGTCGGGACTGATTGCTGCTGCTTGTTACATGATTGAAACCCAGAGTCCAGTGCTGGAATCAGTAAAACACGTGCGAAAACAACGTGGAAATGTTGCAATATGCAATGAGGGCTTTCAAGCTCAGCTCGTAGCTTTCGCTCGAGTACATGATCTACTAGGACCACAGCCTGGAACAGAAGAGTCAATTGTGAAACAAGCCCCGCCACCCGCAAAAGGGCATTGGGTTTTAGATCCTACTGCCAGAGAGAACCCTTTAGATAAACTTTTATAGATGGACACTATGTACACAGCCCATATGTTAACGTGACTGACTGGACAGCTGAGTCCCTGGCCCCAAATCAAAAAGATGATGTTGAATGTTGATAGGCCTACTACCATGTAGGATATTAAAAAATCATGCAATAAAGAATCGATGATTGCAGAATAATATATAAAAGTAGGCGATTCACACATTGTTGAAATCGTGTTCACTCCCCAGTTGATATTGTGTTGCCCGACTGGCTGCTACCAACGTTATCAACAAGAACATAGGGCCTACCGGTACTCGGTGACTGCTCCACCATATTCCCTCGTTCAGTACCTACTCCTCCTTCCTTGGCCGAAGTAGAACAGTACTGCTCCGTTGCTTTGGATTAGGTCATCGACACTGTCACTTACCGAAAGGCGGTTGTACCTGTTGCGAGTTTATTGTCCACACCGGATACCAAACTGTGTCCTGACGTAGTAACTTCTCATTTTGGCACTTAAGGTTCCACCCCTGTTATTATATAATCGTGACTGTTGAAATGGTCTCAGTCAGAAGCAATACCGCCCCGGGTTCGCGATCCTTTTTTGGTTTCCGTTACATACAGGATGGCTCGAAAGACATAGGCACTTCCTTGCAAAACTCGACAAAAATATGTAAACATCATCTACGTACGATGATAGAAGTCCACGCAAAAGTTGAAACCGGCAGAATTTGAGACCAAAAAATATTGAACGTTGTAAATGTATCCCAATGTTACTTAACGATTTCGACTTCAGTACAGAGTAAAATAGCGTGAAAGGCAAGCAGATCCTAAAATGAGACAATTGACAAATTAAAAGGCCCTTTCATTATGCCCATGATAGTTTTGAGTGATGTTGGCCGTCCTCCGCACGGAATTTTCGTCGACTTCACACATACAATTTTTTCTAATACTTATATATTCAGCAGAAGAAGAGATTATCATGAAGTCAGCGATAGTCTTTCCTCTTTTGTCCATCTTGGTGGAATACGCTTCCTCATATGCCCCTGTTAGAAATCAACATGGTCATGAAAGCAATGGTGCGTTGATCACAGATCCATATGACTATTTTGCAACACCTCCGGAAACTGCTACCGCAAAATGTGCTCTCATCAACACGGTGATGGACGAGTCTGGTTCCATGCAGACGGAGCAGGCATTCTTGCAAGCTACTGCTTTTCCAGGCATGACCCAGGACCTATACAGCGACAAGTATGGATATGACTATGTGTTCCTCTGCTCCCACGGATTCGGGCGCAGATTTGGGATTGATCCATCCTGGTATCGTTACCTTGGATGCTCCTTGTTTAATAAAGAAACGGGCCAACTACAGAATTCGCTCATCGACAACTGGTATGCTGTGGGTAAACGTGAAGATGGATGGGCAGCCATTCAAAAGGGTATTGTGAATGTGACTGCAACGATCGATGGAATTGACTTGCTGGAAACTTGCAAAACGATGGACAAGAACATGATCTTGGTTTCTGATGAGGTAGGTACATTCTTGCATTCTGCCTGTTGGTCATGTGGCAGCCTGAAAGACGTATACAGGATGACTAACACATGTACCGTCATTCATTTTCGGCCATAGGATCGTGACGCTGAAGATCCAACAGTCACTCTAGAAGCAACGAGAGCGATGCTAGACCAATACGGCTACGTCCTGAACGTTGTCGTGCCTATCAGTATTCTTGGTGACTTGAACAACTTGGGGATGAGAATCTCGAACGGTGGTGCGACCTCCACAATTTTTGCTGCCGATGGCGCTGGAGGTTGGAGAGCGGGAGTTTTGGACAAACCACTAAACGAAATTGCAAAGAGTACAGGTGGTATGTGGGCTTTTGAGCATTATCATCCACTTGTAATTGATACGCCTGGTGCTATTTGGGCAGTCGAAAGTGTTCGACGTGGCGTAAGAGAGTTTGATGAGACTCTTGGCTATTCCTTCGCAAGTGCCTTCATTTACCTGAAAGTGCATGAAATCGCTTGCTCGAGCTCCACTGGTGCAAACCTCACTGCATGTGAGACGCCTTGCCTCGGTGCAGACAAAGAAGGCCCAAGCTGCGCCATTACGGAGTATCTGGATTTTTCGAACGCACCAAGCATGGTTCCTTCATCTGCACCAAGCATGAGTCTTGTTCCTTCATCCTCGCCAACCACATCTCCGCCTTCAACTTCGCCTACGCCTGCTCTTTCATCCTCGCCTTCACCTCCACCAACGTCTGCCCCTTCTTCTTCGCCTTCCAAGAGCCCTGTCGCTGTTCCTAACATTCCTGACATTCCTGACACTGAGGTTTCGGACACCACCACTTCAGGCAGCAAGGGCGACCCCCATTGTAAGTACAACAACAACAACAACAAGAATCATTTTCAATAGCTGAATTCCTTGAAATGTCCCAATCTCACCCGCGATTCTTTACAGTCACAACATGGCAGGGAGAGCACTTCGAGTTTCACGGACAGTGTGATTTGACCTTGGCCAAAGATGCTGGCTTTGCCAATGGAATTGGATTGAACGTTCAAATCCGGACCAAACTGGTTCGGTACTGGAGTTACATCAAGAGTGCCGCCATTCTTATTGGCGGCGACATTCTCGAAGTTCAAGGTTCCGGCGACATGGATCGAGAAGTGTCGAACTACTGGATCAACTTTGAATTCCAAGGAAAGTCCACCAACATCGGAGGATTCCCATTGGCCTTGTTCGATGACCATGTCCCAGGCCATCCCAAACGCAGATTTGAGATCGACTTGAGCTCGAAGTATCCTGGCCAAAAGATTGTAATTTCCACCTTTAAGGAATTCGTCAAGGTTGACTTTGTCAATCCTTCCACCAATTCCTTTGGAAATACGGTTGGTATGCTCGGTAACTTCCAGAGCGGCCAGACCCTATCCCGGGACCAAGCCACTGTGATGCATGATTTCAGCGACTATGGTACCGAGTGGCAGGTCCTTCCAGCCGATGACATGTTGTTCCATGACCAATCGCATCCTCAATTCCCAGAACCTTGCGTTCTTCCAGAGGATCCCCGAGGACAACGTCGTCGTCTTGATGAAAAGAGCCTCACTGTTGAGCAAGCCGAAGCTGCTTGCAGTAGCTTGAGCAATCCATTGGATGTCAAAGACTGCGTCTACGATGTTTTGGCCACCCAAGATTTGGACATGGTCGGCGCCTTTTAAGGATCCCTTCGATGGAACAACTGTTTGTATTTGCATATAAAAAATGAATGCTCTGCTGTGAGGACACACTTTTATTCTAACTGCTAAATAAGTCTATTCTAAAAACTTTAATCAAAGGCTGCAATAGTTCTTGACAGGTAGGTCCAAGGCTTGAAAGCTTGAAAAACTTTGAGTTTTCAAATGGGGGGTCCAAAATGGAAGAACGTTTATTCCAATCTTGGCGTAAAATCAGCGAAAGCCTTTTGTTTTCTCTACTATCCTGCAAAATCCATCGCCTTGCGCACATGCATCATAGCCATGAATACTCGTAGACTAACCAAACTCAACGAGACATTGCGGACGCTCGTAGCATGACAACGACGACAGTAGAGTTCGTACAGTTTGTTCCTCCTCCAGAACAGTACCACTTCCTCGTATTGTGGAATATATGAACGTATGAGTGAGTCAATCAATCAAATATTCAAATACTCAATCAAATACTCGAATGCTCAATCATCTTTAAAAACGCGAGAGGAAACATGCCAACTAAGGATACCATTGATCCGCCGGACAATCCAAAACAAGGGTGTGCCAAGCAATGCATTCCCATTCCAGAGTTCTTGCACATCAAGAACCAAAAAGTCACTTTCGGGTACCAAATAAGAAATGTTGGAAGGAGTACTAGTCGCCACCACCAATTGTGGTTCTTTTTCTTCTTCTTCTTGTTCTTCCAATGGGACTTCTGCCCGAACCAACGAGCGCAGCTGGACTTCTACTTGAACCAACGAGCGCATGTCCAAATTGAGAGATCCGTAATGTTGGTTCAACGCATAGGTCACCAGAATGGAAGATCCCTTGGGTTCCACATCCACGCAAATGGGTGGACGGAGGCACTTTGGTTGCAGTTTCTCGTGCAATCGAAAAGCTTCGTGGATCTCTTTCGGGGACTTGCAAATGACAGCGGCGTCTTGAAACTTTGCCGTGTCCGCAAAATGGCAGTGTGGATGATGACTACCGCGACCTGCATACATTTGCGTGACGAGCTCCGTCAAGAGATCGTAGTGTTTGGCGTCAAAGGATTCTTGTTTGGTGGATAAGAGAGACTCGTGGCGGTTGTTGTCGTTGTCCGAAGACCACGGAGGCGGAGGAAGTCCATAGATTCCCACTCCAATGGAAATTGTGGTCAGGGATAGATGGGCGAAAGGAAGGTTGGCAACAATAGTCTTGAGCGACATGGCGTTTGACTTGACGAGTTGTAAAGCTGCAGTAATGACAACTGATGTGCTGTCAACTGATGGACGATTCGAATGAAGAAAGAAAACAAATGATGCTACTGTACCGATATGAATCATCATCATCATTATCATGCGGTGAGAAGATTTGATGAGATGTCTTCTACGACATCGTATAGGACGTTGATGAAACGCCTGTCTGATGCATGGCCAGGCGGCTTCTTTTTTTTCTGATCAGATCCACATGCGCTATTTATTTTCTTGTGCCATCTTTTTTACCAGACCGTAATAAAGATCTTTTTCGAGACGACGTGTTGAACTGAACTCCCTCCAACCACGCAAGCAAGTAATATAATATATAAACTACAAGCGCCACAATAATCATACAATAATATCATCGCTTTCAACAAACCATGAGCAGTGAAGAACGGCCACCTTCGGCCAAGTCGAGGTCGAGCAAAACCTTTGGGAGCTTTGCCAAATCGGGCGTGACTATGGCATCCGACGGCGTGGCCAGTGTCGTCAAGCCATTTAGTTCCGTGGCAAAAGCTTCGGCCAAGGCTTCCGGCAAGGCTGTCAAGGCTTCTGGTAACCTGGTCCACGGAACTGTCAAGGCTTCCGGGAAAGCTGTCTCGGACACTGCAAACGCGCTGAATCCTACGAAAATGTTCAAGAAATCATCGAAACATAAAACGGAAAAGCAGAGTTTGTACGAAGACCTGCATGCGGATCCCGCGGAAAGTTACTTGATTGAAGGATTGGAAGAAAGGGGAAGACGAACTGTTCCCAACGGCGATGGCTTTAGACCTGCTGTGGAAGGAGAACGAGCTCCTTTTGGCCTGCACTCTCTAGGAAGAGCATTCGATGAAGAAGCTCCATTGACGACTCAGTCTGCGCCGAACTATCGCAGCATGGCACGAATGGCACGGCAACAAAGCCAAAAGTTTTCCTTTGATGCCAATGACCCAAGTAATGACCTCAATTTAAAGCCGAGCCCCATGAACAGTCATCAACGCGCGCAGACACTTCTTGATAGCATCAATGATGATGAAGAAGATGAAAATAATCCCAACAACAAAAGTCCCATGGAAGAGGTATCCTTCCCTGGAGGTCCCATGGAAATCAATGTTGACGAGTCCCATCCCCTCCTTGGTGGCGAGGGTCTTGATCCATTGGAGGGAATAGATGGCGGAGGCTATCATGATCCATCCTCCGGAGCACCCTATCAACGACTCAATGAGGCCCGAAGAGGTGGACCCAAGCGACGTTGTCAAAACATACTCGCATGCCTCAATCCATTGAACCTCATCCGAAATTTGTTAAAGGCCATTCTCTTGCCTTTTTTGGCATGGTACATCCCATTGTTTATCATTTCCTGGGTATTGTTTTACTACTGCGGAAATCCTGAGCTCGATTTCATGCCTGGTGAAGCCACCATTTCCTGGTGGATCAACTTTTTTGGTGCGTTGCTCATATCATTTCATTTCATTTTGCTGGTCCGTGTTGCTGTCGGCTGATTGATTGATTTATTTTCTCACAAACACACACACACACACACACACTCCATACATTGCTTTCATCATCATTACAGGTCGACAATGCTTCTTGCTTCAAGTTTCTTACATTCTGCAAACCATTTTGATTGATTGGATCATTCTGTCCTCTCGCTTGGTATTGGCCATTGTAGGTCCTTGGGCGACCATGTTTTGTCTACAATCTCGAGGTTGGCCATTCTTGGTTGGATCTTGGGGCCTCCTGGCAATGGTCTTTTTGCACGGTGACGATGCCTTTTCGCAACATTGGCTGCACTTTACTGGCATTAAAATCTTTACCACGGCCAATTCTGGAACCTACATTATTGCCTCCAGTACCTACCTCCGAGTTCTCATTGGCATGGTATTGGCTGGGATTGCCACATCCTTGAAGCGAACCATTGTGACTCTGTACTTTGGAAAGAGAAGCTTTGATATCTACAAGACAAAACTGGAGAAGATTCTCAACAATGTCATTTTGGTGTCGGAAGTTGCCGAACTTTCGGCTGCAGCCGAAGACCTTGAAGGAATAGAAACCAGCAGCCGAGAGACCCCACCACGTGGAGCTCGCAGAAGCGGCCCTGGTCATGTTCGCTGGTCCAGTCTTCGTTTTGAAGACCGAAAGAAAATGAGAAATTCCCCTCAACAACCGGTCGACGAACTCTCAGATAGCGATGGAAGCAATGACGATGAGGAGAGTGAGGGACACGATAGTGACAAAAGCGATGCTAGCGAGGTCAAACCTGCTGAGAGCAAGGATGATAAAAGCGAAGAGGAGGACGATATGATGAGCACTGAGAATCGCATTGACCCCAGTTCTCCTTTCAACAAATCCTATTCCTCAATTTCAGCAGACACCAGTGTAAAACATTTCAAAATGAAGAACCAGCTTGGCCGATGGGACGATCCACTGAATAAGATGGACGCCAAGTCGGAATCGTCTGTTTCTGACATTTTGAAGTTTCGAAAGGCACTGACTTACATGGACTTAGAACACCCATTTTCCGAATCCTTTGGACCAGCATCGAGCAGAGACGAACTGTTGACTTCTGCTCAGGCTGTCTATTCGCGACTTCGACGACTTTCGCCGGAAGGATCAGCGACCCTTCCGTTATCGGTGCTAGCAGTGTTGGCCGAGAATGAAGATGGGACTGTCGATAAACAGACACGTAGAAGTCTGAAAAAGATCTTTCCTCCGGACAGAATGGGCAATGTGTCCCTCTTTTCCTTTGTCATGGGCTGTGATTCGGTATACAAGAAGCTTCGCTACTTTAGGGCCTCTGTCGGCAACTCATCCGTGATCGACAAAGTGCTCGAGGATATCGTCGACACTCTGTTCTTCTTTGTCCTTGTTATTCTCATTCTCTCCCTACTGAACTTGAATCCATGGCCGCTTCTAGTGTCCACATCCACTCTGATGGTGACTTTTGCGTTTGCTCTTGGACCCAGTGCTGCAAAAGCCATTGAGGTAAGTGCTATTGATCCGTTGGTTCTCGTCAGTCCTCCAAAGTTTGATACTCGTCTGACACGCCATGTTCCTTTTTTCAGGGTATGATTCTCATTGTCGGTCGAAGGTAAGGGCAGATCAATCACATTGGAAACTGTTTGGGGTTTGTCTCACATAAAGTATTGTATCCAAAATCACAGACCTTATGACATTGGTGATCGAATCATCATTTCCAATACCCCCGGTGAAGCAGTTCCAGGAGTAGCCAATTCATGGTTTGTTGAAGACATTACACTCTTCACTACAACAATCCGATTCGGAGCCAACAATGAACTCGCTACTCTCAGCAATGGTTCGATTGCACAATCAAGAATTACGAACTGTGCAAGATCAAAGAAGGCAACTGTTCACCTTGTATTGAAATTGCACATTCGATTTCACGAGGGTTCGAACTTGGCGGACTATAGGGAAGCTCTTGACACTTATGTCTTGAACAACCCAAACCGATGGGATTCGATCGTTTTCTTCCGCTGCGAGGAAATCGATGCTGACAATGAATTCGTTGTCTACCGTTTGGTAACTCGGTCAACTCAGTCGTGGCAACCTGCGCCGAGGGTGCTCGAGCACCGATCACAGCTACATCGATTCATGCTGGATCTTGCAAAGAGAATGGAAGTCCAATTCAACGCTCCACTTCCAAGCAGTGTTATCTATTCTGGTGGCGATATGAAGGACATCACAAATCCGAAGATTAACAGAGCAAGAGATCTCGAAGCATCATCGGCCGTACTGCCTATGGATGTTGGTTCGGATACTGACGAGGACCCAGAAAGCGACGGGATTCACCAAACGGAGAATGCTGCGAGACGTGCCAGTACTGTTGGTGTTGGCGAGTAAAGGAAAATCGTCAAAGATAAGAAGTAGCAGCTTCGCAAAACTAGTAGTTGCATAATTTAGGTAGCGTCAAAGCCTCATCAAGTGGTTTCACTACAGTATAGTATCATATAAGTCTTGGCCCAGTACCGGTAGGGGCTAAGCATGTCTCAGACGAAGCGGGATTCCTGAGAATTTTTCGGGTCCTTTATGCCGCCGCACTGCCCGCTAAAGATTTTGGTTCGGGCACACCAAACATTTCCCAATCAACAGAAAAGTCAACACTGTTCCTGAAGTACCGTATACGGATGATGCCGGTTGCCGTGAATATGCGACCGAGAATATGCGACCTCGAACAGTGCATCGGCACCTTGGTACTATTACAATTCATTATTGATCGGAAAAAAAGATGAGAGGTGAAGAAAACGACCCTCAGAAGTCGAGAGCAAGCAAACTAGCCTCATCCTCAGGTGGCTTGAGTTCAGTGGCAAAGGCTTCCGGAAAAGCTGTTCAACGCACTGCAAATGCACTTAATCCTACCAACCTATTCAAGAAATCGAAACCTATGCCACACAAGCAGAGTTTATACGAAGAGCTTCAAACCGAAACAGCTGAAGAGCATTTGCTGGAAAGCTTGGAAGAAAGGGGAAGACGAACTGTTCCCCACTCGGATGGCTTTCGACCTGCAGTTGAAGGAGAACGAGCTCCTCTTGGCCTGCACTCTCTGGGGAGAGCATTCGACGAGGAGGCTCCATTGACTTCTTCGTTTGCGTCGGATTATTTGAGCATGGCACGAATGGCACAGCAACATAGTCAAAATCAGAATCAGAGATACCACTACGAGGAGGCTGACCCAATGAGCAACCATCAACGTGCACAGTCACTTCTCGAAAGTATTAATGAGAGTGTGAATGAGAATGATGATGAAATTGACGACACGATGATCGACGAGGAAATGGGCCTCCAGGGAATATCGGAAATTATGGTGGACGAGTCCCACCCCCTTCTTGTCGAACCAATGGAAAGAGGCTATTCATCAGCACCATATCAACGACTACAAGAGGCTCGGAGGAATGGAGCAAGACGTCGCTTTCAAAGAATCCTTGCATGCCTCAATCCATTGAACATAATCAGAGGGTTGTTGCGGATCACTCTACTGCCATTCTTGGCATGGGCTCTGCCTTTGTTTGTGACTTCCTGGACATTGTTTTACTACGCTGGAAACCCTTCGCTCGAGTTCTTACCTGGCGATGCTACTATTTCATGGTGGCTCAACTTTGTCGGTACGAATGCATCACCGATCGTATGTTTTAATCCCCTTGCCGAATCTTATAATCGCTCTACTCCTCTTGACAGGTCGACATGCTTTCTTGCTTCAAGTGTCCTACATATTCCAAACCATCTTGATTGATTGGATCATTATGTCATCGCGTTTGGTCGTGGCGATTATTGGTCCTTGGGCGACCATATTTTGCCTTCAATCACGAGGATGGCCATTCTTGGTTGGATCCTGGGGTATCTTGGCAATGCTATTCTTGCAGGGAAGCGACGCCTTTAGTCAGCACTGGCTGCACTCTACTGGGATCAGGATCTTCAATGTTTCTAACTCAGGAAGTTATATTATAGCCTCTAGCACATACCTTCGAGTTCTCATTGGTATGTTATTGGCTGGAATTGCGACATCCTTGAAGCGAACAATTGTGACTCTCTACTTTGGAAAGAGAAGTTTCGGTAAGAAATGAATGGATTTATATGTCATCATACTTTTCCTGGTGTCTTGCTCAGCAGTGCCCCTTGTGCCCTTCAGATATATACAAGACCAAGCTGGAGAAACTTCTCAACAATGTGATTTTGGTGTCGGAAGTTGCCGAGCTTTCGGCAGCGGCGAGTGATCTTCCACACACAGATAGCAGGAGGAGCAATGTCACACCGATCAGTAGCCAAACAAGCGGCCTCGGTCTCGGCGTTCAATGGTCTAGTCTTCGTTTTAAAGATAAGCAAAAGTTGAGTAATACCACACAAGATGTGGCCGAGGGAAGCCAAGGAAGCAATGACGACGATGAAGAAAGCGAGGAGGAAAGCGAGGAAAGCGATAGCTACACCAGCGATAACATCGAGATCAGTGATAGGCGCAAACAAGATAGAGAGAAAGAGAGCGACGAACAGAATAAGTTGGATCGACTACGCACGCAGGCTTCTTTTGCCAAATCTTATTCCTCTCTTTCAGCCGACACGGGTGTAAATAAACACTTCAAAATTAAGAACAAGCTGGGCCGATGGGACGACCCACTGAATAAGATGGATACGGTAAGCTACCACGTCACAATCAGCCTCTTGGAGTTTGTTTTTCCTGCAATTGCTCACAAAATTGCAGCAATCCGAGTCTTCGGTCTCGGACATTCTGAAGTTTCGAAAGGCACTAACGTACATGGATCTAGAGCACCCATTCTCCGAATCCTTTGGACCAGCATCGACCAGGGATGAATTGTTAACTTCAGCTCAGGCTGCCTATTCGCGGCTTCGACTACTTGCGGAAGGATCATCGACGCTTCCATTCTCCGTGCTGGCTGTGTTAGCGGAGAATGAAGATGGAACTATCGATAAACACGCGCGCAAAAGCTTGAGAAAGATTTTTCCGCCAGACAGAATGGGTAATGTGTCCCTATTAACTTTTGTGATGGGCTGTGATTCGGTCTACAAGAAGCTCCGCTACTTTAGGGCCTCTGTCGGCAACTCATCCGTGATCGACAAAGTGCTCGAGGATATCATCGACACTATTTTCTTCTTTGTCCTTGTAATTCTCATTCTCGCCCTATTGAACTTGAATCCATGGCCGCTTCTAGTGTCGACATCCACACTGTTGGTGACTTTTGCCTTTGCTGTTGGACCGAGTGCTGAAAATGCAATCGAGGTAACTATTGATCCAATATTCCTCTAAATAATTCACTTCGTCTCACAGGTCATCACTTGTTTTGTTAGGGCATCATTCTCATTGTCGGTCGAAGGTAAGAACAAATTAAGGTCAGTGGAAACTATTCGGGGTTTGTCTCACAGATTGTATCCATAATCACAGACCTTATGACATTGGTGATCGAATCATCATTTCCGATAGCCCTGGTGGACCGGCTCCAGGAGTAGACGAATCGTGGTTTGTTGAAGACATTACACTGTTCTCCACCACACTACGATTCGGGAACAGCAACGAGGTTGCAACTGTCAGCAATGGTTCGATTGCACAAGCAAGAATCACGAACTGTGCGAAATCAAGCAAGGCTACTGTTCAACTTTCACTGCGGTTTCACATCAAATTTCACGAAGGCTCGAATCTGCTGGATTTCAGGGAAGCTCTTGATACATATGTCTTGAACAATCCAAACCGGTGGGATTCGATCTCTTTCTTCCGCTGTGAAGCAATTGACACTGACGATGATTTCGTGGTGTACCGTTTGGAGACTCAGTCCACTCAGTCATGGCAACCTGCTCCAAGAGTGCTTGAGCACCGAGCACAGCTACATCGATTTATTTTGGATCTTGCAATTAAAATGGAAGTTCAATACGAAGCTCCATTTCCAATTCATTTTATATATGATGGTGGCGCAATGGTGGACTTATCTCATCCCAGGGTGAACAGAGCAAAAAAGCGGCAAGAGGATTTCGTCAAAGCAAATCGCGTAGCATTATCTCAGGATTCGGGCTTTGATCGAGCAGTAAGGGTCGAGTTGCCCGAGACGCCTGCGACACGTACTGGTGCCGACTAAAGGAGAATCGCCAAAGTTGAAAGTAGCAGCTACTCGAGTCCTATCATCATGACTGATGGATCAGTCATCGATCAGAAGCATATGACGACCTGTTGCTGACTTCCAGCAGTTCCAGATTTTTTGCCTTTGGGCTAGTTGTGGAGCCCAAGAGTAGCAAAACAAACGAGAGCAGATGGGCTATACGTGGAGCCCAAGAAAGAGAAAAAGGAGACTCGTGGTTCCTTTACGATCGCATACGAACTAATTTCATTTCTCTCCTACAGCGCGGGGCATATCCAAATAGGTATGCAACATCCCCAAAAATACAAGAATATAATGATGTAATGAATTTTGTTGATTTCTACATGCATATTATATCTGCTGGTTTCATCGATGTAGCTTCAATGCCTCATCAAGTTGTTTCACTGGTCGTAAATACAGTATGCCCAATTGTCAGCATTCGTCTATTGATATTACAATTACTATTCAGGTAATATTGTTATTATGGAAGCATATGACTTTGATTAAATCCATACCAAAAACCCAGTTTACATGGCCAAGTCTTGCCATGAGATCGTGCTTGACATATTGCTTTGCAATGACCATATTCACTCGCCCTCGTTTGATTTGGTGCCCTTGTCAGTCTTTTGAATTTTCCGCTCTTCTTTCTTTCCAGGCACTGGTAGTGATGCTACTTGAAACTCGTCACCGACTCGCGAGTGTTTTGTACCATGATAGGCTAGCCACTCCCTTTTGCTGCGCTTTCCACTTGGGCTTCCCTCTGAGTCAACCTGTCGTTTTTGAGGGTTTGGGTCATCCTCTTTGTTGTCCGCCATGACGTGTGGTTATTGATTATGTTACTGATTATGTTTGAAACTGAAATTGTCTCGATCTTGAATTCTCTTCTGGTGCTTGGAGTCAGTTAGAAGTTGTCGGTCAGAAATATGTTGATTGTCTTTGAAATGTTGTTGGCGTTGGCAACTTGAAACTGACTGAAATACATAGTTGCCGACGGGTTCTCGAGATGAGGATGGATGGTGACATTCGTGTTTCGAACCAGTCCCTTTACGACCAGTTCGACTTTCCAGTTTGATTGATTTGATAGAATGATAATTTTACATTCCACAACCGCACATCAAAGCGAACCCCCAACGATTGCAGTGTTCTTTTTCATCATGTGTCAAAGCGAGCTCCTACCTCCAAGTGCTTACAAAGAACGAATGCAAACACAACAGAACCAAAGCTACACCTAGTAGAATCATAGAGAAGTTTGAAGGTTTAGTCCACCATGATGACACCAAGCATGCTACGGGCGGGAAGACTCGCCAAACCAAGTAATCTGATGCGATCCTATGTGATCTATTCAAAATCCATTGCCACAAACCGTTCCTCAGTCGCCAAAGGAGCAAGACGGCTGAATCGCTACAGCCGTCATTTCGCAACTCTCAATGGCGATGGTGTTGCAGATCTGACCTACAATGAGGCACCTGGTGGTGTCGCCAGTCCAATGGAATCCATCATCAAACGAAATGTTCCACAACGAGTGGAGCAAAAGATTGTGAGTGCTTCAGATGCAGTGGAGTTGATCCGTGATGGAGATACTGTAGCAGTATCTGGGTTTGTCGCTACAGGAGCTCCAGAAGCCATTCTCAAGGCTGTCGGAGAACGTTTCGAGGCCACCTCAAGTCCTAAAAATATGACTCTCTTATTTGGGGGAGGTCCTGGAGACTGGGGCACCAAGGGGCTATCGCATTTCGGGAAAGAGAAGGAAGATGGAACCAAAATGCTGGCCAGATCGATTGGTGGCCACTACGGCCAAGTCCCACTGGTTGCCAAGCTTGCCCTGGAGAACAAGATCGAAAGTTGGACCCTTCCTATGGGTTCGATCTCTAGAATGATCCGCAGTCAATCGACACATTCACCTGGACATATTACCAGTGTTGGGATCGGAACATATGTCGATCCAGATTTGACAGGAGGTGCCATCAATGAAGCAGCCAAACAGAGTCCTCTACACAAGAAGCTGGTTCAGAAGATCCAAATTGACGGAGAAATCAGCCTCATGTACAAGGCGCTTCCTATTGACGTTGCCATCATTCGAGGCACTACCGCTGACGCGTCTGGTAATATTTCTCTGGAACACGAATCTTTGCTCTGTGATCAAAAGATCACGGCAGCTGCAGCCAAGAACAGTGGTGGAATCGTCATAGCCCAAGTCAAGCGAATTGCCGCCAATGGGTCCATCAAATCGAGGGACGTCGGTGTTCCAGGACCTCTGGTTGACTGCGTTGTTGTAGTCGACGAAGAAGATCATGATGAACTCCATGGCATGAGCTATTTGGAACGATACAATCCTTCTTTGACTGGAGAAATCCAAACCGTTATGGATGAACTCGAACCCATGAGTCTCACAACCCGAAAGCTTATAGCACGACGTGCCTTTTTTCGGTTGGAACCGAACAAAATTGTAAACTTGGGAATTGGGCTTCCAGAGGGAGTGGCAAGTGTAGCCGCAGAAGAAGGAATGCTTGACTACATTACCCTAAGTACAGAACCTGGAGTATTTGGAGGTCTTCCAGCTTCCGGGCACAGTTTTGGACCAGCATACAATGCTTCTAGTCTTATGGAGATGAATCAGGTAAGGGATGAAATATTCATACTCAGTGCGAAAAGAATGAAAATTGATATTTTGGCTTTGCTTTCGACCGGCAGATGTTTGACTACTACGATGGCGGCGGTCTCGACATGTCCTTTCTTGGTGCCGCACAAATCAATGCCAAAGGTGATGTGAATGTGTCACGCATGTCCAAGGATCTTCTCACTGGACCAGGAGGATTTATTGATATCTCGCAGTCGACGCAAAACATTTGCTTCATGACAACCATGACAGCTAAGGGTCTTCACGTTGACATTCCAGGAGACGGAACCTTGAAGATTGCGAATGAAGGAAAAGTGAAGAAGTTTGTCTCTGAAGTCTTTGAGAAGACATTCTCTGGGGATGAAGCTGTTCGTCGTGGCCAGAATGTCATTTACGTCACCGAGCGATGTGTCTTTCGACGATCGGGAAAATCTGATGTTCTGGAATTGATTGAAATCGCTCCTGGTGTCGATCTTCAGAAGGACGTTTTGGACCAGATGGATTTCGAACCATTGATCAGCCCCAAACTGAAGGAAATGGATCCTCGAATCTTCAAGGCAGAGAAGATGGGCACGACTTCTGAGCTTTTCGGAACCCTTGATGAAAGAGTCATTTACCATCCTGAACACCACACAGTATTCTTGAACATGTTTGGAGTTACACTAAATGAACCAGAGGACGTTGTATGGTATGCTGATGGCTTGCGAAGAATCATCAAACCCCTCGTCGACAAGCATGGCAAGATCAATATGGTTGCCAACTATGACGGATTCGACCTTCGAAAGGGACTGGAACCCTTGTTCGGAGAAAAGATTTCAGCAGTCCAAGAAGAGCTCTACAAGAGCGCAAAGAGGTATACCGGGCATGCTTTCAAGAGAGCTGCACTGAAGACCTCCCTGGGCATGAACAGCTGGAACTCTGATGATCTATTTGATACCTTCGACACCAATAGTGATGGTTCTCTTTCCACACACGAGCTTCGTGATGGATTCCAGGAGACATTCCAAATGAATTTGACTCCATCCGACATCCGCCTCTTCTTTGATGATGATGAGACTACAACAATCTCCAGATCAAAGTTTGCAAACGGACTTGACGAGGTTTTTGTTAATCACACCTAATTCGAGGCTCAACCAGCCAATAGCGAAATATTTATCACATAGTTTTCATGGTTTTGGAAACCTACCATCGTCGTGTATTGCGTCTTATCAAACATGTTGCTGAACCGGTAATACCGGTAGAGCAGGATTGAATGATTACCGTTTAACGCCCGAATATTGGGGGAGATCCGTGATTTGTTGATCTTTCCCTCAAAAGCAATCATCAGAAATGTGACACACCTTATTCCTCGCACACCAAACGTATTCATGGATGGGTATAGCTATGGAACTCTTCTATTTCAACCTTCATGCTCCTGATCTCGAGAAAAGCAAGGTCTTTTATAAAGAGGTGCTTGGATGGGAGATTGGCGGAGGAAGCCTAGGCGGACATGTGAACAATACGAACACACCTTGCGGCGTTGGGCCAGGCAGCACAACCAATACAGTTTATTTCACGACGGATAATCTCAAAGCGTCCATGGCAAAAGTGGAGGCTGAATGCGGGAAAATTCTATCTCGGGAATTCTATGAAGGGATCGGACCTGCTGCTTTTTGCCAGGATAATCAAGGTACCAGGTTTGCTTTGCAAGAACCTGGAACACCTGAGATGAAGAAACATGCTGCCGATGTCAAGAAAGGCAGGAAACATGGCGATTTGTTCTTCTTCTCTCTCCCTATCAAAGATGAAGCAAAAGCCAGAATTTTCTACGCGGTGGTACTTGGATGGACTTTTGGCGAAAAGGGGAAAGGAGGAGGATTGGGAGTTGAAAATTTGAAAGGTCCTGATGGTGGATTGGGATGTGGACGCGAAGGCCACCATCCATCCCTTTGGTTTCGTGTTGAGAATATCATGGACGCAGTAGAGAGAGTCAAGGGGGCAGGTGGAAGTGCTGGTGATATTTTTGACGCCCCGGAAGGAGACATGTGTGAAGTAGTCGATGATCAGGGTGTGAAATTTGGTATTGTCCAACCGGCATCGGGATACTAATTGAAACACTTGATTACTTTAGTTTTGTGCATCTTATTACAGTACTAGCTTTTTCCGGGATGACCGTATATTTGTGCTGCTTCATTCAAAGTGACCATGTTATTGTTCCGTCACCCTTGTATGTCTGTAGCTTCACCATATAATGCGATTGTATTTTGACGAGGCTACCTTTCGAGGTAGAAAAGAGCTAGGGCCGGGGCTTATCTGGTGCTCGGGTGGACTAGAAGTAAGCGGTACTGCTCTTTGCTGCAGTGGACAAATCCATGACTCCCTGAGACAAAGATACTGGGTGTCGAAATACATATGTCCCTGCCACAAGGACGTCGGCCTTCGCGACTTGTGGCACTGTTTTTTCGTTGACTCCTCCTACAAAAAAAATCGGTAGTGTTAGTCCACATAATATTGTAGTTCAACAAACCAGGCAGACAAGCCGACTCAAAGATGCGTACCATCAACACCAATTTCAAATGAATACCCTTTCTCTTGTCGGAGCTGCACAAGATGCTCAAGTTTGACCAAAATTACAGTATTGAACTTCTGACCACCAAATCCTGGCTCCACCGCCAGTAGATTTACGACCGAAATAAGACCTGAAGCTAGAATGGAATCAAGCGTACTCACACTTGTTGCGGGATTGATGCTAATCCCACATTTCATTCCAGCATCAGTTATTCGTTTTGCCAATTCCAGTACTTCTGCTTCATCAGCCATTGCCTCGAACTGAAAAATAAATCGGTCTGCCCCAGCCTCCTTCATTGCATCGACGAAGCGAGCTGGCTTGTACACGCACATGTGTAAGTCGAGAATGGCATCGGGAGAGCAATCTCGAATTGCTTTTACCATTTGTGGGCCCTATTTTATCCGGATTGATGATTAGATCAGGTACCGGAACTGGTAATGATTTGGACCAGCACCAAAACTTACAAATGTGAACGCCCAGGGAGAATCCAATGCAACCGAGTCAAAAATATCGACATGCAGACGGGGGGCTCCAGCTTTGACGCATCTCAAAACTTCGGCCTTCATATTTGCAAAGTCACATGCCAGCAAGGATGGTGAAATTATTGGGGCTATCTCTGACACCGAGGCATAGGAGCTATCTCCTCCTCGAAGTCGCGCAATGGCATGGGAGATGGGTTTGACGCATTGCCCCACCTTAGAGTATATGCTGTTGTACAGATTGGTGTATTCGGGCGATAGCTCTGACGATGGTTCCACACGCATCTTTGTTCGAACCATTGCTTTCACAGCATCACTGATGCACCCATGGACGCCAACGCCATACGATGCCAAGATAGCTGAACCTAGCAATGGCGCCTCACTGTTCTCGCATACTACCACAGGCTTTCCCGTCACATCAGCATGCATTTGCAGCCAGAGTTTACTTCGGGTGGCTCCTCCAGCAATAATGATCTCCTCACATGCATGACCTGCTTTTTCGAGTCCTTCAACGCATCCTCGTGTTCCGTAACATACAGCTTCCATGAAAGCCCGCCAAATGTGTGCTCGAGTGTGAGATAGTGAAAGACCCAAAAGAGCACCTCGGGCCAATGCATCTGTTTCTGGGGTTCTTGAACCTTGGAAAGTCTCGAGTGCCACCAAGCCTTCGCAGCCTGGTGGAATCTTTTCTGCTTCAGAGTCCAAGGTGGCGTAGTCGACTTCTTCAGCCCCTAAGACCTTTCGAGCCCAGAACATAATGCTTCCCGTACTTGATTGTCCACCTTCTGCGAAATTTATTCCTGGCAACGGCGCTCCTCTGTAGGCTCCCCAGATGCCGGCTGATCGATGGGGGAGCGAGGAGACAACGCAGTGAAGATGTGACGAACCGGTAATGAGACAAAGCTGTGAAAGGTGTGAGTTGGTATTGTAAGCAAAAAGGCCTAGCAATAGTCATGACAAACGTACCTGTCCGGGATAAATGCACCCCAAGCCAATCATCCCAACAAATGCATCTGGACCGCCTTGACAGACTGGAAGTCCAACCGGGAGATTCAAGTGTTCCGCTGCGTCTTCCGTCAGACCACCAATCAAGGATCCCATTGGCAAGCATATTGTTGGAAGTTTGGAAGCAAGTTCTGGTATTCCAAGCTTTTCATACAACGATGTTGGCCTCCCCGGAAAAGGGTCGTCTTCTGTGCTCTCATTGATGCATTCTTCACCGTCCCAATGCCACCTCGCTGCAGCGTTGCAAGAGCTGGCTACCATTTTCCCAGTCATTTTGTAATTGATGTAGTCCTGGTATTCACAAATAGTGTCAGCCTTGTCCCATATTTCTGGTTCATTTTGACGTATCCACAGAGATTTTGGTGTCATCCATTCGGCACTCAGTGGACCATTGCCGCCCGAATTGACTTCCAGAGCCGGGTCTCCCTTACATTTCTCCATAACCTCAACCGTTTGCGCTGCCGATCGAGCATCCATCCATAACAGACTTGGCCGCAATGGTTCCTTATTAGCGTCCAATGCCACAACGGAACAGCACGTGGTATCAATGCAGATTCCGCAAATATTCGAATCCGAATCGGAAATGGAAGCGACGGCACCTCGGACAGCTTCCCCAAGATTTTCCCACCAGTCTTGTGGCATTTGTTCGGCCCACCCTGGTTGCGGGTGATAGGTCTTGTACGCTGACGCACATGATTTGCCCACGACAGCACCAGTTTCGGCATCAAAACAACAGGCACGGATGCTCTAAGTTGCATCAATACAATCGAATTGTGTTGAGCAAAGTTCGAAAAAGAGAGAATGCCCCATTGTAGTATAGCAATGAACATGGTTAGAGAAGTTTTCCATTCGATGGCGGCATTGGATCGTCAGAGAAAACGTACCTCCGTTCCACCATCCACACCAATTACAACGTTGCTCCCAGTTTTGGAGACGAAAGACTTTAGCTGCGCAGAAGAACTTCCTTCTGATATCGAGACAGAGAAAGCCAATACGATTAGAATCGCCCAGTGAAGCCTCAACGGCATTATCACTGTTGACGAATGAATGATCATCGTCTCATGCCACGGTGACGTAAATAAGTCGATATATTCAATATCTTATTGAACTGCGATACGTTGTCTGGTCGTCGTCCCAACGAAGGAAGAACGAATGAATCATTTCTGAGTCACGAGCCCCCAAACATTAGATCCAAGTCCCCCAAACATTCCCGAGTTTTTGGCGCTGCGGACGTATCGTGTAGTGTGTAGTACCGGTACAGTGGGTACAAGTGCTGGTATTACGCCGCTATATACGGTGCAAAAGTAGGTGCGAAGAGGCACCACTGTTCAACGCCACTTTGGTCAATAATAATTCGGAAGATTGCTGCATCTGATCAGACAAAATTGACAAACTTTCGTTAATTGTGGTGATCGGGTAGTCGCGCGCGACGACCTCACGAAAAGTGCAGCTTGATCAGACAAAATATCTGTGATCAGCTTTTGCCGTCACATAAAATTCGAAGCACTGCATCGATCTCATCTCTTTACAACAAGCACGAAGCTCTAAAATCATGACCAAAACAATGTTCCTAAAGTCTCTGTTGCCACATAAGAGACATTTTCGTAAACAAACAAGAGAAAATGAAGACGGAGCGTCCGTTGCAACTGAAAATCACTCTGAATCATCCATGTCCCCTGCCAATTCTGCTGAACTGCATACGCAAAAGGAGGAGGAATGTCTCCGAAAATTAAAAGAGGATTGCCACTTGAGAAAAATGTCTGCCTCTGATATGACCATCTTTCGATTTGCTTGCTTTTACGACTTTGTCTATGAAAAGGCTCGATCTGCCCTTGTTGAAAAATACAATGATCCCCATCTAAGCATGCAAATGGAAGACAAGCTGTGCGAACAGTTCCAAAACAAGGTTATCTTTCCCCTACCGGGTCTCAGGACCAAAAACAAAAAGCAAGGGGTAGTCTACTTCCATGCCGCCCGTCACTTCACAGCGACAATGGATACTGAAATGCTTGTCAGTAACATGACCTATATTTTCAACGACATGAGCTTGACCGAAGAACAATGCCGCAATGGAGTCGCAATGATAATTGATTTAAACCACTGGACACTCAAGAACTTCACACCCGAATGCTCCAACAAGTTTTTCAAGGCATTGCAGTACCAAGTGCCGACAAAGGTCGAAACAGTTCTCATTGTAAACGCTCCACGCTGGTTCCCAAAGCTTTATCGCCACTTGTTCAAGAAGATGATGGCCAAATCATTCTCTAAGAAAGTGCACATCTTGAAGAAATCAGAGCAGCTACAAACCCACTTGGCGGAAGGCTACGAAAAGTATCTGCCAGTAGAAATGGGATATTGGGTCGACTCGACAGAGATCGTTGATGATTTCATCGACTGGAAGCGTCATAATGAAGAATCATCATCCAATCGCTGATGTGCCGATCACATCAATTAATGATGACGAGAACAGACAACATAAGCATTGCCAAGTGTAATTATTTGAAACAATAGACACATTTATTTACTTTGACATCAATATGCATTGCAGCATGCATCGTTGTTGTCAACTGTGCTGTCAGCTGTGTGCTGGCCTTCAAACAACCAATTGGTGTCTATTATTTTTACCGGTACCAGATATCCTATAGATGTACTATCTAAGATAGCCTACTGCCGTCCTCCGTGTGTGTGTTCGTAGTATTTTGTCTTGGTGTGTAGCTGGTGGGTTGTGGTGTGAAGCGGGTCGAACTGATCGAGTAATAGACTCGATTCGTTCGACCAATCTCAGAAATCCCGTGTGCGGTATTACTGAGATCTGCTTTCCTACCAGGCACCGCCGATATGGTAAAATGGAGGCGGTGCCCAACAGGGCGGGTGAGGTTTGGGAGAGAAAAATTGAATTACCACGACACAAGTGGGTGAATTCAATCTCAGTCGATAAACTGGGCATCATTGCCTCGGCGCATCGACAACAACTTTTGACGGTCGAAGGCCGTTCGGCCTTTGTCCGTCTGTAACACAATGTAGTCAAAGAAATCGAACAGTGTGCCTGCGGTCTACATACGTTGGACTAGCTAGCTAGTCGACAAATCATGGAACTACAGTACTTACTCCCGAGTTTTCGGAGGCGGGATATGTCAGTAGACACCCACAGGCAATAGAACACAAACGTCTGAAACGAACTTGAAGTTCAGTTGAGGAACCTTTGGTACTCGTAAACGTGTACCGGCGGAGGATTATGCGTTTATCAACATTAATAATTTGTATTCTGATCAGAAAAAAATGGGCGCTTTGAAAGCCAAAATATCTGCCGCAGCAATCCACTCCCGAGATGTTAGCCCTTTCTATTTCTTCAGCTTTCATTATTGATTTTTCAAGTTAACACCGCGCGCGACGACTTTTTATCTGATCAGATCATACCGGTTCAACTTGTTTAATGATGTCGGTTTCAAATGAAGAGTTCTACCTTGATCAGATGCCTTCCTTCAGAAAATTCAATACCAAAAAAAAGACGGGACAGAAGATTTATAAACCAGACTTTCTGGTGTTACCCACACAACATTTTCTGCTTCACAAAAAGCACCACAACAAGCACCTGGTCCAAATCATGCCCAAGATCATGTTCCCAAAGACACCACTCTTCCTCAAGCAGAGACAGAGCAAATCGAAAGACATTGAAGACGGATCCTCCGTCACGACTGAGATTATCTATGATTCGTCCCATTCCCAAGACGTTGATCCACAAACGCGAAAGGAGCAGGAATGTCTTCGAAAGCTGAGAGAAGAATGCCGCTTGGCAAACATCTCCGTCTCTGACAACATCATCTTTCGCTTTGCTTGCTACTACAACTTTAACTTTGACAAGGCCCGAACTGCCATGGCCGAAAAGTTTGATGATCCTCATCTTCACTATAGAATGGACGATGAGCTCTTAGACCAGTTCCAAAACAAGGTCATCTTTCCCCTACCGGGTCTCAGGACCAGGAACATGAAGCACGAAGTACTCTACTTTCACGCCGCTCGACATTTCACAGCGACAATGGATACCCAACTGCTAATAAGGAACATGACCTATATTTTCAACGATATGAGCCTGACTGAGCAACAATGCCGCAATGGAGTCGCAATGATAATCGATTTGAACCACTGGACATTCAAGAACTTCACACCCGAATGCTCCAACAAGTTTTTCAAGGCATTGCAATACCAAGTACCAACAAAGGTAGAAGCAGTTCTCATTGTGAACGCTCCGCGCTGGTTCCCAAAACTTTATCGCCACTTGTTCAAGAAGATGATGACCAAATCATTCGCTAAGAAAGTGCATATCTTGAAGAAACCACAGCAGTTGAAAACTCATTTGATGGATGGCTGCGAACAGTTTCTGCCAGTAGAAATGGGATATTGGGTCGACTCAACGGAGATTGTTGACGATTTCATCGACTGGAAGCGTCACACTGAATCCAATCATTGAGCGAGAGCATGATGGTACTATAATCGGGGACGATGAGGGAGGATGCGAGCACATGGCTTCATCCAACATTTTCTATACTTTACATATTCTAATTATTAGGGCATTGCTATTTTGCTTCATGGCATGTCTTTGCACCTTACAGTAGGAATCAATTTAAAATACAATATGAACCCAATTTTGGGTTCGTGATTTTGTAAGTCCATAGTGTTGACTGGATTGGTTCGAAACACGATTGACGTACTTCACTGAAGCGGCGCACCTCAAGTCGTCAACGGAATGGAGACTAGAGGAGCTCTCAAGTCTCATGGGTCTTCCGTCTTCCCGATCAATCATCGCACTTCTCGCAAGATAACTACAGTAGTTGCAGCCAACTTACGCAAGTTCAAGGCATATGAAGGACGACATCATCAATAACTACAAAGACGATGACCCAAACCCTCGCAAGCGCCAGGTTGCCACAGTGGGACTCCAGAGTGGTAAGCGCATCAAAATGGACGAGTGGCTAGCCTATCATGGAACAAGACAATTCCGCATTGATGACGATCATTACCAATGCCTGGAAAGACAGAGAAGAGGAAAGAATGGAGGTCGAATGAATAGCTATCGCAAATCAGTATGTCACGCACGATGTCATAAGGACTGGATTCGCATTATGCATTATCTTGGCCAATGCGTACGAGGAAACCAATATAAGTTTTGGTAAGATGGATTTGGTGAAGTCAGGAGTTTTCATTGCATCGAAAACGAATGTTGACTTCATAGGATGTACGACGTTTGCTCTACCCTAAAGGCGTCCAATGAAACTCTTCGCTCACTGGATCTCATACTTTCTTGCCGATCTCTTGCTCTGTTTACCTTGGGATCTGAGGCATCCAGCATTTCGGAGCTTCGCATTTTGAACTCCAATCTTGATTGCAAGCTTCAAACAAAACCTGTGTAGCTGTGCTCGGTGTTTAAGCACTACTCTTGGTGAAGGTTACGTCAAGAACTCATCATTATTGTCAGTATCAATTACTTGGCAACGGAAGAAGTTATTGATCGAATTCGACCGGTTTGGCCTGGATTGTTCAAGACATAGGTACCAAGAGCTTCTCTTAAGTCTGACAAGTTGGAGCCCAAACGAAGACGAATGTGAAATTGCATTTCGAGGCGAACATTCAAATTTCTTTGATCTCGCGATCCGTAACGAGCAGTGAGAAGAATAGACTACAACAGAAACGTTTCTGAGTGTATCGCTATAGGTACGGTATGTATGTCTATTTGATATCGTATGGCTTTCAAAATAACCAATTTGCATCTTAGTAGCTTGTATTGCCGTTATGTGTGCTAGCCTTCGAGCAAACAATTGGTATCATGTACAGTAATTTTGTCGAATACTGTAGCTATCAAATGAAATGGATCAATCAATTTTTTCTTGAGACTATCTATATCTTGGACCGGCACGAAAACTCGTCACTGCTGGGACCTGAAAGCACAAAACGCCGCTACTTTTATGTGTAACCAACGATGAAAAGTGTAACCAAGGACAAAAAGTGTAACCAAGGACAAAAAGTGTAACCAAGGATAAAGTGTAACCAAAAGACCAAAAATCTGAACCCTTCGTGTCTTTTTAGTTACCACTACCAGATTCAAAAAATATATTCTGAGGGCAAAACTCGTTCTAATCAAAATGCTTCCTCACTGGATCAATAACAAAGCAGGACCAATGACAGTTTCTGCTACAGTAGACTGAAAGCGTAGAACGCCGCTGGTTTAATGTGTAACCAGGGATAAAGTGTAACCAAGAGACAAAAAATCTGGAATCTTCGTGTCTGTTTAGATACCTGTTTTGGGAAGTCAGTTGAAGTGATATCCAGCAGAAACGAATGAACGTCCTCAAATTTTTTAAGTTCAAGTGAGGAACCTCTCTCTAGCTGAGTGAACCTAGGATTCTGAGCAGAAAAAGTCGAAGTTCACCTTATCCAGAGAACACCATTTATTAATATGACCCCGATCCGCGAATTTCCCACCCTTTCCACCCAAATTTTGGCATTTTCCAAAAAAATAGCACCATAGAGATCCAAAATGGTCATTTTGAGAAGACGTCGCATAACGACGCCGATTGGACAGATAGAAGCGCATTGGGCTGAGGATATCAGCCCTATGCTTGAAACTAATTCGCGCCAATTTTTGACTGAGGGAGGATGAAATTCATGACTCGTCATCATCATTCACGATGGCAACGCGACGTGGAAAGAGGAACGCCAAGGAGACACCTCCACGGTCCCATCACAAGAAGAAAAGAGTGTACCTTTGTACCCATGCAAGTGGAAAGCAGTGGTGTACGGCCTGTGACTCGTGTAAACGTTGTAAAGCTCCTCCTCGGCCAGATTTGCCAAACGACAAACAATGCCAAGCCCACACTGTTGCTACATCTACAAGAATCAGGAAGAAATCAATCAACGGCCTCGAATACTGCATGCCTACTGTCACACCACACAAAAGCGGCCGCCCAAAAAGGACAACCTACGATGACACCGTCGGGAAAATCCAACAGACCACAGCAGAAGACGCTCAAGTCGAAGCTGACGAAAAACTCCAAGCTGAATTGACGGCAATCAAGAGCGAAATGAAGGTGGAGAATGCCAAAACGGTCCAATGTATCAGAGAAGAATCAGAGGCGGAGGCTCTGAAATTATTGATCCAGACAAATGGCAAAGACGTGGAGCTTCCTGCCGAATTTTTCATTGAATCATTGAAGCTCAGAGCAGAGATTTTGAGGATTTGATCCGTGGAAGAGAGAATGAAAAGAGGGAGGCGGAAGAGGTCGAACATCAGCTGATTGTTATGTTGGAGAGCTACCTTTGTATCCGAGTTGCTGTGGCAGTTGATGACAACAAGCCGGCTGTTGGTCGAGTGGTGGATGTTAACCTCGTGAAAGAAGATGGCAAAACCGTCAACACTGCGAACTATATTGTCGAGTTTGATGGCGAGGTTTACTTCGAAGGCAACCGGACGGATCGCGTAGAACTGAACCAAGAACAGGTGTTGTATGCGATGGACTTCATGAAAGAAATTGAATCTTTTGAAGATGATGTTGACGAGGACGGCGAAGACGGTGCTTGTGTGCCGGTGAGTAGAGACTGGGATGAATTGGAAGAATATGTAGGCAACGTTGCGTAGGCTTGGTAATAGATCCAATGAATTACATTCCTTTTTGTAGGCTAAGCAGTGCAGTAGCAAGATTAAAATCCCATTCTGCTTCTGCTTTCAAGCAACGTGAATTTGATGTGGTTTTGGAAAAAACAGAAATCTCGGATGTTTTTGGGTTCCATTTTGGTTCCACGCAAAAATTCAACGAGGCGCCTGGTACTTTAGCAAGAATTTGCGCGCGAACCAGTATTTTCCGTACGTAATCAGACGTCTAACTCTTCGCGCACCTCTATGCGCCCTTCAGTTGAGATCGTCTTCAATCACATCAATTCTTCTTTCCACCAACAATGGTATGCCTTCAGGCCGAGGAAATCACCACCCTCGGGAGGAAAACTCTTGCATTTTGGAAGCGGCCTTTGTCGTGACCGTATCTATCTTGTTTGTATGAGGTGAAATGGACGAGTTTGTTCCTTTCACCTCTGAAATGACTGCAAAAGACACATAAACGAGGTCTGAAATTCGGTTTTTGCATGGATTTGGGACCCCACGCAGTCGCAAGGCAGTAAAGATGTCAAATTTTCTTCGGAAGTTGCTTATTATGTTATAGGAAAGACGGTGGTATCATTTGATGTGCGGTATCTGGGCTCCTACAGGACGATTTTCACACGACAATATTGAGTTGGGAATTCGTCCATCACAATGGGTAGCCGGTGTGGGCGCCCAGAGAAGTAAAAACTGAATAACATGTTATGGCAAGCATGTTTGATAGATGGACTATGGCTGGAGCGGCGATTCACTATTCCTTTCGCCTCCATTACACTACAATCTACCAAAATTCGCCAAACATGTTCTGTTGGGTTGCTTAATCTGGTCAGCAGAAGGTCAAGAGGGCAAGGCCTCATATGCAACATGTGCTGGAAAGCTTCGCAGTGACCATACCTACTCGGAGATCCATTCGGTTGCTTTTTCTATGGAATATTGGCTGAGATTTTTGAATCCGAATGTTTGCTGCTGTCGTGTCACCTGTCATCATGAGGGTCGGTGTGGCCGCCCTGGAGACAACTATACATTCAACAATACACCAGAAGGTCCCTTGGATACCTATTGTTTCTATTTTCTGGTTTCTTTACATTTTTTCGGCCTAGATCAAGAATGATCTAACAAAAATGGGAAGAGTTTTCAGTGAAATTCGGTCCAAAATGGGAAATGGTATTGGTGTGGACCGAATTTCCTCAGAATTCTTCATTCCAACATACAGTTGTCGTCCATGGGTATGTATGATGAGATTGGGGGGCTTGGAATGGGTGATTTCTACGTGCAAGCGATTCAATGGCAATCACCCTGCTACAGTGGTCAATCCAGGTTTATGAAACTTGGTGTCAGGAATCCTTCTCAGTCGCCGAGTCAGTACCCAGACACCATGGCACTAAGTTCAAAGTTGTCCAAATACCAACTAGTATCGACTTTGGGCGGTGTTTTGGAGTGCTGCGCCGGTAAATAGATTCTAGGCTAGCTTATTTTTTTCTCTCTTTCCTAAGGTTTCTCTTTGACTTGGTCGAATTTCCTTCCCTGTGATCGAATCTAGCCACTTTCGCAATTTAGAGTATGCAGAGGTCTAGTTTAGGTATATATTTATAATATCGCCGGGAAATTTATCTAAAAATGTAATCGCAACAAGGTCGTATGGTAGGAGATCGCCCTCTTACCTCTTGTTTTTCGTTTTGGTAATCACACGAGTCAAAATCGGAATTGACTCAATCGACTTGATAACGGTTTCTTTTTTAGCCGTTACACAAATGTTGTTTTCTGTAGTGAAGCCCCTCTACGACCTCCTAGCAACTTGGAATTTTTTACAAGGAATGGGCAAACTATTCTCTAGCGACCTGAAAAGGTTCTAGGTCCATAGCTGCTTTTTGAAATTTTTACTTTGTCACCAGAATTCCAAATTCCTGCCACATTTTGGGTTGGGAATTCGCGGATCGGGGTCATATATAATTTTTCATATAAGACCAACCTAGGACTAGGAATGCTAAAAATAATACATATATATGTGAAGAACCTTTCGGAGGATTCTGCGTTTTTCAAGATTCAAGCAGAATAATTTAAGACGCCACAGGAGATTTTTTTACACCTTGGGCCCAAAAGCCCCCCTTCAGATACTCACAAAATAAATTTGCTGTACATCTCACTGCACAAAAAAGCAACAAGCTCCAAATCATGACCAAAACAATGTTCACAAAGACAACACTCTTTCTCAAGCAGCATCAGAGACATGCAAAAGATAAGGAAGACGGGGCGTCCCTCGCAACTGACAATCACTCTGATTCATCCGAATCCCAAGACAGCGCTTTGGCTGATCCTCAGACACGAAAGGAAGAAGAGTGTCTCCGAAAGCTGAGAGAAGAATGCCGCTTGGCAGACATCTCCGCCTCGGGTAATATCATATTTCGCTTTGCTTGCTTTTACGACTTTAACTTCGAAACGGCTCGAACTGCCATGGTAAAAAAATACAATGACCCCCATCTAAACCTTCGAATGGAAGACAAGCTCTTGGACCAATTCCAAAACAAGGTTATCTTTCCCCTACCGGGTCTCAGGACCAGGAACATGAAGCACGAAGTACTCTACTTTCATGCCTGTCGCCACTTCCCAGCAACAATGGATACTGAGCTGCTTGTCAGGAACATGACCTACATTTTCAACGATATGAGCCTGACTGAACAACAATGCCGGAATGGAGTCGCAATGATAATCGATTTGAACCAGTGGGCATTCAAGAACTTCACGCCGGAATGCTCTAACAAGTTTTTCAAGGCACTGCAATATCAAGTGCCGACAAAGATTGGAGCAGTTCTCATTGTGAACGCTCCGCGCTGGTTCCCAAAGCTTTATCGCCACTTGTTCAAGAAGATGATGACCAAATCATTCGCTAAGAAAGTGCATATCTTGAAGAAACCACAGCAGTTGAAAACTCATTTGATGGATGGCTGCGAACAGTTTCTGCCAGTAGAAATGGGATATTGGGTCGACTCAACAGAGATCGTTGAGGATTTTGTCGACTGGAAGCGTTACGCTGAATCCAATCATTGAGCGAGAGGATGATGATGATACCACTGGGGGACGATGCAGGAGGATGCGAGCGCGTTGCTCCACCCAACATTTTCTATACTTTGTATATTTTTAATATTATTAATATTAAAATACGCTGCTATTTTCCTTATCAATGGCACATCTTCGTAGCTTGCATTAGTAGGTGTCAATCTGCATAAGACGAAAGTTTGTGAGCACCCAATTTTCGGTGTTATGGAAGTTCAGTGTTGAATGCGGATTGATTCGATACACTAAAGTCACCAAATACTGTAGATCATTGCTCCCGTCACAATTAATACTCACAATCACAACAGCCACGTTTCACAGAAAATCAACATACCTCTGGCTACCAAATTGTAACAGACTCCAATCCTTTCAAAACGCTTTCAAGATCGAGACAAATCCAATGCGACATCATCAATAAGTACATATCATGGCTGACAACAAAGGGTGGCGGACCAAAGAGAATGACCCAAAAGTCACAAGTGCAAGAGGGTTCTTGCCACGCAGGTAAAGGGAGTGGCTCGTCTATCCATGGCAAGACTTGTCATAAGGACTGGATTACCATGATGCATTATCTTGGTCAATGCGTGCGAGGAAACCAAGCTTTCATACGATTGACTTGGTTAAAGTCAGATGTTTCCATTGCGGATCGAAAACGAATATGTTGATAAAAGGACGGAGTAGAACGTTTGATCTACCGGTACATTAAAGGCGTCCGATGAAACTCTTCGCTCGGTTATCGGACAGATCCTATACTTTCTTGCCGATCTCTTGCTCTATTCACCTTGGGATCAGAGGCATCCAGCATTTCGCCTCCGTTATAGACAACACGAGCTAGAATCGGAGCTTCGTATTGAACTCCCATCTTGATTGCAAGATCTAAACAAAACCGGTGTAGCTGTGCTCGGTGCTCAAGCACTCTCGATGCAGGTTGCCATGACTGAGTTGACCGAGTCACCAAGCGGTAGGTCAAGAACTCATTGTCAGTATCAATTTCTTGGCAGCGGAAGTAATTGATCGAATTCCACCGGTTTGGATTGTTCAAGACATAGGCATCAAGTGCTTCCCTAAAGTCTGATAAGTTGGAGCCCTCATGAAGACGAATGTGAAACCGCATTTCAAGGCGAACATTCGCGTTCTTTGATCTCGCACAGTTTGTGATTCTTGCTTGTGAAATTGAGCCATTGCTAACAGTTGCGACCTCATTGGTGTGTCCAAATCGTAATGTTGTGGAGAAGAGTGTAATGTCTTCAACGAACCACGATTCGCCTACTCCTGGAGGCGATCCGCCAGGGCTATCAGAAATGATGATTCGGTCACCAATGTCATAAGGTCTTCGACCCACAATGAGAATCATGCCCTAAGAAAGAAAGATGACGTGTCAGACAACAAAAACCAAACTTTTGATAACCAAAAGATCATTACTTACCTCAATGGCAGTTTGAGCACTTGGTCCAACAGCGAAAGCAAAAGTCACCAGCAGGGTGGTTGTGGACACAAGTAGTGGCCATGGATTTAAGTTCAATAAGGCCAGAATGAGGACAGTGAGTCCAAAGAAGAAAACAGTGTCGACTATATTCTCGAGAACTTTGTCGATCACTGATGCGTTGCCTACAGAGGCCCTAAAGTAACGAAGCTTCTTGTAGACTGAATCACAGCCGCTCACAAATGCTAAGAGAGAGACATTGCCACTTCTGTCTGGCGGGAATGTCTTTTTCAAGCTTTTTTGCTTCTGCTTGTCGATGGTCCCATCATCGTTTTCGGCCAATACCGCTAGCACAGAGAAAGGCAAGATCGATGATCCTTCCGCAAGCTGTCGAAGCCGCGAATAGACAGCCTGAGAAGAAGTCAATAGTTCGTCTCTGGTTGCTGCTGGTCCAAACGAATCGGAGAATGGGTGTTCAAGATCCATGTAAGTTAGGGCCTTACGAAACTTCAAAATGTCCGAGACTGAAGAGTTCGATCCCTGAAATTTTGTGAGCCGAATCAGGAGAAGAGATTGCCCTTAACAGAAGAATAGCGACTTACCGTATCCATCTTGTTCAATGGATCGTCCCATCGGCCCAGTAGATTCTTAATTTTGAAGTGCTTTACACTTGTGTCAAGTGAAAGAGTAGAGTAGGATTTGGTGAAAGGAGTACGATTGGCCCTTCGATCAGAATTAATCTGATCCTCTATTTCTTTGCCTTTATCTTGCTTGCGCCCACCCTTCTTGATCCCGGCACGATCACTGTCGTAACTACTATCACTTCCATCGCTATCATCATCTTCACCATCCTCATCATTATCTAGATCATCTTTTTCCTGAATCACATCCCCTGGAGCATTTTTCATTGTTTTGCCGTCCTCAAAACGAAGACTAGCCCAGCGAACACCGAGACCAAGGCCGCTTCTTCGATCGCTGACCGGCGTGGCATCACTTCTCTTGCTATCTGTTAGTGGGATATCACTCGCTGCAGCCGAAAGCTCAGCAACTTCAGAAACCAAGATCACCTTGTTGAGAAGCTTCTCCAGCTTGGTCTTGTATATATCTGAAGGGCAGAAAGAACATCGTTGAGCGAGACATCATGGAAAGTTTCACAAGAGACTAATTCATTCCATACCAAAACTTCTCTTTCCAAAGTAGAGGGTCACAAATGTTCGCTTCAACGATGTGATAGCTCCAGCAAGTACCATTCCAATCAGAACTCGAAGGTATGCATTAGAAGCGATAATGTAGCTTCCCGAATTAGAAGCAGTGAAAATCTTCATTCCAGTAAAGTACAGCCAATGCTGGCTAAAGGCATCGTCACCGTGTAAGAATACCATCGCCAAGATTCCCCAGCATCCGACTAAGAATGGCCATCCTCGTGATTGAAGGCAAAACAGCGCCGCCCAAGGGCCGACAATGACCGAGACTAACCGAGTGGATAGAATGATACAGTCGATCAAAAGTGCTTGGAGAATGTAGGACAATTGAAGCAAGATAACGTGTTGACCTGTGAAAGAAAGCGTACATTTGAGAAATCATTGAAATCAATAGAAAGTTCATCGACAAATTCGTACCGAAAAAGCTCAACCACCAAGAAACGGTGGCTTCACCAGGCATGAAGTCGAGCTCAGGGTTTCCAGCGTACTCAAACAATATCCAGGAAATGATGAACAAAGGAACAGCCCATACAAAAAATGGCACAAGTGTGACCTGCAACAAAACTTTGATAAACTCCAACGGATTGAGGCATGCGAGATTCCATTGAAAACGTGGCCTTGGTCCATTTCTCCTTGCCGCGAGTAGCCTTTGATGCTGTGCTGATGAATAGTCATCTATTGTTTCGTCGAACAGGGGATCACGGGACTCGTCCACATCAATTTCCATTGGGGCCCCGCGGAATAATCCATCCCCTTCCATTGAATTGAAATTTTCTTCTTCGTTATCATTGATACTTTCGAGCAGTGATTGTACACGCTTCTGGTTGTTCAATGGAATTGAATTTGAAAGGTTGCCGTTAGTCTGCTGCTCGTCAGCAGACTGAAAGGATCTCTGACTTCGTTGACGTGCCAGTTGTGCCATGTTTCGAAACCTCGGCGCAGACGAGGTGGCCACAGGGGCTTCTTCATCAAATGCTCTCCCTAGAGTATTTAGACCAAGAGGAGCCCGTTCCCCTTCAACAGCAGGTCGAAAACCATCCCCGTTGGGAATGGTTCGCCTTCCTTTTTCTTCCAAACTTTCCAGCAAATAATATTCAGCCGCGTCGGTTTGTAACCCGTCATTCAAACTCTGTTCCGCGGCTTTTGCTGTCGAATCCATACTCGACGTTGCCGCCCCACCTAGGGACGGTATGACTTTGCTTGCTCTAAGCTTGTTGGTACCATCTTCTTGGTTCATCTTTTTTTCTTCCACTGAAACAATTTGTGAAGAAAATGACCGTTAAAATATTGCGGTGCATGCGCACCGGTTGGACTGGCCGTCTCGAAACCAAACAACGTTTCAAGTGTTTTTAGTCAAAGCTACAGTAGCTAAAGGATCGAAAACAACGAAACCGCCCGCCCGCTTGATCCGATGTTTTTGTTCTCTAAAATTGAATCGTCTGGGCGGGACCAGAGCACTAAAATTCGTCAAGAGCAGAAGATTTGGAAACCCCCGAAGTAGATAGCATCGAAAGTTCGACTGTTCCCCACAGAGTTTCATTCTACATTCACACAAAATCACAATCTCCACATCAAACACCAAATCATGACCAAATCAATGTTCTCAAAGCCACTATTCCTCAAGCCGCAAAAGAGGCAGAGAGATGCAAAAGCCATTGAGGAACCGTCGGCGTTAACGACCCCAATTCGTCACTCTTATTCATCTTTGACGCCCATCGATCGTCAAACAAAAAAGGAGGAAGATTGTCTTCGAAAGCTGAGAGAAGAATGCCGCTTGGCAAACATCTCCGTCTCTGACAACATCATCTTTCGCTTTGCTTGCTACTACGACTTTAACTTCGAAAAGGCTCGACCTGCCATGGTTGAAAAGTTCAATGATCCCCATCTTCACTATAAAATGGACGACGAACTCTTGGACCAGTTCCAAAACTTGGTTATCTTTCCCCTACCGCGTCTCAGAACCAGGAACATGAAGCACGAAGTGCTCTACTTTCACGCCTCTCGCCACTTCACAGCGACAATGGATACTCAACTGTTAATCAGGAACATGACCTACATTTTCAACGACATGAGCCTGACTGAAGATCAATGCCGCAATGGAGTTGCGATGATAGTGGATTTGAACCACTGGACATTCAAGAACTTCACACCCGAGTGCTCAAACAAGTTTTTCAAGGCATTACAACATCAAGTACCAACAAAGGTAGAAGCAGTTCTCGTTATGAACGGTCCCCGCTGGTTTCCAAAAGTTTATCGCCATCTGTTCAAGAAAATGTTGTCCAAGCAATTTGCCAAGAAAGTGCATATCTTGAAGAAGCCGCAGCAGTTACAAAATCATCTGATGGATGGTTGTGAAAAATATTTGCCAGTTGAAATGGGATACTCTGTCGATTCAACAGAGATTGTTGAGGATTTTGTCGATTGGAAGCGTCACACTGAATCCAAACTGATCGTAAACGAAAAATGAAAGCAGGCAATAGTAAGATAGATCAATATTCTGTATTTTCGTTATATTTTAGGCCATTTCACTGGATATCTTCACAGCTTTCAATGTAACCACTCCACATGATAGCCTCCACATGTCCGCAAGCTTGGGCGTCATGTAGGACAATAGTCACTGTCGCGGTGATGGACGAACACGAACAAACTTTAAAGCAAAATTCTAACTCTCGAGTCCACAGTTGCCAACAGCCTGTATATTTGCGGGTGAAAGTTCTTGAACGCAGACGCACCACGTTGTTGTTTTCCCATGCCACTTAAAAAAGCACTTGGGGGGAGGACTAGTCGTACTAGTACTAGTACTAGTACTAGCTACTAGAGAACAAGAAGCAGCCATCGGTCTCGTCCCTTGGCATCAAGACAACTGCAGACATGGGGGATAATCTCGCAAGTTGACTGTATTGTCCAATTACGTAAACCTTTGGTACATGACAAGATGAGTTGGAGTAGGTACAGATCACAATTTCAACCAAACGTGAATGACTTATGCTATTCAAATCACGAATAAAGCGTGTTCACTGCGCGACCCACCTCGAACCGGTCGTGCCAAATATTTCTTACATAGAAGTTACAGTACACGTATGTACCACTTTTCGGAGGATTCCACAGGATCGCCACAAAAAATGTTTGCGTCGTGACAGTCGAGAGATTTGCCTTGATCCATTTCCCCGTCGGTTTTGACCTCTCTGTGAGAGTTTTGTTTCAAGTTTCATTAATTGAATTGTTCAATTTGCTCGCGCGCAATATGTAGTCCCCTGATCAGATGATATTGCTTGTTGATACCGGGAATACCGGGAATATATGATCAGACGCCTCAACACGGATGAAAGATATTTTCCCATCAAACACCCTTCAATAGCCCTCACAAAATTTGATCCACACCATCCACATAGCTTCACAAAAAGCACCAAACTTGAAATCATGACCAAAATAATTTTCCCAAAGGCAGGACTCTTTCTCAAGCAGCATCAGAAACAGAACGATGCAAAAGACATCGATGGAGGGTCGTCTTTCACAACTGAGATTCACTCTGATTCATCCCTAGACGGCGCTTCTACTGATCGTCAGAACCGAAAGGAGCAGGAATGCATCCGGAAGCTGAAGGAAGAATGCCGATTCGCAAACATCTCCGCCTCCGATATCATCATCTTTCGCTTTGCTTGCTTCTACGACTTTCATTTTGACAAGGCTCGAACTGCCATTGTTCAGAAGTTTGATGACCTTCATCTAAACCTTCGAATGGAAGACAAGCTATGTGAACAATTCCAAAACAAGGTTATCTTCCCCCTACCAGGTCTCATGACCAAGAACAAGAAACATGAAGTGCTCTACTTTCACGCCTCTCGCCACTTTCCAGCAACAATGGATACTGAAATGCTCATCAAGAACATGACCTACATTTTCAACGACATGAGCTTGACAAAAGAACAATGCCGCAATGGAGTTGCAATGGTCATCGATTTGAACCATTGGACATTCAAGAACTTCACGCCTGAATGTTCTAACAAATTTTTCAAGGCCCTTCAATATCAAGTACCAACAAAGGTCGAAGCAGTTTACATCGTGAATGCCCCAAACTGGTTTCCGAAAATGTATCGCCACTTGTTCAAGAAGATGATGGCCAAATCATTTGCTAAGAAAGTGCTAATCTTGAAGCACCCACAGCAGTTGCAAAACCATTTGATGGATGGCTGCGAAAAATATTTGCCAGTCGAAATGGGATATTGGGTCGATTCATCAGAGATCATTGATGATTTCGTTGACATGAAGCTTCACAGTGAATCGAACCATTGACATGAGTACTTGTCGACACATGGGCAGGGACGAAACAATTTTTTACATTATCATTCTTACATGCAATACATAGGACCACAGCCAATACAATAAATCAATAGAGAAAAGCTGTAACAGATGGTTGTGTAGCTTGATGTATTCTTGTACTAGCTTCTACCTGGTTTCACTGTGCCAGTTTTTAGGTTCGTACCATTCGTCTTCGAATCGTGAATGTCTTCATCTCAAGATTTTTACACATTCAACATATGCGTCACCTTTCGAGGATGGAGACAAATTGGAAATGTCCAACTTCTCCCACAAGATAATTCGGGGACGGCCGGGAAAATCAATATTTACTGTGAAGAATTGTATGCTAAATTTCTATTTCCCGGCCGTTCCTGATGGGTGTAATACTTTTCGGAGGAATGAAGCAGCAGTCATCTTTATTTTTTTATTAAAAAATAAAATAGATGTCTATTATTGTGATTTGCCGATTTCGTGGCGTTACATTATAATTTTGAATTCTTGTTTATACCCCGTCATTAGATGACGTAGAGAGACGCGATAAAAGATACCGGTAACCATTATTTCCCCTTCAATCAACGTTTCACATCACTCTCATAAAAATTTCTTCACGTCTACTCAAAGCACCAAACTCGAAAATAAAGCTCCGAATCATGGCCAAAATAATGTTCCCAAAGGCAGCACTCGCTCTGATGCAGAACATGAGACAGAGCAACGCCAACGACAGCAGCGATGGAGGATCGTCCTTCACAACTGACGATCGCTGTGATTCATCTATTTCCCCTTCCAAAGACGGCTCTTTTCAATATCCTCGGACGCAAAAGGAGGAAGAATGTCTGCGAAAGCTAAAAGAAGAATGCCGGTTGGCAAACATCTCCGCCTCCGATATCACTATCTTTCGCTTTGCTTGTTTCCACGACTTTAACTTTGACGTGGCTCGACCTGCCATGATTGCAAAATACAACGATCCTCGTTTACATCTTCGTATGGACGATGAGCTCTTGGACCAATTCCAAAACAAGGTTATCTTCCCCCTACCAGGTCTTAGGACAAAGAACATGAAGCACGAAGTGCTCTACTTTTATGCCTGCCGCCACTTCCCAGCAACAATGGATACTGATCTGCTTCTCAGGAACATGACCTACATTCTCAACGACATGAGCTTGACCGAACAACAGTGCCGCAATGGAGTTGTAATGATCATCGATTTGAACCATTTCACATTCAAGAATTTCACACCGGAAAGCTCCAACAAGTTTTTCGAGGCGTTGCAGCAAGTACCAACAAAGGTCGAAACAACGATCATTCTGAATGGTCCCCGCTGGTTTCCAAAAGTGTATCGTCATTTGTTCAAGAAGATGCTGTCCAAGGAAAATGCTAGGAGAGTACTAATCTTGAAGCAACCCCAGCAGTTACAAAACCATTTGATGGATGGCTGCGAAAAATATTTGCCAGTCGAAATGGGATATTGGGTCGATTCATCAGAGATCATTGATGATTTCGTTGACATGAAGCTTCACAATGAATCGAACCATTAACATGAGAAAATTTTCAACATACGGGTGGGGTTAGGCCAAAACACTTTTGCTACATGATTGTTCTTACATGCAATGCAGCTAATACAATAAATCAATAGAGAAAAGCTGAGTCAGATGGTTGTATAGCTTGGTGCCTTTTAATAGCTTCTATCTTGTTTCACTGTGACAGTTGTACATATCGTCAATCAAACGTGAATTTGGTTTTGTCCCAATTTTTTATTACGGTACAGCAGTCAAAAATGCTCACCACTTTGATATGCGGACTGACGTGTGACTCGCAGTGCATAATGCGGGTGAGTGTAATACTTTTCGGAGGAATTTCAAATTTCCGGTGGCATACCGTAGAAAAAGTGGGACCCTGTCATTATATGCGAAAATATCTCTTTTCGCGTCATTAGATGATAGGCGCGATAAAGGATACTGGTACCATTATTTCCCCTTCAATCAACGTTTCATATGATATCACTCTCATAAAAATTTCTTCACGTCTACTCAAAGAACCAAGCTCCGAATCATGGCCAAAATAATGTTCCCAAAGGCAGCACTCGCTCTGATGCAGAACATGAGACAGAGCAACGCCAACGACAGCAGCGATGGAGGATCGTCCTTCACAACTGACGATCGCTGTGATTCATCTATTTCCCCTTCCAAAGACGGCTCTTTTCAATATCCTCGGACGCAAAAGGAGGAAGAATGTCTGCGAAAGCTAAAAGAAGAATGCCGGTTGGCAAACATCTCCGCCTCCGATATCACTATCTTTCGCTTTGCTTGTTTCCACGACTTTAACTTTGACGTGGCTCGACCTGCCATGATTGCAAAATACAACGATCCTCGTTTACATCTTCGTATGGACGATGAGCTCTTGGACCAATTCCAAAACAAGGTTATCTTCCCCCTACCAGGTCTTAGGACAAAGAACATGAAGCACGAAGTGCTCTACTTTTATGCCTGCCGCCACTTCCCAGCAACAATGGATACTGATCTGCTTCTCAGGAACATGACCTACATTCTCAACGACATGAGCTTGACCGAACAACAGTGCCGCAATGGAGTTGTAATGATCATCGATTTGAACCATTTCACATTCAAGAATTTCACACCGGAAAGCTCCAACAAGTTTTTCGAGGCGTTGCAGCAAGTACCAACAAAGGTCGAAACAACGATCATTCTGAATGGTCCCCGCTGGTTTCCAAAAGTGTATCGTCATTTGTTCAAGAAGATGCTGTCCAAGGAAAATGCTAGGAGAGTACTAATCTTGAAGCAACCCCAGCAGTTACAAAACCATTTGATGGATGGCTGCGAAAAATATTTGCCAGTCGAAATGGGATATTGGGTCGACTCGACAGAGATCGTTGAAGACTTTGTCGATTGGAAGCGTTACAATGAATTTTCACAATGAATCGAACCTATCTGCAAGGTGCCAACAAATTCTCATTCATAGATTTTAATATACTGTACATTTTTTTAAAAGCAATAGTCATATAGAATAACTTGATTCCAAGGACATATTTTATTGCACTGTATGTGGGAGTCATACTTTTCGGAGTATATTTTTTACTATATATATAATTACAATTTTCCGGTGGCAAAGAAAAGGTAGGAAGGACCCTACCGTACCTACCGGTATTGCATATAAAGCGCTGGAAGAGAGTCGGGTTTCAGTCATTTCATGTCAAAATATATCTCTTTTCCCGTCATCAGATGATAGACGCGAAAAAAGATACCACACCATGCAGTGTTTTCCCACCGATCACCGATCTAGTACTGTCATAAAATTTGCTGCACTTCTTCTTAAAAGTACCAAGCTCCTAAGGCAAATCTATCTCCAAATCATGCCTAAGATCATGATCCCTAAGGCTGCACGCGCTCTAATGCAGAGAGAGAACAATTCTTTAGACAAAGACAAAGTGGGATCGTCCATCAAGCCTGACAGTATTCTATCTGATTCATCCCATTCCCAAGACAGCACTTCTGCTGATCCTCAAACGCGAAAGGAGCATAAATGCATCCGAAAGCTCAAAGAAGAATGTCACCTGGCAAACATTGCTGTCTCCGATAACGTCATCTTTCGCTTTGCTTGTTTTTACAATTTCAACTTTGACAAGGCTCGACCTGCCATGTTGGAGAAGTTTGATGATCCTCATCTACACCTTCGAATGGAAGACCAGCTGTACGAACAGTTCCAAAAAAAGGTCATGTTTCCCCTACCGGGTCTCAGGACAAAGAACATGAAGCACGAAGTACTCTACTTTCGTCCCAGCCGACACTTGCCAACAAAGATGGATACTGATTTGTGTATCAGGAATATGACCTACGTTTTCAATTCCATGAGCTTGACTGAAGAACAATGCCGCAATGGAATTGCATTCATAAGCGATTTCAACCATTGGACATTTAGCAAGAACGTCTCAATCGCAGACTCCCATAAGTTTTCCATGGCACTTCAGGGTCAAGTACCCACAAAGGTAGAAAAAATTTTAATTGTGAACGCCCCAAGCTGGTTTCCGAAACTTTATCGGCACTTCTTCAAGAAGATGTTGAGCAAATCATTCGCTAAAAGAGTACATATCCTAAAGCACCCACAGCAGTTACAAGATCATTTGATGGATGGCTGCGAAAAGTATTTGCCAGTCGAATTGGGTTACTCTGTCGACTCAACAGAGATTGTTGAGGATTTTGTCGACTTTAAGCGTTACACTGAATCAATCCATTCAATGAGAGCATCATGATACCACGCCACCACGGGCGAGGTATGTTGTGAGCACAGTGAGCACAAAAAGAAGATGGATCCATGCAACGTTTTCTACATTATTCCGTATTTTAACTAGGACATTGCAATCTTGCTTGCTGATGCATCTTCGTAGCTTTGAATACTACCAATCTGGATGAGAAACGTTCCAGTACCTACACCGGAATCGAATTGTCATGTAATTTATTCGTTCATCAATGTTCATTCTCAATTGACTAGTTGGATCAAACCACACACGACTGACTGACTCACTCCCTCACCAGCTGGATGGCGGGTAAAATGGGAATATCCCATCGTCCGTGATGGTTTTCAGTCAGGATCTTTGAGAACACACATTGACTTACCAAAAGCATACATCGGCCATATCAACAACCTTCCACACAATAAGACCTATGATGCTTGCTGTCTTGAGTTTTCTCCTTCTGTTGGCCTTTGTTGCGGCGCAACCAAGCAATATTGATGGTGTCACCATCTTGGATCCGGAGGATTTCAAGAGCGGAATTGATTCTGGAGAGTGTGAGTTCCAAAATTATACACGTTTATTTCTTCAAGGTTGTCTTCTAACACATTCTGTAATGTAGATGATGCGATCATTGATGTGCGCAGCCAAAGTGAATGGGACGCTGGTCACATTGAAGGAGCTACGTTGGCCCTGAACTTGGCGGCGTATCCCAGTGATGAAGTTGAAACTGCTTCTCCTACTGATTTCGCTGGTTGTGAAACTTGTACCATTGTGATATATTGTCGTAAGAACATTTTTTTCTTTAGTTCAAAAATTGCTTCCCTTCGCTCAATCTATTTTGTTTCTTTTCCAGGATCTGGTGCAAGGGCTTCCGTCGCACTGCAGAATATGATGGCGGCTGGATTCAATGGTACTTTGTACAATGGCCAAGGAACCAATCAATGGGAAGATGCTGGATATAGCCTAATCAATGGTGACTCGGTGGTTCCCCCGTGTGAACTGAATGAGATTGGTCAATGTACCGCTACCGCACCATCCACTGCTCCCACCCCCGAAGAAGTCAAGGTTACAGTCATAGAGCCTGAAACCTTCAAGAACGGAATCGATAATGGAGAATGTGAGTATTGTCGTATCGAGTGACATTATGATGCTAGGATGCGCCAGTGCCTAACATTCGTCTCCCTCTTTACCACACACAGTCGATGCCGTCATTGATGTACGAACACAAGATGAATGGGACGAAGGTCACATTGAAGGTGCTACCTTGGCCTTGAACTTGGCCTTGTTTGGAACCGGTGGCACTGCATCCCCGGCGGATTTTACGGGTTGCGAAACCTGTACCATAGTTGTATATTGCCGTGAGTAAATTTGTACAGCATGAAACGGGCTGTTGCTGAGATGACATCCCTTCCTTACCCACTTGTTATAAAAACATCCAGGATCCGGCGGGCGAGCCTTGGCAGCACTGGACCATTTGATTGCCGCTGGGTTTAATGGTACATTATACAATGGACAAGGAACCAGTCAGTGGACAAATGCGGGATACCCTCTAGTCACCACTGATTCAATGCTACCGCCCTGCACGAACACTGAAATTGGGACCTGTACGGCTGCAATGAGTATGGCTCCAACAGACATGCCGACCGGAATTACGCCAGATGATTCGACAATGGCTCCAACAACCATGACGACCGGAGATACGCCCGAAGATTCGGCTTCCACTGCTATTCATTCCTGGCCGATGCCTCTGCTGGTTGGACTACTATCGGTGTTTGTTGTTTAGATGTGCTGAAAGAGTGCTTTGGTTTGGCTTCAGAGTTGAGAATATCAATCGTAATGGCTAAGCTGTTGTGCGATATATCAAATTGAGCTGTATGTTTTAAGTAAAAATAACTAGTCGAAAGGAACGGATATTCGTACAGTATCTTACTCTGTTATCACAAATAGTGATTTTGCAAAAAGTATATATAGCCATTTTCTAGTACAAGCATTCGTCGATATCAGAAGATTCCGGGTTCGAATCCCGGGCGGGCTTCTACTGGCCCGTTGGCCCAACGGTAAGGCGTCTGACTACGAACTTTTGCTCCATTCACTTTGCACACTTTTGTCCCTCTTGAAACTCTAAAGTACTGGTACTGGACGCATAGTAGGATAGCAATCCCCGCGCGAACACACGAGCGAATCTAGCATAAGTCGAAGCGGGTGTGTATTGAATCTTTGATGAATCTATCGTCGCACCCCTAAGTAATTACAAGAAAATGTGTACTGAATCTTTGATGAATCTAAGAAAAAAAAACCGATATTTCTCGCTTTTTCAGAACAACGGATGGTCCACCACAACAATCACAAAAATATACTGTTTCTGACCTCCATGTCATATAGGAAGTGCACCATGAATCCCAACGAGAGCTTGATAGCCGACCCAGCTGGAATGAAAGCAAACAAGACTATATCTGGTAGCGAGAGCCCGAATGAAAACTACGTTTCAGCTGTAGGCTCCTTTGATGTATTGCTTGGACGAGGGACTGGTCCCAGCACGAATCAAGGAAATGTCTACTTTCGAGAGACAGTTGAAGACTTGAAAGCTTCTTACATTAAGACACCAAGCAGAAAAGAAAAGAAGCAGATTGTACATAAGATTGTTCGAGACATCAAGACCAAGAAAGGCCGTTTCTTGAACAAGGTTTGCAAGAGCAAGATTCGGACTCTAGGGTTGAATCAAGATGCCCTTTACGAGGTTGTACCAGATTCGGTCGCGCTTGAAAAGACCAAGCAAGCCATTCGTTATGTCCACTACAAAAAGGAACCTTCTTCTCGTGCCAAGAGAAGCAGCAGTGTTGAAAAGGAGAGATGCTTCTCTTGCGGAGATTCGCAAGCTTCTTCTTCCTCCACCACTGATATGGATGATCAAGCTCGAGCCCATGGCCCTGCTCACGAGCCAAGTACTCAGCTCAAGAGCGAGTATTCAACATACACCAATAATGCTGCCGCTCCATTGATCCCGTGCACTCCACTCATTGGGATTCACCCAACCATCTTGGCACTCTTTCAAGCGAGCAATCCCGTTGCTTTTTCTAATCTAGCCTTGCTGAGTGCGCTTTCAAACGGCGGGTTGAACCTTCACCCAACTGTTGCCTCACTATTTTTGGCACAAACTGCGAACCAAGCCAGTCTATCATTTGCACGAGAAATGGAAGCGGCCGCTAACCTTCGCAACCTTCCAAAGACTTTGTCTGGTCCACCAATGGTGGCTCCCAACCCCTCCACTGCACCGTCCAAGAAGGTATCCCCGTCCGCCTAAGTTCGAGTACACATCATTGTCATGCCTTTTCTACCATAATTCGAATATATGAGAGAAAGATCTATAATTTTTTTTAAAATACAGAACTACATTGTGCTATTTTTATATCAATCCCCATACCGATGTACATTCAATTTACCGCTTTCTATCAAACGCTAACAGTGAGCAGTAATCGCCTTACCCTAATGATCTCCCGAAGCTAGCAATACGCGTGGATGGAGTTGTAGTCGTAGCTGGGTATTGTTTTTTGGTGTGGGAACAGTCGTTGAATTTGGAGCCCACATTCGTGTTATGCTGGGACTATCAAGTAAACTGTTGCATCAGTGTGACCCTTTTTAATTAAGTGATGCCTTTTCTGCGCAAATTCACCTTATGGCCTTTATCGGTCACCCATCAGGGATAGCAATTTATTCCAGTTCTAACTGTAGGACTATTATTCCTATCTTAACGACTTATCAAGTCTTCATTCCATGTCATGACTGGTTCGTTGTCTCGCGCCGTCAAGATTTCGCATCCAGTTTCCGTCACCAATACAGTGTGTTCAAACTGGGCGCTACGCTTTCCATCCGTGGTCACAGCAGTCCAATTGTCTCCCCAAGTAAGATCACCACTCTTTCCCAAGTTAATCATGGGTTCCACTGTAAAGACGTGGCCCACCTTCATGGTTCCCTTGGCCTTATTCTTGTGGTAATGTGGGACATTTGGAATCGTATGAAACAGACTGCCAATCCCGTGTCCACAATAAGTTCGTACAATACTGCACTGATTCTTTTGGGCCACCTTGTGAATGGCTGTTCCCAAGTCTCGATACAAGGTGCCAGGTTTGACCAATGCCAAGGCCGCCGCCAAACATTCAAAGGCGGTACGAACAACCTTCTTTCCTTCTGCATCGACCTTGCCCACACAAAAGGTTTCATTCAAATCACCGTGATATCCTCCTAGATTGTACGTGGTCACATCAATATTGACAATATCCCCATCTTGGATTTCTCGGTAGTCCGGAATTCCATGACAAATGACTTCGTTGATGGAGGTACACACCGATTTGGGGAAGTTGTAGTAGTTCAGTGGAGATGGATAACACTCTCGTTCCAGGGCCGCCTCGTGGACGACTCGGTCAATCTCATCGGTAGTCACTCCGGGACGCAGAGCCTTGCCCGCAGCGTCCAAGACTTCTCGGCCCATTCGGCAGGCATGTCGTAATCCATGCTCTATATCCAATTCATTGGGAGTATAGATACGAATGGAATTGTGGTTTCGTTTGTCTCGTTGTTCACTGTCCGAAATTCCCAAGGGATGATCGGCATAGTCCGGTTTGCGAATGTTGGGTGGAACCGTTCGTTTGGGCGACAAGAGAGCAGGACGAAGGGGGCCAGAAAATTCGTAATTCTGGGCCCATTCGGGCAGACTCATTTTGACATCGGCTGGGGCATCGAAAGGGGCGGTGCTACCATCGCGGGGAGGAGTTTTGCCATGCGAAGGAGCGCTAAGAAATGAAAATTGAATGAGCACAGACAATGGGACTGGAAGAATTCAGGGATGAAATAATAGACGCGGTCATCAGCGTCCAGCCGGATTATCCAAATAGAAATCGTTCCATCCACTGTCAATACGACTAGGCATACCTTTGCTGCGCTTCAATTATTTGCTTTGCTAAAGCGTGAACTTGTTTGTGGCTTCCCCAGTTGGCTTTGAAACATGCTTGGGAACAAAAGTAGGCTGGTGGCAATCCTAGCTGGGTGCACTTTGGACACGCGAGATTGGAAGTGATTGGCTTGTCACAGCCAGCTGAAGAGCATGTTGCCATGGTTGGTAATGAAGCAAGGTTAAAAGCTGTAGAAAATGCAGTGATTGATTGCTATTATTGCTTGACACAATACCTGCACTCTGCACTGTTGTCAATAAGCATACGAGTACACGTACGGTAGCTCCATAACCTTTCAACAGAAATGTAGCCGATGACAGACAGGCATTCGTGAATGAAAGCTTCAATCACGAGATACTGACGCACTTTTTGATTTTTGGAAACCGACAGACCAACACCACCTGTTTTTTGGCTTTTGGCTTTCTTCGACTACAACTCATCAACTTCTTAGCTTCTCTACAAAAGAAAGAGCCGTTCATCAACCTTTCCTCCAGCGTGGAAGTATTCGATAAACCAGTTGGTTAGAAGAAAAAGATGAAGGACTTTCTCAAGTCAACAATCCTCTTATCATGGATGCTTTCCATTTCAGCGTTCTCCCCACATACGGTGTCTTCACCAAGAACACCAACCTCACTCAAAATGGCCGAGTTGGAATACAACAGCGAACGAATTCGCAACTTTTCCATCATTGCTCACATTGATCATGGAAAGTCGACGCTGGCTGATCGATTACTGGAATCTACACAGACTGTCGCTCTGAGAGATATGGAGGAACAACTCTTGGACAACATGGATATTGAACGCGAACGAGGCATTACCATCAAGTTGCAAGCAGCCCGTGTGTTGTACAAATCCAAAAAAGACGGAGAAATTTACGTATTGAATCTAATTGATACTCCTGGGCACGTGGATTTCACCTACGAAGTTTCCAGAAGTTTGGCAGCCTGTGAAGGAGCCCTGTTGGTGGTGGATGCCTCGCAAGGAATTGAAGCACAGGTAGGTCCATGGATGTGTATGGATGTTTGTGGTTGTATCTACTGCCTTGGGTGTGGGAAAGTTGCTGCATCATGGTTGTGGAAGTATGCGTGAATACGCGTCACCTTTACTTCAAATATTCTGATATTGATTATTCTTTGTGTTCCACCAATGTAATAGACGCTTGCCAATGTCTACCTGGCTTTGGAGAATGATTTGGAGATCATTCCTGTCTTGAACAAGATTGACTTGCCTGCTGCCGATCCTGATCGTGTGGCCGAAGAAATTGAGGAGACCATTGGATTGGATTGTACCGATATTGTCCATGCGTCCGCCAAGGCAGGCATTGGAATTGATGATATTTTAGAAAGCATTGTCCAAAAGGTCCCACCACCTCAAGCTAATGTTGACAAGCCCTTTCGGGCACTTATCTTTGATTCCTACTATGATTCGTACCGTGGTGTTATTGTGTTTTTCCGCGTGGTCGATGGACAAGTGAAGAAGGGAGACAAGTTGCGATTCATGGCATCGGCAGCGGAACATGAAGTGACCGAATTGGGAGTCATGACACCCAAACAAGTTCAAGTGGAGAACTTGAGAGCAGGAGAAGTTGGATACATTTGTGGTTCCATCAAGGATGTCTTGGATGCACGTGTCGGAGATACCATGGTCTTGTCGAAGCAGTTCAAAGAAGCAAAAGCAGCCGATGCCCCGATGAAAGCCCTTCCTGGTTATGCCGATAGCGTTCCAATGGTCTACTGTGGTTTGTTCCCCGTCGATGCCGATGATTATGAGAGTTTGAGAGATTCCTTGGGTAAGCTTCGATTGAATGATGCCTCCTTGTCATACGAACCGGAGACATCGGGAGCCATGGGATTTGGGTTCCGATGCGGTTTCTTAGGATTGTTGCACATGGAAATTATCAACGAGAGACTATCTCGGGAATACAATCTTGACTTAATCATGACTGCCCCCAGTGTGGTATACAAGGTTATACACAATGGAGTTGAGAAGACCATCGAGGCCCCCAGCAAGATGCCCGACGTCACTCGTGATCACGAAACTCTGGAGCCATACGTCAAAATGGAAATTTTGACACCCTCCGAATACAACGGTGCCATCATCGAGTTGGGTCAAGAGCGCCGTGGAATTCTGATAGACATCAAGTACTTGACACCCACTCGATCCACCATCGTTTACGAACTGCCATTGGGAGAAGTTATCACAGACTTTTTCGATCAATTGAAGTCAAGAACCAAGGGGTACGCCAGTATGGAATATAAAATCTTGGAATACAGAGCCAGCGACTTGGTCCGACTGGATGTCAAAATCAACTACGAGCTGGCCACAGCTCTGGCTACCGTTGTCCACCGTGACAATGCCCAATCTATGGGACGCAGACTTTGCGCTTCTCTTAAGGAGTTGATCCCAAGGCAAATGTTCAAGATTCCCATCCAAGCCTGTATTGGTGTCAAGGTCGTAGCTTCGGAACACATTTCACCGATGCGAAAGGATGTGTTGGCCAAGTGTTATGGAGGTGACATTTCGCGGAAAAAGAAACTGCTGAATAAACAAGCAAAGGGAAAGAAGAAGATGAAGTCCATTGGAAAGGTGACGGTTCCACAAGAAGCTTTCATGGCAGTTTTGAAGCTAGACAAGTAAGAAAATTAAAGATAATCTGCTAGTCCTATTGTACATGCTATCCGAGTAATCTACTACCGCCTTTGTTGTAGACGACGTGCCCTCATCTCCACCAGCTGGAGCAATGCAAAGGCCAAAACACAAATGAGCAGAGTCTGGTGATCAAATATGTGCTCCATAATGACATCCTTCTTCCTCCTCATTTCCTGCTGGTGGTCGTGTCCAGGAACAGGCTCGCCAACGCCCTCGTCGGCTTGCTGCGGCCTGGGCACTGGTTCCTTGACGACTTGGTCGTCATCCATAGCATCACTTGGAACCTCCTCTTCTGGTTGTGGTTCGTTTTCGTCATCCAGCGTCGGTAGTTCATCATCCATTGGTTCGGTTCCGTACCACCATGCGTTCCATGCATTGCGAAGTTTGACAATATTTTCATGTTGTGACATGGCCATCAAAGCAATTTGAACCGCCAGACTAGCTTCGGCTGCATGGTAGCTGGCAGCCAAATCGTAGTGTCTTTTCGCCAGAGGAAAGTCCTGCTTCAATCCAATTCCATACTCGTGCATGAAACCCAAATTAAAATTGGCCCGGGCACTTTGATGTTTGTCGACAGCGATGGTGTAATAGTGGGCTGCCATGGACAAGTCGGCATCCTCCAACTCGTTCTCTTCCTCGAAAGTCTCGGGGCAGTCGTCGATCGTGCACTGGGGGGGTTCATTGCTTGGATCTTTTTCAAACGCAAAAATGTATTTCCATTCTCCACTCATTTGATACTCGGCCCACCATTCCAATCCTTGTTCGTACCATTTTTTCAGCAAGGGCAGGACATGCTTTTCTGGATACAGGACATACTGAACCCAACCAAATGGTCCCAGTGACCGATTCTTGCCTCGGAGTCTACCGTAGTAGTAAAAGTCGCCCAATCGCAAGCAAGCTTCGGCATTACCTCGGTCGGCAGCCGCCTTCCACAACCGCACCGATGCCTTGGCACAGTCCGCCATGCCCAATCCCAAGCAAACACCTTGCTCGAGCAAAAAGGCCGCATTCACTTGGCCTACATTGGATCCTCCTTCAGCAGCCGTCAAATAGTTTCGAAGAGAAGCTTCCAAGTTACCAGCCGCATACTCCTTGTAGGCCGTTCGTAATCGTTTGGATCGATCCACGGATCCATTGGAAATGATCCATTGGAAATGAGCTCTGGCCTTGACACAATCCTTTTTGACAATCGAGTACGAATCCAAGGCACTGGTTTGGATTTGAATTCCTTCGGTGTAAATCATGGCAAGTCGGTGTCTGGCTTGGATATGTCCCCTGGAAGCAGCTGTAGCGAGTAGAGTAACTGCTTCCTTGATATTGGTTTGACTCGGTCCTCGAAATTGTTTTTCGACAATCCGACCCGAATGATGCAAGGCAAAGGCCGGCTTTTCCTTCTCGGTGGGTAGCTCCAACGGATTGGAAGACATGCCATCTTCCGGCAGGTCTTCATTTTCGGTTGGATAATTTTGAAACTGTGTCTTCCATCCCAACCACATCATGGCCAGGTTGTAATGGGCATCCGTATCTCCTGATTCCTTGGCCAAGGCCAAGAATTTCTCTGCCATGCCATAATCAATTTCCATGACTCCAGGAATCCCCAACAAATATAACAATCCCATTCCATTCAAGGCATGATGATCACACTCGTGGACTTGCTTTTCATCCTCCGACTTGCCCTTTTTCTTTTGCAAGACGGCCATTTCCCGTTTGCGATAACAGACGGCAAACGATCCGGGAGCCCCCAATTTGAAATACTTGAGCGCCTTTTTCGCATCCGGTTCGGTTCCCATACCCCAGAGATAAAAGGCCCCCGCTTGCCCTGCCGCCTCCCAGTGGTTATTGTTGGCGGCAATTTCGTAATACTCCAAGGCCAGAGTCAAATTTTGTTGGACACCCCGAATCCCGAAATGATAAAAGTGTCCCAACGTAGCTGCCGCCGCGACATCAATCGTCGTTGGTTTCTTTTCATTACTATCCCTGTAGTACCAAGGTGTCGTCGTTGCCTTTAGGTGATAAAATTGAATGGCTTCTTTGGATTCGTCCGGCTTGTTGTTCCAATCCAGTTGACTGGAGGTCCCACCGTGCATGTGGACCTGCGCCAAGACATGCTTGTCCATGTGCGGCAGCACCTTGGCCCGTGAATGTTCCGAAGATTCCAGTTGATCCATGATCCCATTCGCCGCGGCTTCCAAATAGGGCAAGGCTCCTGTGCATCCCAAACTATGATTGTCCGTCGCCTTTTTTTTGGTTCCATCAAAATCCATCCGATGGGCCAAGGCCATGGCCGCTTCAATGTTGCCCGCCATGGCAGCCATGTGCCATAATAAGAAGGATTTCATGACTTGGGGATGATCTTGTTGCAACCATTCTTCCATGACTTGTAGTTTGGAATGAGGAGTTGTTGTCTCTTCTTGACTACTACTACTACTACTAGTAAAAGGCCAAATGCCCGACGCATGGGCATTGGCGAGATAGAATTGTGCCAATGGATGCCCATAGTCGGCGGACTTCTCCAATGCTAAATGAGGATATTGGGTGGCATTGGACTTTTCATAGTCCTTGGTCGGTGGAATCATTTCATCCCGGGTGGTGTAGTGGTGTGCATGGGTTTGCCTTTTGCTGGAACTGGTACTCAAAATGGCATCCCATTTCCTCAAATACGAAGCCGCCTGTTTCCAATAGGCTTCACCAAGAGTCTTGGTGGAATATCCTTGGACATATACTGATTCGGGTTGGGATTGGAGCGTAAAAATATCGCTCGCAGGTTCGGTGGACTGCACCGTGGAAGGTTGGGCTTCCAATGGTATTGCTGTGTTTGACGAGCCTGATGATGATAATATTGATGAATCACTGGATGGTTTACCACCGGATTGGTACTTTTGATGTCGTTTGGCTTGAATTAAAAGTTCTTGATTGACTTGAACTTGTAGCAACAAAACGAGTGTCCCCAACGCCAAGACCAAAGAGCTGAGCACCAACAGCGCTGTGACTTTTGTGGTGGAAATGGAGTGGCCTGTCATGGTTTATATCGTCTATATTGAGTGTATTAAGCCTCAATAATACTAATCAAGTCTAAGGTGTGACCTATCTGTGGTGAAATGTCCAAAAATCCAAGAATGTAAGGTGGTGTGGTTGGTAATAAGAAGCGTTGATATGATAGTTGTGTTGTTTCCCAGTCGCTCGTTTTCTTCGATGGATTGCGATCGAAGTAGTCTTATCCGGGTTATTTTTTATTTCGACCACTATGACCGCAATACCGGTTGTGGAAAATGCCACTCATCAAAAAAGTAACCGTCGTCATTGCGCATATTATAAAATACACTCACTCACTCATACCAGACCAATTACTCGTTACACTCTTAGGCTACAAAGATGGCTTGGTTTTGGGGTAGCAAATCGCAAGACGACGAAGAGTATGATAGTGATGATTATACGGATGGAGAATACTCGGATGAAGAATACGAAGAGTACACGGATGAGGAAGCAGAAGAGGAAGCAGGAGAAGTTGCAGAAGTTGGAGACCAACCTAAAACTGGGGGCGGTGAACCAGATGATGACAAGAAGGTAGAGGCAAACGAGACTGTGGGCCAAAAGAAAGAGGAAGACAAAGACGAAGGAGAGGAAGATGAGGAAAGCTATGTTGAAGTAACTGAAGAGGACGCTGCTTCAGCTGCTGCTAAAGTTGCTGAAGACCAACCCAAAGAAGAGGAGCCTAATAAGGAAAGGAGGAGCAACTCATTGTTGGACAGTGCACTAAGCTCCGATGACGAAGAAGAAATTAAATCAACTTCATCAATCGTTGAAGAACAAGCCCAGGACAACGAAACTGATGACGCCAAAGCCAATAAGGCTGAAGAAGCAAATGCCGAGACTACGGAAGAAGATCATGTAGTGCCATCTTCTGCTGTACTAGACGACTCGATGGACGTTGATGACGACAATGATACTGATGATGAGGCTCAAAAGCCACCATCTGAAGTCCAACCAAATTTTCAGGTCGAAACGGTCAGTAGTGACGATGAGAGTGAATTTAGCGATGATTCCGACGACGACGAAGAAGAATTGACTTCCTTTGCCGACAAGCAGTCCATGTTGTTGCTTGCGGCAGAGCACGACCGGGTGGACATTCTAAAGGCCATTCTGACGGAAGATACGGACGATGATAAGAATGCCTTGATGAATTCTGGTATTCCGCCGCTCCATGTGGCCATTTCCTTTGGGTCCACCAATACCACACAATCCTTGTTACGAATGGGAGCCGACCCGAGCATTCGTCCCAATGTCGATGAAGTCAAGAAACAATACAAGAGCAACGAAAGCAAAGTTGAAATTAAAAACATGGGACGCTTTAATGGTATCTCGGCTTGGGAACTAGCCTTTGGCAACGAGGCATATGCCAAGCTGGAAGCCTCTGGAATGTCACAGAGGTCGAGTTGGGTGTTTGGATCCGCCATCAAGCCTGTGGACGATGATGAAGAAGACCCAGTCATTTATCCGCTAGATATCCCGCCATCCAAACGAGAGGGTATTCGACATGCATTCACAGCTGAAGCATTGCGATGTCTCGGTGGAGATGAATTGGATCGTCTCAATCAACTCTTGGCCAGTGGGATGCCAGCAACCACTGAAATTGCGGAAAAGGATTTGTATCAATGGGCCGTGGAAATGGGAGCCATGAATTGTGAAGAACATTTACGACCAGTCGAAGCTGCCAAACATGCTGACAGTGAGGAGAATGAGGAAAATAAAGACGACTCTGGGACAGATACCAATACTACCGACATATCGAATGCACGTGTATTGGACCGCTCCCGGCCGGGAGATGAATCTTGTTCCCAACTTCGCAACAAACTGGTAGAGCTCAATTCGCTGGCTTCTGCTTTATCAACCTGTGTGGACAATCTTGCCGAGGAAGTTTCGGTCTGCCATGGCTTGCTATTAATGAATGGTGGAGCTTCCGCATTGGCGTCTCATGTCAAGAGTCTCAAGGCACAAAAGGCAGACAAGGAAGATGAACTCAATGCTGCGTACGACACGCTACAAGCTTCGGAACAGAAACTCTCTGTCATTGTGGAAGCTGCTGGAACTGTTGGAAAGGAAATTGTTGCGCTCTCAGATACGGCTCTCAAGAAGCAAGACTCTTCTAATGAAGAGGCAGCTAGCAATGGCAAAGGTGATGATAATACAACCGATTCAGAGACGGAACGAAAGAAACTGCTTGGACTAATTGCAGCGAGTGAAAACAAGGTACGTCATCGTTTGTCTTTTAATACTGCTTTCAAGAAACCGAGCATGACGCTGACAATGACTTTCCCTTTTCTACAATTTACAGATCCGCAAACTCCGAGTTTCCATCACTGACTTATCAGAGGAAAGTGCACGAGACTTGCAGGAGGTGGAACGGCGTGGATTATCAGGAGGCATTGATCTTGTTCGCGGTTTGAGGGATGAAATTCGTGACGTCGAGTTTCAGCTGGCGGAAACCAAATCGATGAATGCCACTTGTCAAGCCAAGATAAGTCTCATTCGTGCTAAGGTATCACCCGAGACCAAGCTTCCTACCACGCCAGTCGCCGTTGCTACGGAAGAATCTGCTTCCCCGATCGAAGAAGGGTCTCTCGCGGCAGAGCCAACCAAGCCTGCCTCGCAGATCATTGCTACTGGAGACTCCCAAGCAATTGCCGTTCGAGCCCCAGGAAAACAAGGATTTTTCAGAATAGATCTATGGCAGGTTATATTACGAATTATTGGTATGAACAGAGCTGCTGACCGACGGGCCGTGGAAGTCGCCCACCGTAGCTGGCAAGACGAGAAGAAAAAGGTTGGGGTTGCCAATAAGCGACCAGAGCCGGTTCATTTGATGACGGTCTAGCTAGTAGCGATAGTGTAGGAACCATGCGTGACACTCTTGAATACAATCATTCAACTGATGATATAAGCTTTGGTTCAGAGACCTAACGCTTGTTTCATGCCAGATGACCTCTCATAGTTTCTCAGTTGAGAGGTTGCTCTAGAATGAATAAACTCGGGGTTTCCATGATTCGAATCAATTTTTCCTTTCCGTTTTCATCCGTCACTTTTCCAATGAACTTGACCTTCCATGATCCTCCTAGAAATGAATGAATGAATGAATAAGTAAATAAATCGAGGTTAGCATCGACATGTTGAGTGAGCCATAACGATCTTGTCAAAACTTGTGAAATGGAAACTTCTCTTCACTTACCACCACCGACTTCCTTTTGCACCACTGTTTTGCCGAATAGAGACACCGTTGTCTCCAAAAAGCTGACCTTGATCACAGAATCACTCTTGACTTCTCGTTTTGCCCTTAGCGCAATTTGGAGTGGTCCAAACTTGACTCGATTGCAAAAGATTTCACCTTCTTCAAAGAACTGGGTGACCTTGCCCACAGCATTGCCAAACAGGCGACCCGAGGAGCCACCCGGTGCCGCACTGTACAAGAGTTTGTGCTCTCCCAGCAACGGAACTTGTGCCGGTCTGGAATCGGAGAGTGGAATGGCCAGTTTCGAAAGATCCTCCAGTTTCAATCGTTCTTCTTCGGTCGCCAAAGAGCCCACTTGACCCACTTGGGAGACTGCCGAAAGCAAATCTTGAATTTTCTCATCTCGCTGGACCGACGACGACACAGCAGCAGCAGCAGCAGCGTCATTCTTCTTGGTAGTAGCAATCAAGTTGAGACTTGTGGCACTGCTAACAGCCCATGATGGCGGAAGAGAGTGCTCTTGTTTTCCCAAGTTGAATAGGATGAAAAGATTGGGAAGAACTTTCATTGTTGCAGGTATACTATTTTAACTTTGGGAAACTTGGTCGTTTTGGAAGAATATAATGTGTTGTGTTGGCATTATAGTTCATGCCACGTTAGGTCATGTTGAGTCGCCCCAGTCGAACGGCTTCGTCCACGTCAGATTATTCATTTTAGACACGTCAATCAAATCATCGAACCCTACGCGTTTCCACCGCACCAATAACGCATGTGACAAATCCAGAAATTCTACTGTACTGTACGATACACATCAACTGTTCGTTCGTCACAAAAAGCTACAAAACTTGCATTCAAACGTTTTCACCACCACCAATATACACAAATACATTGCTCATCAATCATGAAGACCTTCTTTACCATCCTGATTACTCTTATCATCTGCCTTTCCGCCGAGGCTTTCACAACCTCTACTACCACCAACGCGGCAGCACTTCCTCCAACCCAAGCTTCTTGGACGACCTCCTCCTCTACTAGTCTGCAAATGACAGTCTTGAGCTACAACGGTAAAAAGAAGGATTTCAAGGCCGGATCCCCATTAAAGACTGCCGTTGCACAGTTGGGTGTCAAGCCAAGATATTCTTGCAAAAAGTAAGTAGGTTCTTGATGTTGTTTATGTGTGTATAGAAGAGGATATTCCATTTTGGCCTCCGTCATCTCACGACTTAGCTTTTTCTGTGTTTTTTTTGTTTTTTGTGTGTGTGTCCATTACCACCACCACCATTATCACCACCACCAACACGACGAATCACAACAGGGGAGAATGTGCCACTTGTCAAATCAGTTTGGCCGGTAGAATGACCAAACCCTGCGTCGCCAAGGTCCCACCAGAACCCACTTTGAAGTCTCTCAAGGAGAAGGGATTGGAAATCAAGGCCTAATAACCATCCATCATCAAGTTGCAATTTGACAATGGTGTTTTTCAACTACATACAAGATGCTACAGTAATAAAAGAGATGTCTGTTTTTTGGAAATGGAATTTTGGGAGGAAATAAAACATGGTTTACATGCGCGCTACAGATTTAATCTTGGCATGAGCAGCACGTCGCAGAAACGACTGTGCATGCAAAGATTTTTATATTAGACAATGGGAGAGCAGTCCTACGATTGATTCAATGGATCGTTCCATTACTTCTTTCATTTTTTGATAATATATGTTAGAGTACACGTCTAGTAGTACGCAAATGCACTATGCAACCTCAGTTGTCGCAAACACCCATGTCTTTCCAGCATTCATTCTTCGTACAGTACAGTACAATACAGTACTAGGAGCCTCTCCTCCAATACACGGCTTGATATCTTTCATTCTGGGCTCCCCAAACAAACCTCCTACTATAGATGATGTATTATAATAATGTCTTTTTTTTTTTAATTTTAAAATTGAAATTGCCGTCGGACTCGTACATCGGCCGCCAGTTGCTTCCAGGTCGTCCCCACCAAGGGCAATCGCACATCGGTCACCCATTTCCCCGTCGGCGTCAAATCCGTCCAGGTCATTTGAATGGCCTTGGTGGGATCCACCAAGGTCCTGAGACTACCCGAATTCAGTTTGAGATCCCATTGGTAGGTAATCTTGGCATTGTACAAGGAGATTTCGGGAGCAATGACGTGGCTGAATTTTAAGTATAGTGTAGTGTAGTATAGTGTAGTGCAGTGTAGCAGAGAAGAAGAAAGGAGTAGAAACAAAAAAAAATAAGTAGTTGAGAAGACATTCCATGCGAAACAAATCAAAAACAGCCAAACCACATTAAAACGTACCGATCATCCAAGGCGTGAACTATCTTCAAGGTAGGATTGTGATGTTCCAAATGAAGGACCGTCTTGGTTTGTTGCGTACTGGTAGTCGCTTCAAACTTGCACGAGGGTTGATGCCTCGTCAAATCGTATTGGGGCGTGATGCGAATCCCACCCAGGGCGCCGTATTGCCAATCGTCGGGCGACTGCCAACAACCTTTTACTGCCGCCAATCCCTGATTGGCCAGCACCTTGGCCAACAATTGACAGGGTCCCTTTTGGACTTGGACCAGCAAGGTTTTCAAATTGCGCGACAAATTCCAAATGGGTTGAATTTGAAGATTCGTGTCAATGCTGGGAACTTGAATGGATGCCATGGCCTCGAGTTGGGTGGGCATTGGGATTTTTTGTTGTTGTTGCTGCGCAAGCGCATGGTCGTACATTGCCGAGACGCTGAGGGATTCCCACGCGGGAGCCCAATATGGCAAGGGTTTGCCTTTACTCGCCAAGGTCCAGGACAAGTTGGGTTTGAGATTGTAAATGTTGAACCACTTTGCCTTGGCAACACTAGCAGGATCATCGGTTGCCGTTGTCATTTCGTCCAGTGGATCTCTCAATGTGAGGGTCTATCGTAATAAATGGCAGACGTCATGGTAATAAGGAGCAGAAGGAATATGTTAGCAAGAGGTTGGTTCAAAAGAAAAAGGTCATCATCATGGTCATTGCCGCGTTTTTTTTTCGTACCAAAACCGGGCCTTGCATTTGAAATCGAGCATTTACAAAAAGTGAATCATCAGACAGGAAACAATTCAATGCTAGAAATAAGTAGCATAATGATCGAAAGTTGTACATATTGATAATGTCTTTGTCGAAGGCTCTATTATTTGATTTTGTAGCTGATGGTTGTTTCTTTCGCACTACTGTATGTTGTTGATGATGATGATGATGATGTTGACATTCAAAAGTTGAAAATCCAAAAAGGTGTCAATCACTGATGAGCTGACGGACAGATGAAGATTGAAGATGCACCAAACGTACCCGGAAGTATTAGTAATATCTGAATCTCTGAATAAAATTGCATGCCGCGCCCAAATCAATTTTGCTCCAACGCGCCAGCCAGTCTGCAAAACATCTGCAAAACCAAAGTCCACACCACAAAACGGATCAAAACAAGTACCGGTACAGTACTGTAACAGACATTCGGTCTCATAGAGCATGTTGCGCTCATTATCCTCCAGGGCGAACACTCGAGTCGCCTCTCATAGACCCGCTCGTCGGGTGACTTCCTTATTGGTGAAGAATCGATCGATACTGACAGCAGCAACAACGACAACAACGGCATCGTCATCGTCATCTTCGTCAGCACATCAGAATCATTGTCATCCTTCCATCCATAACACTCTGCTTGGTCCTCAGCATTTTCAGTTTGCCAACGATGGCCGCATTTTCGGATTGCATCATGATCATCAAATAGCAGCAACAATAACAGCAACAGCAACAACAACACGTCGATGTTATTCCACCGTGTTAGCCTCCAGTTGCAGTGGAAGTCACTTTCCAACCAGCAGCAGCTCCAGCAATGGTGATGATGATACTACAAGCAACACGTTCCAGGTTCCTGCACATCATTCCAACCACAGACGACAACAAATACGCAACAAGGTGTTTGTTAGTCGGCACAATCAATCGTTAAATGTCACTTCCGATGCCATTGTACAATATTGCAACAGTCACAACATTGACACTTCCGGCCACCGGACCACCATGACTCATGTCATTCTCAAGGAATGTCCCTTTTGTTCCAAACCCACTGGTGGCAAAGCTTCCAACCAATACAAGTTATATATTCAAATTGGGGGAGGTGCCTATTTTTGTCATCGCTGTGGCGCCAGTGGATCTTGGTACGACCTAAAGTCGACCGTCGGCGGTTATTCGATTGACACCATGATGGGTGCTGGTGCTGCTGGTACTGCTGCCAATACGGCTGCTGCGGGTCCAGTGGGTGCTAGTGGCGAATACCTACCACATCAATCATCACGCAATGGCGTATACTCGAGTCCCACCATGGCCCAAGCACCACCACCCACTAGCCTCCAATTCAAGACAGGCAATGGAGGAGGGGTTGGTGGTGAACGTGGTGGTGGACGACCAGCAAACAATTCTCCAGCTGCTGCTGCTGCTGTACAACCACTTCCCATGCCCAAGGCTCGATTGAGTGGATATTACTCGTCCCGTCTTTTGGATCCCCAAAACGAGCAAAATGAGGTTTTGAAATATTTGCAAGACGAGCGTGGCCTCAATCGCAAGACCTTGCGGCAATACGGCGTGGGCCGGGCCAATTATCAATTTCCCTCGGACCAGGGAGGTTACCAATCGGCCGAATGCGTCACCTTTCCATGGATCATGCGAACTTCGGAGGTGCAAGAACAAGAAGCCTTGCGTGGAGTCACCTTGCCCTTGCACGACGAAACGGCACAAGCAAAGGATGCCAAGACAAAGAACGAGACCAACAACAACAAGAACAACAACAACAACAACAGCACCAAAAAGGCCAAGGATGCTGCCAAGGATGCGGCAGACGAAAACGAAACTTCAGAATCAGAAACAACCACCACCACAACTGCAGCCGACAAGTTGCTCACGCGCCGCATCAAAGTACGTGCCGTCGACAACAAATCCTGGCAACGCTTGGATCCCGCCGGTGGAGGTTGGGGCCTCTTTGGATGGCACACGGTCCCTCCTGGCAGCAACGAAATTGTCGTGACCGAAGGCGAATACGACGCCATGGCGGTCCATCAAGCCACGGGCCAATATGCGGTCAGTCTGCCGAATGGTTGTCGGTCTCTGCCGCTCCAAGTCTTGCCGCTCTTGGAACAATTTGACAAGATTTATCTCTGGATGGACAGCGATCTGCCAGGACAGGAGGGAGCCGAACAATTTGCCAAGAAATTGGGAATCAATCGATGCTATTTGGTCAAGACCAGTCTAGCCAAGGATGCCAATGAAGCTCTATTGAAGGGTTTGGATTTGAATGCCATGTTGCAAGACGCCAAGCTCGTGCCACACGAACGCATCTTGACCTTTGCCGACCTACGACAAGATGTCTTGCACGAATTGTTGCAACCGGAACTGTACATGGGGTCGCCCGTTCCTTCCTTGCCAGGATTCACCAAACTCATCAAAGGATTTCGACGGGGCGAAGTGACGGTATTGACGGGACCAACAGGATCCGGTGAGTTACATTTAATTCGTTTGCTACATGGTGGTGGTGGTTTGTTTGTTTGTTTGTTTTCTATTTTGGGTGCACACAACTCTAACAGTCTTGGATCGTTCATCGCAGGCAAGACCACTTTTTTGGGACAAGTGTCACTGGACTTGGCAGAGCAGGGCTGCAATGTCCTATGGGGATCCTTCGAAATCAAGAATACCCGGCTGCTGCACAAACTTCTCAAACAATTTGCTCGAAATCCACTCCCCGATCACAAGGATGCCAATGCTTCGGAACTACTGGGAGCCCTCGCGGATCGATTTCAGAATTTGCCCTTGTATTTCATGAAGTTTCATGGAGGATCGGAAGTGGACGAAGTCTTGGATGCCATGGAGTACGCAGTCTATGTCAATGATGTGGAACATATCATTCTGGACAATATGCAATTCATGATTACCCGGCAGACCAACAATTCCAAGTTTGACAAGTTTGATATTCAAGACATGGCGATTGAAAAGTTTCGAAAGTTTGCCACCGAACACAACGTCCACTTGAGCTTGGTGGTGCATCCACGCAAAGAAGACGAGGCTTCCAAATTGAGCATTAGTTCCTTCTTTGGATCCGCCAAGGCTACTCAAGAAGCCGACACTGTTCTCATTTTGCAGAACGATGGCCGACGCAAGTACATTGACGTCAAGAAGAATCGATTCGATGGTACTCTGGGATATTCACCATTGTACTTTGAAGCCAAAAGTGGACGGTATGTGGAAACAGATGGAGGATACAATTCGGGTGGACCAGGCCAACAGCAGCAGCAACATCAGCAACAACAACCACAAAAGATTGAATTCGCACCACCACGAAAGGCATGGAATATGAAGCAAGAACCTGAAGAACCGGAGCCACCAAATCTTGCCAACCATTGGACCGAGTCCCTTGGCCTACCCCCATAGACGACATCGCAATTGAAAATGTATCAAAACAAAACAGATAAAACATGTAATTACATATATATTATGATAGACCAACTTCCCTTCGAATCATTCATTGACACTTCATTGACACTTCTAACCATGTATACATCAACTCATTTACTGACGCAACTATTCATTTATTCACTCATTGATTCACTCATTTTTTCTTTTATTCACAGGTACACTATAATACCAGTTCCCTATACACACGCACTTTGTCTGCTTCTTTTTCTTACAATGGCTGGAAAACAAGCTTGCTGCTATTCATTTTGCCTTCAGCCTGCTTCTTTTTGCGGCTACTAGGTTTCTTGACCAATTCTCTGGTATTGCTGGGCGATTGCCCACCATTCTCTTTACGTTTGCTTTTCTCCTTTGATAGCTTCTTCTTGCTACTGGGCTGTTCCAAATCGTTTGCAAGCCCAGTCTCAATATCTCTTTTGCTCTTCTTCTTGCCTTTCTTGAGGCTACTGTGCTGGTGCTTCATCCCGTCTCGGTCACTTCCCCCAACAAAGGAATTGCTCTTGTCACTGCGTCGACTGCTACTCTTCTTGTTGTCGTCTCGTCGGCCACTTCCTCCAACGAAAGAATTGTTTTTGTCACTGCGTCGACTGCTGTTCTTTTTGGGCGACTCAAGGTCATCAAAGGGGTTACTGCTCTTGGTGCTAGCGTTACTAGTGTTGGCAATCAGTTTTTCTTCAATCGCCACCTCTCTGGGCCGGCCACCCAGAACGGGCAGCTTGTAGCACCCAAGCACACCCGAAAAGAGGACAAAGAGACCCAAAAAGTACCAGACAAAGAATGACAATCCCATTCCAACGAAATACGCCACGACGAATCCAAAGTCATCAGCACTTTGGTAATTATCCAAGTCGGCGACCGCGTCTGCCTCCGCCGAGCCATCATTCGCAATCGCCACCTTTAGACAGACCACAAAGATTGACAACGCAATGATCAAAATGACAAAGATCCGAACAAAGGTCTTTCCAAAGCTAGGACAGCGGCAAAATGATGGTGCAGACTCCATGCACCCTCCCTCTCGCATGCAAGAGCATGCTGCAATGTGCCAGACGAACAAGTTGTAGGCGGTGTGGATTCCTCCTCCAACCGTCCACAGTGATAGCATGCCCGACGTCAATTCCCATCCCTGTTCGGAACTTCCAAAGGCGAGCAATGTCTTTTGGTATGACGGATACTTGATGTAGAGCAATTCAAAGAAGCTTGTCAGTGCTAGGCCAAACACCAAGGTGCCTACCAAAGCAAAAATCCTCGTTTTTGATCCAATTGGATGCAAATTATGGTGCAGAAAGATACCAAAGACTGGGTGGTTGTTCGCAATGTACTGCGCCAGATCTTGTCTCCAATTGTTTCCAGGCAAATGATAACACTGCATTGCCAACAGCGGAACTAGAACCCTGGCAAGATCCCTTTCACGTTGCGATTTTGAAGCATTCTTGTTTTGGCTTGCATTGTACTCGGCCATTCGTTCTTCATAGTCTTGTTCCCGGAACTCTGCTATTTCATCAATGTCGACGTCGTCAAAGACGCCTCCTAGAAACTTTCCTTCTCCCATATTGAGGTATTTCCCGTTTGGATGTCGGCTGTATGCTGTATGGGTGGGTTAATCGTAACAGAGGTGCATGAAGTATGGTGCTTTAGATCAGATCGATTTGAGATTTTCGGAGATGTCAAGATTCAGTTACATGTGCTACGACACGATGGCATGAATTTACCTAGCAAATCGTGATTGATCAGAGGCATGCGTACTCGCGTGAATTTTCCGCATGTCCCAATCACAAATTCTCAACCAATCACGATCAACAGAAAACTCGAGCGGTGGAAGTGGAACCCGGCAAATAAATATTCGCAACTTCGCATTTTTTCATTTTTGAATTCAAAATGTTTGCCGAACGCATCGTCATATTTGTCACATCCGCTAGATACAAGCACACAACTATAATGCCTCCGTCGGTCTTAGTAGCCGTGGATTGCGTCGCACTAATCTTGAATCCAAGAGTAGTCCCTACCCTGTGAATGTAAGGCTAAAAGTGCCAATGACCATGATTGCAGCGCTACCTTTTCATCCCCGAGCAAGAAGGCGTCGACAATATCTTTTCCTCTGCACACCACCTCATAGCCGACTTCCGAAGCAGTCTTTAGTTCTTGGATCAGGCGGTATGGCACAAATCCAATGAAGCAGTTTGCTCCATCGTTGATTTCAGGTTGCGTTGACTGCTGACCATTTACTACCCTTGGCCAAGTATCCCCATGCATTCGTGGACATGTCAAAAGAAAGATGCGCAGGATATCCCTCGATTGTCAGACATTGCCCCATGACATTCAGTTTACATCCTGAGATGGACTCAGATGCCCATGGGAACAGTTTTGACCATACCGCTTTGTCCCATGTGGTTGGCATTGCCTCGCCAACGCTGAGGTTTTTATGGTGCTCATTGTCCTTACTGTTTCCGTGTACCAGTAGACATACATTCAGCGCGACGGAAGCAAGTGTTGCCAACAGCAGAAATACCGCAGCAAGTTTGTAGTTGAATCGAGAGTTGTCCTCACCAGTCTTTGGTGAAGTATCACCCTCCGAATCCACTTCTTGTGTCATTGTTACACAATTTTGATGTCTGTTTCTTCACTTTTGCCTTTCTTGCTTTATGCGATGATGTGGAAACAACTTAATGGCTTTTCCGCGGTCTTGTTCAGTCCAGCTTTTTGGGTCGTCTAGTTCAATTATTACAATCGTACCAGCTGAAGCTAATCACATATATATACCAGTCATCGATGCACTCTATATTTTTTGAGGAAACAATTGAAGAGACATGTAGTCAACATCGACAACGTGCCTGATTTACAGTGCGTTTCTGAAACAGTGTCGGATACTGTATCTGACATGCGACGCGTCAGCTACAATGCGAGTCGGCACATTGGGATGGTTTTCGCTTGGCATTGAAAGCTATTCATCCTTTTAATGGCTGGTGATAATGCTAGGGACAATCATTATTTTTCCACATTCTAACTTTCAACAGTAAGGGTATTGCAATGACGAGAAACCATCTCTGCACCTTCTGCTCATATTATCACAATAACCGCAGTCTAACCATCAGAAAGAATAGAGGGAAGCTAGTCGCATTCATCGGTACCGGTACCGGTACGCTCCTTTACATTCCTTGATGAAACGGTAGAGGGTTTTTAAAAAGGTTTGAAGTGTTCCTGAAGTTGAAAGTTTCTTCGTTGGGGAAAGAACAAGAGCGTGGATGAAATGAAATTTCTCACCATGAAGAGAAGGAACGAATGACTGTACCGGTATGTACACGTACCAGAAGAGATTCTAATGCAACGAGGAGCGTCTCACTGACATTTTTATTCATACATATATGGCTGGCTGGCTGGTCGCACAAGTAGGTGAATTGACTCATTCGAATAAGATTCGTTTTTATTTACACGATTATACACGACTACCAGGTACACGTGTACTTTGAACTTGCACCAAAACTGGCGAGCAAGAGCTCGGCATTGAGGAAATTATCGGGCAGGCAGCTACCAACTTTATCAACACCTCAAAATCGGCATCCTATACAAAGACCTATCCTTTGATGCCCCATACAATGGGAGCAATACTGTGGCTCTGCCAATGGTGCATTTTCATGATGGCATCCACAGCCATAGCACAGCCTGCAGTTGTTGACATGGAGAAGGCTTCCCTCAACATCTCGTTTCAAACCGAAGCGGCGGTGACAAAGGGGAATCAGATTCCCTTGAACGAGTCTTGCACTGCTTATATAAGGGATATCATGGCTAATGTAGGTCGAGCAGATTTGCAGTGTTCAACACCATCGGGGATGGTGTATTCGATACCGGGTGTAAACAAGGATTGGATCGAGGAGAAACAACGGAACCATGAGCTTATAAGTGGATACACGCAAATGGACCTTCCTCCCACTACCATGATCGATGCTACGACACATGCGTTGATATTGGACTCTCCGCTGATATTACGAGACCCAGCAACTGGGACTGATTTGATTCGTCGGCGGAGGCTCTCAACTGCTGAAAAGGCTAGGGGAAAGAAAACAGTCCTTGTGGTTCGAGTGGAGGCTTCTGATAGTGCAACTACTCTTTCCGAGACCCAGCTTGCGAGTGATGTATTTGGTGATAACGGGGATCCCAACAATCTACGATCTCAGTATCTTGCTTGTTCCTATGGAAAATTTGATTTGAACAAAGCTGAAAATCGAAATGGGCTGGACACGAATATTCGAAACGGCGTAGTAACGGTGGAGGTACCAAATGTATCCAAATCAGTTGGTGATACTGCCATGCTGAACGCTATCAACAAGGAACTAGGGGATCAGTTCTCGACAGCAGCTTTCAATCTCGCTGACTTTGTGATATATTGCATGCCTCCTGGAGTTATGCACCCACTGGACGTTGCCTACGCTTTTATGGATGGTACGTGGCGGATGATTCAAAGGAAAATTGTCAGGACTATAGTGTCACCCTTCACTTACCTTCTGCTTTTCATTTCAGGATACAAGTCGATATACAATGACCAAGCTTGTAATCAAGTGTCAACTCAACTACACGAAGTGGGGTAAGCCATGTACAATGATTATTGTAGTCCTAGGCGGGAAACTGGGTAGTCAATTCTTTTCTCACTTGTCTCTTGTTTGTTCCTTTGGTATCAGACACAACCTGAACATGGCCCATAGTGGAATGGGCGCAGACGAATATGCTGACAAGAGCGGGATGATGGGGTATTCGTTCGAATTAGACGACCTTCCGTACATGTGTTTCAAGTAAGTGGGCATCGTCTTGGTTCAATCTTCGAGTCTATATATGATAGGTTTAGCTAATGAAATGTCTCTCTTTTGGTTCTGTCTCTTCAGCGCTGCAAAAAGTTGGCAGCTTGGCTGGTACGCGGACAAGGCCCTTAGATTTACTCCTTCACCCACGGGCCAATACGAGTTTTCTGCCAAGTTGGCAGGGGTGGCTGACTACGCAACGACAGAGAACGATGTCGTGATCAAGATAGAACAGGAATTTTCTACTTGGGCATACTTTGTCAACTACAACGCCGCGAAGGGTATCAATGCAGGTACTCAATATGGAAAGGATCGGGTGCTGGTAACCATGAAGGATACAAGTGACGAAGCAAACACTTCAAAACTTGTAGCAAGACTGAGGGTTGGGCAGAATTTAAAGATCCGCAACTTTAATGGGAGAGCAGACGAAGAGTTGATTGTTGGATGGAAATCTCGTGTAGAGGATGTGGCTACACTTCGCATTTTCCTTCAGGGTCCAAACGTTCCAGAGCCAACACAGCCACCCTCAATTGCACCCTCCATCCTCCCGTCTTTTGCACCGACTCTACAAGCATCCCGGTTACCAACAATTCCACCCTCCATCAACCCGTCTTTTGCACCAACCCCACTGTCATCAGCAGGACCTACTTCTGCTCCCTCCATCAGCCCATCCTCTGCACCATCCATTGCATCATCAGCAGGACCTTCTTCTGTACCAACCATTGCATCGTCAGCAGGACCTTCATCGATACCGACACCGGTAGTCTCGGATCAGCCAACACTCTCACATCTTCCCACTTTGTCGCTGGTCCCATCCAAAGCACCGACAACCTCTGAAACACCCACAACAACGGATGTTCCAAGCCACAATCCTTCAACGTCTTTGATGCCTAGCGCTGGCCCGTCCAGTGCTCCTTCGCAGGCCCCGTCTCAAAGCCCCAGTTTGCTTCCTTCGCAGTCCCAATTGCCAAGTTCAAGTCCTTCGATGACGACCTCAGAAGTGCCTTCGTTTATGCCATCGGATCTTCCGAGCAGCGTGCCTTCTCGAAAGCCTTCTTCGGCACCTTCGATGAAACCATCTGTTCGATCGTCGGAGTTCGAATCAATGTTTGTATTACAGCTTCCCCGCGGCACAGACTTTGAAGTAGCAGCTAGTGTATGCGCCGGACTGCAATCCTATCTGGATGAAGTCACAAAGTCGACGTATGGCAACGAAACTGTGACGAGCATTTCTTGTCTTCCGATTGTTGAAGCCTTGGGCACGCAAAATGTCTTTGATCGTGGCGCAGATGTCACTGTGGTGATGACGAGTTCCTTTCCAATGGCCGCCATCGGTCCCAATGCAACGGAATTCGAATCGTATGTTGACGAAACTATTGGTTCTGGTGAAACAAGTTCACTTTTACCTGGAATAATCCTTGCATCAATAGAGGAAGCTGGACTGGAAGAAGGATCCACTGTCAATTTGGAGTGGGACGATGAGACGTTTGACACTCCAGTGCTGAAGGTGGGATTTGAAGAAGAAGAATCATCATCATCCGGAATGCAAACCACAATGCATCTGGTTTGTACATTATCATCTTTGTATCTATTATTTTTCTTGTAAACTATTATCTTTACTCCACACACCAGCACCGGCATTGTAGCTCTAACACTTCAACTCTCATTTTTGTGTAATTGAGATGATAATAATTGGTACCAGGTACAAGTACCTGGTACCTGGTACGATTAGTATGGAGAGGCAAGACCTACTGTAGAGAAAAGACAGCCAGTCAGCCAAAATCCGGCGAAAAGTTTCCATTTCGGAAAGGTGATGGAAGAAATGTTTTCTCCGAAGAAATGACCGGGGATAAATGTTTCTCTCTCCCAAGAGAAAATCACGAACTTCAAAAGATCACTCTGTAAACCTCAATCACAAATTTCTGAAACAACAACAACAATGCCGTCCAAGCCAACAGCAAAATGGCTCTGCCATTGGTGCCTTCTCATGCTGAGCGCCAGCGGACTAGCACAGCCTATCGACAATATACATGGAACTGATGACACGAGCTCTTCACAGCCAAATATATTCCAACGGCAAAAGACGATAGTTCAAGCCAAGAGAAGAATAGTGCTGGAGGAGCCTTGCACGGCAATGATTAGGGATATAATGGCAACTGCAGATCGGGCAGACTTGCAATGTGCGACGCCATCGGGGATGCTATATACGATACCTCAAGTCGACAAAACATGGATTGAAGAGAAGCAACTGAATCATGAACTCATTAGTGGTGTTAGCCAAATCGATCTCCCCCCCAAAACACTAATCGACGTGGAAACACAGACGCTAGTACTGTATTCCGAACCAATCTTACGAAACCCTACGTCTCGTGACTCCATTAGAGGTCCGCGGAAACTGGCAACTGCTGACAAAGCCAAAGGAACAAAAACAGTTCTAGTGGTTCGTGTGGAAGCTACTGATACTTCAACTTCACTGTCCGAGGCAGAGCTTGCAAGTGATGTATTCGGGGACGCGGGCGATCCTAACAATCTCCGATCCCAGTATCTTGCATGCTCGTATGACAAGTTTGAACTGACCAAAGCTTGGGGCAGAAGGGGGGTATCTACGAACATCGTGAACGGAATAACTACCGTTCAGGTTCCTCTGTCCAAGTCAGCAGGCGAGGCTGCGATACTGAATGCCATCAACTCGGAAATGACAACCCAATTCTCAACAAGAGTCTCGGATCTAGCAGACTTTGTGATGTTTTGTCTTCCTCCAGGCGTCATGCATCCAGATGACATTGCATATGGTAAGAACCAAAGATTATCAGCAAACTTGATTCGGAAACTTTTCTAATTTACTAGCACACTTGCTGAGAAAGCTCACATGAATGGATATCGATCTGTCTACAATGATGTTGCATGTCAGCAAGTTAGTACTCAACTTCATGAGATTGGCCACAATCTGAACTTGAACCACAGCGGACGAGGGAATTCTGAGTACGGAGACAAGAGCTGCATGGTAAATTGCTAGCATCACGATGTTCCCCAGTTTGCGGTCTTAAATGCTCCATCTAACATCTGTTCCTTTTCAGATGGGCTTCTCATACGACAAGGACGATATTCCATACATGTGTTTCAAGTAAGTGACGTGGTGCTATTGCCAACCTTGCGCTTCCCGCCTCCTGGCTGACACATTATGTGCTCTGATTTCGTTCTATCAGCGCCGCAAAGAGCTGGCAACTTGGATGGTATAGCGACAAAGCTTTTGCCGTGAAGCCTACACCTAGCGACAAGCATGACTTTACAGTTGAGTTGAATGGTATTGTAGACTATGGAGTCACAAACAAGCACGTTCTTATCAAGATTGAGCAGGAGCAATCTACCTGGGCGTACTTTATTAATTACAATCTTGCCAAGGGTATGAATAGGAGTACTCAACTGGGAAAAGACAGAGTGCTTGTAACGTTGAAAGACACCAGCGATGAGGGAAACACCTCCAATCTTATCGCCGAATTGAAGCTGGATCAGAAGCTCACGATCCGCAACTTCAATGGAAGAGCTGGAGAAGAATTGTCTGTTGAATGGAAATCAATCACGAATGATGTAGCCATAATCTTCATCGGATTGACTGCACCGTCCATTACGCAGTCACCCACCACCACCCCTTCAACCAGCCCTACTCTGGAACCTTCTCTGCTACTGTCACAAGCACCTTCAACTGCTCCCTCTCTCAGTCCTACTCTGGAACATTCTCTGCTGCCATCACAAACACCTTCGACTGCGCGCTCTCTCAGTCCAAGCCTGGAACCAACTCTTTTGCCTTCAAAAGCACCTTCAATTTCGCCCTCTCTTAGCCCAAGCCTGGAACCAACTCTTTTGCCTTCACAGACGCCTTCCCTGTCACCATCAATTGATCCCAGCATGGAACCCTCCCCTGTGCCTTCATTGTTGCCATCATTCATGCCATCTGATCTTCCAAGCACGGTGCCATCTCAAAAGCCTTCCTTGCTGCCAACAGAGGTAGACTCGACAGCACCGACACTGTCAGAAGAGCCAAGTGTTTCGAGTGCCCCATCCCCTGCCCCATCGCACTCGGACGAACCAACCGTCTCTGCAGTTCCAAGCCAGACGCCCTCCATTTCCCCCTCTTCCACACCTACCAAGACACCATCCACCGCCCCCTCACTCAAGCCATCACAGAGTCCGAGTCTGGGTCCATCTCAAAGCCCTTCAAGGGTCCCAAGTTTAGATCCATCTCAAAGCCCTTCAATGTTTCCCAGCTTGGATCCATCATTAAGCCCGTCGCATAGTCCCAGCTTGGACCCGTCTCCAAGTCCATCGCAGGGTCCCAGTCTGGATCCATCTCAAAGCCCTTCAAATGTTCCCACCCTCAAACCTTCGCAACACCCATTTCAAGGTCCATCTCCCTCCTCCGTGCCCTCGACAAGACCACTATTGAGCGAAACTGGTAGTCCCACCGTCAACCCAACTCAAGCTACTTCCGAGGTGCCTTCATCTTCTCCAACCTTCATTGCGTTGGAGCTGCAAACTACAATGAAGCTACAAATCCCAGGGGGCATTCACTCCAGCACGATTCTACAAATGTGTGACGAAGTGGAATCGCATTTGGATGCGAACATGAAATTGATATATGGACCTGAGGTACAGACTTCTGTGGAGTGTCGCCCCGACGACCCAGAGCCGCAAGCCGCGATCGACGGAAGCAACCGAAACGACCGGAGTGAAAACATCTTCGACCATATTGGTGGGCCTGACATCTTTGATTTTGGTGGACTTGGGGGTGATGGTGGTGACAGTGACGTGGATGGTGAAGTTGGACGTTCAATGACGGTCAATGTTGTAGCGACAACTTTCTTCCCACAGAGGTCTGTTGCTCCTTTCCAAGCAGATTTCGACACTTACATCTTCAACAGTATTGCCACCGATAAATTGAATGTCCTTCCTCAAGGATTCAAGATGGAGTCAGACGATTCGACATACCCTCCAGTACTTCGTTTGGCAATCTCGACAGGAACACAGGCATCGATGAGTCTTGGATGTATAATCTGCTCATCTCTCACTTTGCTAATCCTTCTTGTAAATTAATATTTTAAAATAGACTTAGATTTGACCATATCAAAAGATTTGGTTTTACTCCCACGCAAGTTCCGTGTTTAGACTCCAAACATGTCATCAAAATTCTTTGGCTACGAGCAAGGAAATTGTGAGGAAGTGATCTTGCGACACGACCCATCTGCACGCGTGTCGAGTCCAAATTGACAAAAACGGAGACTGGATTCTAACTTTGTCATGAGAAAAGTGAATTTAAAAAATTAAATACTCACCTTGATCAACAATGAGGAATATATTAGCATGGAAGAGGATCTACATACTATCAATACTAAGCATTTTTCAAACCACTATTGCAGCGCCAATAGATGCACGTAACCAGACGCTATCCGAGCCTTGTACCGCTATGGTGGAACGAATTGATGCCGACGAAGACACTGCGGTTCTCCTTTGTTTGACACCGAGTGGCAAGGATTATATTATTTCCTCAGTCGATGCTGAGTGGATAGAAGCGAAAACATCATCAAATGAACTTTACAGCGGATTGACGATATTGGATCTTCCTGACAATTCGTTGATCAACCTAGAAACTCAGACCATAGAACTCGAAGCGCCGCCAGTGTTGGTCAACAATGAGAGTACGATAAGGCACCGAGGTCGCAAACTTACCGCTGTAATAGGTGTAAAGACTATACTGGCGGTTAGAGTAATAGCAGCGAACGCAGAAACATCCCCGTCCGAAGCGCAATTAGCCAGCGATATATTTGGTGGCGATGGCCTCGATTTTGTGAATGTGAGATCGCAATACTTGGCATGTTCTCACGGAAAGCTTGATTTTCAGAAAGCAACCGGCAGGAGCGGGTTATCCACGAGCATTTATAATGGTGTTGTTACAGTACAAGTGGATAAAGCGACATCCGTTGGTGCCAGAAATATGGTGAATGCGGTCAACGACGAGCTGACGCGACAGTTCAACACTCATCCCTCGAATCTGGCATCATATGTCATGTACTTTTTGCCTGCTGGAACCTTCGGAGGCTTTGCTTATGGTAAGTGTTTACCTGTTCCTAGCTTTGTTCTCTTGTGTGCGTCCAGAGGCTCACTCAATTTCTACTCTCAATCAAAGCTTACATGAATGGTTATCGGTCGATTTTCAACGACCGTTTCGCATATGCGGTCTCGATTCAAATGCACGAACTAGGACACAACTTGGGATTAGGTGCGTCATTTAAATAGGAACGTTCTTGTTTTTTATGGGAGCTTCATCTAAATCGATTCATCATACTTCAGGGCACTCGGGGCATGGCGGTGACAAATACGGAGACCAAAGTGGACTAGTGAGTACCCCTTCGTATTTCGAGCAAAAGCATGATTTTGTTGGCTTACATTACCTTTTTTTTAAAGATGGGATACTCCTACGGAAACGACGAAGCACCAAAAATGTGTTTCAATGCGGCGAAAAGTTGGCAACTGGGATGGTACGCTGACAAGACCGGAAGTGCCACACCATCGGGCAAGTTCCAGTTCGCTGGGCGACTAGGAAGCATCGTTGACTATCCGACAACGAATACACGCGTCCTAATTGAAATCAAGGAGAGTACTTCTGAATGGGCGTACTACTTGAACTATAATGCGGCAAAGGGATTCAATATTGGGACGGCTGAAGGACGAAATAGTGTACTTATAACAAAGAAGCACACTGGTAGTCCAGGGCACCAGTCCCTCTTGCTCTCAATACTGCAGAATGGCGGTAGTTACAGTATACCGGACTTTAATGGTAAGCCGGGCGAGACTTTGAAAGTGGAAGTTCATGCGATGACAGCGGATGAAGCGTACATTTCTGTCAAGTTGGATGGGTCGCCCACCCGAGCACCTTCTTCCTCGCCTTCCAATAGCCCTTCGAAGGCGCCATCAGGTAAGTTTGACGTCCTACGACCGAATCCGGCTCATATGATTAAATGCTGACACTTTTCCTCCAGTGAACCCTAGTATTCAACCGTCAGTGATGCCGTCAGCGGAAAAGTCATTGGAACCATCGAGTCATCCCTCGCTACTTCCATCGAATGATCCATCGCATGAGCCGTCTGGGGTTCCTTCAGATGAGCCGACCTTGGCGTTCTCGCAACGTCCAACATCTTCACCTTCAACCGGACCTACAAGAATTCCATCGAAATCGCCCTCATCAATCCCATCATCTTCACCGTCAACCAGACCTACAAGAATTCCATCTAAATCGCCCTCATCAATCCCATCTCGCAGCTCAAGCGCGGAGCCAAGCTCTTCACCAACTTTCGAGCCGACCTTGGTATTCTCGCAACATCCAACATCTTCACCGTCAATCAGACCTACAAGAATTCCATCTAAATCGCCCTCATCAATCCCATCTCGCGGCCCAAGCGCGGAGCCAAGCTCTTCACCAACTTTCGAGCCGACCTTAGTGTTCTCGCAACATCCAACATCTTCACCGTCAATCAGACCTACAAGAATTCCATCTAAATCGCCCTCATCAATCCCATCTCGCAGCCCAAGCGCGGAGCCAAGCTCTTCACCAACTTTCGAGCCGACCTTGGTGTTCTCGCAACATCCAACATCTTCACCGTCAATCAGAGCTACAAGAATTCCATCTAAATCACCCTCTTCAATCCCATCTTGCAGCCCAAGTGTCAAGCCAAGTTCTTCACCAACTTTCGAGCCTTCCCAACGTTCATCTGGGCAACCAAGTATGGAGCCGTCGTTGCAGCCTTCGAGTAAACCGACACCAATCCATTCATCAAGTCCTTCGATTACTCCTTCTGGAAATCCAACCCCAATGCCGTCCCAATTGCCTTTCGCATCGCCAACAGTAAGCCCTTCTGCGAAACCGAGCATAATTCCTTCCAACAATCCTACGACATTGCATTCCGAAGGGCCTAGTCAAAGCATTGAGCCTACGATTACTCCATCGCAGATACCAACAGCCATACCATCTTGGAGTCCTTCTCTTTCAGTGAAACCGTCGTCAGGACCAACAATGGTTCCATCTATCCACCCCAGCATACGCCCTTCCATTGGCCCTACTGCTAGTACGATGCCAAGCCATGAGCCTTCCACATCGCCATCTGTGAGCTTTGAGCCGAGCGTCAGTCCATCGGACCGACCGAGTAGCAGCGCGAGACCAAGTGCTAGACCGACTTCATCACCGAGTGCGATATCCCAAAGTCCATCAATGTCGCCATCTACCTTCCCAATGAATATGCCAAGCAGCGCACCATCACTGCTACCTACCGCAAAACCTTCGATGAAGCCGTCAGTGACTCCATCGCAAATGGCATCAATAACACCAACCGACACGATTGCTCCTTCGAATTTGCCAACAGCAAAGCCTACACCTTCTCCATCCGTTGCACCGACCATGAAGCCGACAAAGAACCCCTCGAGGCGGCCAACACAGCAGCCGAGTAATTTGCCAACTGTGGAGCACTCCGTTCCTCCAACATCACAGCCATCAAGCGGGCCGACGCTGCTGTCAAGTACTGTTCCAACACACAGACCGTCGCCACAGCCATCTCAGTTTCCATCTTTGCGACCCACAAAAAGTCCATCGATCGCACCTTCAGCATCTCCGTCAGCTCCGACACCCTCTTCTCAACCATCGAAAAATCCCACCGAGAGACCGTCTGCCGTGCCAACATCGTCACCATCTCGAAGCCCTTCCAGAGCTCCATCAAACGGTCCAACAATTGCTCCATCAGAGAATCCATCTTCTCAATTCCTCGTGGAACCGGTGCCTCTTTCGACGGCGACGCCTTCAGCTGCACCTACAACTACACCTTCAGCTGACCCAACATCACGTCCAACAAAGACTCCAACAAATGCTCCAACATCCAGCCCATCCAATGCTCCGACTTCTTCTCGTGCGACTCCGTCAACATCACCATCCCTTCGACCAACATCACACAATTCCGAAAGCGATGGTTCATCACCTACGGCTTCACCAGTCAGCAAAGTCTCATCCATGACACCAAGTGTCGTTCCATCATCTGTACCTTCTTCAAGTACAACCCCATCATCCGTACCAACTATGATTATGGACTTCGGAGACGACTTTGTCATACTATCAGTAACATATTCCATGGAAATTTCCAGTGAGTTAAACACCACGGAGGAATATTTGGAGGCGGCATGCACAGTGCTTGGTTCCTACCTGAATGAGCAGACAGAGTCGACTTTCGAGGATGGTGTTCTGACAACATTTGATTGCAGCAGTTGGGATGGGAACACGGTTTCCGCCGCACAAAGTAATCGATCAGTGGATGTGTTGGATGTACTTTATGCTGAGGCGATAGTCACGTCATTTTTTCCACTTTATTCACCGACTGTACCAGACGACAGTGCATATGAGGGATTGTTGAATGAGATGGTCCATGCGATGAGCCACGACGAATCTCTACTGCAAGTTCTATCGTCAGCAGGAGCATCATTGACGCTGTATTCCGACGATGGTTCCAATTCAAGACAAACAATTCTGGAGATTGAGCACCAAGAAGAAGAAGAAGAAGAAGAGTCCTTGTATGTGTCTGAAGCTAACGAGGAGCAAGAACAAGAACAAGCAGAGGACTCTCATACGTCCTTCTCATCGTCATCAAGAACAAACACTTTGTTGTTGATACCTGTCATTTCAGCAATTCTGCTAAATATTATTCTGCTGTAAATTAGATTATTGTAAAAAGTAGATACAGAACCATACTGTAGATAACTTTCTATGATAGAGTAGGAGTTTTCGGTTGTTTGTGATACCGGTACGGGTATAGGAAGGAAAGTCTTCTGCGACGCGCCTGCGACAATATTTTATATTTGACTTCGAGAAATTCTGGCGTACTGTATTACGATTCATTATTCATTCAAAAGAACAACAGCAACAGCAAAATAAGTTACCTGCAAATTATCTTGTTTCCATTCAAAGCTTTTTTCCCTTGCTACCAACATCAAACGCCTTTATCACCATGGGATTCTTCAAACTCGTCTTATTCTTGACCTTCAATGTTGTCTTCATCTCGTCGATTTCATTGGGGTCTCTCCTAGCAATTGCGAAGTTCGGTGAAGCGCTGGAAAGCGATTTGAAAGGAGGCGACGAGAAACGGCTTAGTTTGATGAATTGATGAGCATAAGATGGGTATATTGTGGAGTGTAAGAAAAGTACATGAAGTGGCGAATGCGTGCTCGATGACCAACAGGAATGGATTGTGGAATCATCGTTGAATGGGGAAGCAAGCCATTGTACAGGACAGAGAAACAATCCCAGCTTCCGTGATATGCGTTTGAAGCACTGACCCGTAATTCGTTGTCTACGGGTCAGAGGGATCTTTACATTGTGGATATGTATATGACTGGGTATGAAGTCAAAAGAATACAGATGATAATCGTTCTAATATTTTTGTTTTTTAAATCTATTGATGTTGAACCAACTTGTGTAAGTAGTCCATGACCCCGCAAATAGCCTGCAAGCCCAAATCGTTGAATATTGAGCATTATGGAAAAGCAAATAGCTTATCTATATCAACGTTCTTGATTTTCGACTTGATTCGCTCGTCTTGTGACCAATCGCAAGCCGTTTGGAGTGCATCTGCCAACTGAAGAGCTGTTGGCCTCATTGCTGGATCCAGTCGAAAGCATGCCTTGGTGGCCTTCCATATTACCTTTAGCTCCATGTACTTTGGCATATACTGTTCTGGCAGAGTTGGCAGTTTCCCCTCTATCTTTTGCTGCGCAACATACAGCAGTTCAGGTTCTGGTGGATCTTCCAAATGAGTCCATGGCTGATGCTTCGTTAGAATGTGATATAAAATGTTGCCAAGGGAGTAAACATCACAAGGCTGAACGGTTTCCAAAACCCCATGTGTCGAATTTCGAATCTCTTCTGGTGACCGCCAGAGTTCCCCGCTGTATCGAATCGGTATCTTGCAGGCCTTTTCTGCATTCTCTCTTGAATGCTTGGAATAGATTCCCAAATTAAAGTCGTTCCATTGAATTGATTTCTCTTGAATGGATATTGTATTGGCAATATTAATGTCGTGATGGGCAAAGTACATTGGAGTCTTCGATATCGTTCTTCGAACACTGTTGGTTTCTTTGCTGCTGTTGCGTAATGGATCATCAAAATCAATCCGCTGCATTGCATGAAGTTCGGCCAACCCCCGTGCCAAATTTCTCGCCAACTTTAATCGCTCAATCTTCCGCAAGGTCTTGTCCTTGGCCACTGCTTTTCCTGTCTTTCGAGCAAACGGGGTAATGACCGATTGCCCACAGAAACCAAAACTTGAAACAACGTAGGGAGAACCCGCCAAGTGTTCCATGACAGCATTATCCATTTCATGCTTTTGATAACTTTCATCATCAAACTCCCGGTGCAAGTGCAATACTTTCAGAATCGCTTGATCATCGATTCGGAGAACAGCCCTCCAATTGCCATCCATACTCAGTACCATGTCGATAAAGTCGTTGCTAGCAGCATCGAGCTCATGGACGGAGTTACACGTGGGGCGGATTGGATGGTGTATGTCTGGTACACAGGAGTCAAACCATTCTCTTTCAAAGTCATAAATTGGGTTGGAAATGGGCGGGCTTGCATCAGCGTCGTCTTGTGATCTTGACCATGATGCTTCAAGAACTTGTGGTGCATCAGCAGAGTCATCATCTATACTACTGCGACGATTGTAATCGGGCGAAGACCCCTCGTCGCTCTGAGAGGTTTCTGATAATATCACAACCCTCGGAAATTTTATGTTTTTTTGTGATCTTGTTCCTAACCCTCCTTCTGTAGCCACTGAAGATTCTCGATATGGAATCTCAGTATTATCATCTGTCAAAATTGTGGGAAGGTCTCTATTGGGAATCCGACCATTCAAAGCGGATTCAGGTGCAGCAGCATACTTCCTGCCTCCGGAATGATTAATGACAAAGTTCCCCGAGTTTCGTTCAAAGTTCAACAAGTAACCTGCTTGAACGAGAACAAACATAACCCAGAAGACTTTTCCCTTCATGTCCCTCATATTGATTTATTCATTGCTCTCATATAGATTGTACAGTACTGAATTTTGCAAGCCGCTAGAGTTAACAGTCATGAGCGATCAGAGTACCTGTTGTGCTTTGCTTCTATTCTATGTATTGGCGATTAATACACGCAGTTAACAACAGCAAGGCAAATGTGACTGACGCAACAACGCAATATTGAATATCGTGAATGAATGATGCAGCAATGAATTCAAATGTCATCGTCATTGGTCGGATCAGTCACGGTCATTTTTGTCGAAAGAAACTTCCTCAGCCCCAAACAGGTGCGGGTCTTTTTGTTTCATGACGATGTAGGTAGACTTTTGCGGTGGAATTCTTTTGCTTCTTTCGGCTGGCATATTTCTAAGTCGCAAAGATGTGGGTAGTCCCATATCCGTTTTGTAAATTGAAAATGCCCGGCTCATAAAATCAATTTACACTGACAATAAAACAAAACAATTTCCAAACATGTCTTCCACCAACAAGAACAGCTACAACAGACGCGGTAGCATGGATTTCAACAGACGGGGTAGTATGGACAACAAGTACACCACTACGACCTCTAACAAACAACAACAACTGCCTTCGAGAAACAGCTGCAGAGACTCAATGCGAAGTTCCATTTCCAACTCTTCGAATGAACCATTGAGTGATGGAGCTCTTGCAATCATGAGATCTCCTCAACCTGATTCCCCCAACAAGCCTCGTGTTATGAGACGAAGAGGGTCCTTGATCACCGGAAGACAAGCCAACGAGCTACTTCTAGACACCAGCGACTGCCTATCGGAGATGATGCAGAAGCGCAAGCAGACGGGCACTACATTCAACGACGACTGCGACTCCGGTGACAGCGACATTGAGTCATAAGCTCGTGGCCAAAGGTATCTTTCGCTGTACTGATCACATACTACTCATCGAAAGAAGCCAGAGCGATGAACAAAGGAAACAGAGTTGGCGCCTGTTGCTGCAACTGCCAAATGAACATATGAATGAGCTAGGCATGTGAGAATATTTCCTGAATAGTGCCTACACTCAGCGTCTTTTACACGAGACTGTTTACAATGTACAGCAACAACAACTATAGAACATCATCAAATCTGTATAAAATGATAATCTCTCGCAAAACTGTAACCATATTTCTAGCTAGCAGTTACAGTATTAGCCCATTGTTGGACCAGAAAGAGCGGTATAGTCTTAATATCCCTGACACTCACGCACCACTTTCTCGTCACCAATATTTTTGTTGCTGTTGATTTGTTAAAAAGCGAAAAGCGCTTGTTGCTTGGTTGATACAGAAGTGGCACTGTACGATACTGTGGTGGCTACTCCTCATTTTGTCGAAACAAATTTCCTCAGTCCCAAACAGGAATCAGGGGATTGAATAGCGATAGCCCCTGCGGTGGAATACCTTTCCTGGCATCTTTCTGAAAACTGACGAGCCAAAGACACGCAAAGTAACAATGATGCGTTAGTCATGTCAGTGGTCACAGTTTTTATTATCCCAAAAGAACCGAAAAGAGATGGAAACGATTAAAAAATGAAAAAGCGAAAAGCGTTTGTTGCTTGAGGTCCCAAACAAGAACGGGAGGATCTGTATTTTAAAGTCTTTTTGTTTCACGGTGAAATTCCTTTGCTTCTTTCGGCTGGCATAGTGTGGTTACCTGAAAAAAAACACACCAATTCACAATGATGCGTTGGTCACGTGGGTGGTAACATTTTCGTTTTGCAAATGCCCGGCTCATAAAATCAATTTACCGAACAACAAAACAAAGAGTTTCCAAACATGCCTTCCACCAAAACGAACACTTACAACAGACGCGGTAGCATGGACAACAAGTACACCACTACGACCTCTAACAAACAACAACTGCCTACGAGGAGAAACAACTGCAGAGACCAAATGCGAGGTTCCATTTCGAACACTGCCAACTCTTCGAATGTATCAGTGATTGCCCGAGCTCTTGCAATCATACATTCCCCTCAAGCTGATTCCCCCAACAAGCCTCGTGTTACGAGGCGAAGAGGGTCCTTGATCACCGGAAGACAAGCCAACGAGCTACTTCTAGACACCAGCGATTGCCTATCGGAGATGATGCAGAAGCGCAAGCAGACGGGCACTACATTCAACGACGACTGCGACTCCGGTGACAGCGACATTGAGTCATAAGCTCGCGGCCAAAGGTATCTTTCGCTGTACTGATCACATACTACTCATCGAAAGAAGCAAGAGCGATGAACAAAGGAAACAGAGTTGGCGCCCGTTGCTGCAACTGCCAAATGAACATATGAATGAGCTCGGCAGCCATCGTCCTCGAAAGAGAAAGGACAAAATGTGAAAATATTTCCTGAATAGTGCCTACACTCAGCGTCTTTTACACGAGACTGTTTACAAGAATGTACAGCAACAACTATAGAAATATCATGAAATCTGTATAAAATGATAACCTTTTGCAAAACTGTAACCATATTTCTAGCTATAGTACTACCCTATTCTTGGACAAGGAAGAGCGGTTTGGGGGAGAACAACTATGTCCCTGAATCTCGCATTTCCTCGAGACCAAAATGAAATGAAAAAGCGAAAAGCGCTTGCGATTTTGTAGTGGTATCAATAGTTGATCTCGCAAAGTTTTTCATCTTAGTCAGCCATGAATTGTTGTTGTAGAGTAGAGACAACAACTGCCTGCAAGAAACAGCTGCAGAGACCGAAGAATGCGATGTTCCCTTTCGAACATTGCCAACTCGCCGAATGTATCATTCTTGATTGATGGAAATTTTGCAATCATATTTTGTTATTGTGACCATCACATGCTCATCGAAAGAAAAATGCCGTTACCGAGTTGTACCAGGTACGCATTGATTTGGAAGTGCTGTTTCATGAAGACATACTTCTCATCTAAGACGCTTTACTCTGTACAACAACTACAGAATATTGTCAAGTACTATCTCATCATCTTCAGTATCAATCCTCCTAAAATCATTTATATTGCTACATCCTTGTTCAATTGCATACAACATTTGAAAACTTGCGTGGTCAAAGTGCCAATTTCTACTGTCACTTCCCGCTTTCATATTTCGTCCGAGTCTCAGTCCTCGTGACACGTGGAAGCCAAAAGCGCGCGCAGAACCGACGAGTGAGTCATTCGTCATTCTGTTGTCGACACATTTTATACAGTAAATAAAAAAGCAAAAAAACAGGAATGGCTCACAAAATCCATTTTCACAACAAAACAAGAGACAAAGAAAATATCTGTCAAACATGCCTTCCACCAATATGAACACTTTCACCAGACGCGGTAGCATGGACAATAAGTTCACTACCCCTAAGTACATCACACAACAACTTCCTGTGAGAAAAAACAACTTCAGACACCCAACGCGGATTCCAAGAATTTCGAAGATTGCCAACTCTTCGAATGAATCATTGATTGATGGAGCTCTTGCGATCATTAATTCTCCTCAGCCTAGCTCCAAACCTCGTGTTACGAGACGAAGAGGGTCCTTGCTTACTGGAAAACAAGCCAACGAGCTACTACTCGACAGCAGCGGTCGCCTATCAGAGATGATGCAAAAGCGTAATAGTCGTATCACATTTAACGACGACTGACTGTGGCTACGATGACAGTGACCTAGAAGTATGAGGTGAACGGGAACAGAGCTGTTAACGCACTCCTCTCCCAGTATCACGTCTTGTCCTGAAATAAACTGTTGCAGTCGTTGACGATCCAAATGCGTCAGACGTGGCACGCTAAAACCTGAGTCAGGCATCGTCATCAGACGAGAAAGGACGAGATCTGGAAGCATTTCCTGAATAGTACCTACACTCCAGTGTCTTATCCAAAAGACTTTTTACAATGTACAGCAACGGCTATAGGACTAGTAAAGCAATATGAAATTTGTATGAAATGAGAATGTTCCATAACACAGTTATCATGTTTTCGCTCCGTCTTGGCCCATGGTTGGAACACCAAGAGCGGATTTGGGTGTTCGATCATAGTGATGCCGACTGAAATGCGCAAACCGATTTGAAGCATTACTTTGGAACTAATATTTACTTCCAGAATTGCGCACATTTCTATCCGAGACGCTATATAACATAGGGACGCACCATGCTGCCTTGGCCACCACCATTACTATTGTTGCCCTTGGCGTCTTTGCCTCGACGAGGACATATAATGAAGTCTATGATGTTCATCAGCAAAATGATCATAAAGCGATGACATTTTGCAAAATTAAATCATGCAGTTCATACTAGCCCATGGTTGGATTGAATGCGCATTTTTTTTAAAAGAAACTACAGTACAGTACAGTACAGTACTGTACGTGTACAGTACAGTATTCCGACGCAACGACAGGGAATCGAAAAGCAGTCAGATCAATCGGTCATTCGTTCAAACACATATCATAGGTGTCATTCGGAGAAACATTATTACGTCAGTGCAAGTGACAAGTTGAAGGAATTGCGGAGCTACTGTATGTTCGCGCACTTCGCACATCCCTTTCTCAAAAATGCCCCTCAGGACATTAGGCCGTAGATCAGCAGGAAAACGACAGAATGAATCGAAGCGACAAGTAGTGCGTATTTTTTTCCGCGTTTTTGCTCCGTGCATAATCGTCTGGGGAAGAGACTTACCCTTTGTTGCTGGTGGCTGAGGGCTACTGCTGCAGTGCAAGGGATTGGGGTGAGGATCAAGCTGCTTCAAGTTGGTACATCGCTCTAAGCGGTTTTGTAGAACAAATGCGCGCAGGAGTGATTGAGTCAGCAGCATGATAGATTGTTTTTTCACTATTACTATGGTATCACGAATTGATTCTCTTCTTTCTTAGCGACTTCGCTGGCCACACATGTACTACGGTCGTTAACCTGTACCTATCATAGTACTGGTACACGTACCTGTGCCAATTGAAATTGGCTTGAAATCACTCGAAACTCAATCATCGTTTCACCGAAACTGACACTGGTGTGACAGAAACCTTTAGTCACAAGGGAAAATTGATATGTGACTGCTCTATATTTACTATTTGTCGAATGCGCCCAACAAGTTTGCAACGGCAATAAAATTTATCTGGCAGTATAACTTCTCCAAACAAGCAAACAAACAAGCAAACAAACAAACAATCAAACAAGATGAACGTATCTACAGCCAAGACAGAAATTAGTGATGCTAAAACCAAGAAGAAAAGTGGAATGATGAAGAATCAGAGTCCTCAAAGAACCAGCGTCAGGGTTGTGGGCCCCCAAATAATGAGTCAAGTAGCAGCTCCTCTCGACATTTCGCAAGACTCCATCATTTCTGGGGCTCTTAAAATCGTGGAATCTCCTATAGGGGCACACAAGAAAACTTTGACGACAAGAAGCGGGTCTCTTGTGAGAAGAGGATCTTCGATCAGCCAAAAATCAAGGGCGTCGTCTGGGGTCAGTCAACGGAGAGGGTCGTTGCTTTGCGAACGACGAGCTAGTGAACTTCAGTTGGACAATGCTGATCGCCTTTCAGGGTTGATTCTGAACTGCAAGCAAGTGATGGCCGATCTTGACTGCGATTTCGAGAGCGACTATGATGAATGAGCTTGTTGTATGAGGCAATATTTATGTTGACGAGCGAGAACAAATCTTCAAACAAGGATGCACTCGAGAACGGTTATTGCACCAAACCCAACAAATCCGTCAATTACACACGATACAACCAGAGGACGCTTTCTCCGGGGTCCTTCGTTTTTTGAAAGAGCTGCTAATTTTGTTGAGTTAAATAATATGATGATTTTTAGAAGTGGCTAATATGGAATAGATACGGTAGGAATAATATATTGGCATTATTCGCGGATCGAGGTCTGCCATCGAACCTACTGCGGTTAGTATCAGGCGGTCTCGTTGTCGCTGGAAACTCTCTTCATAGACTCGACTCTCGATATGATCTCTTGACTCTGCGTCTCAGCAATGACAAGTGTGTTCATCGACACTAGCCCTTGTAGAATTGATTCATATTTCTCTGTTTCGATAGGCAATATAACCAGCACGAATCATCAACGGCCCAAACCCTGGCTATGCCGTCACATATTTGTTGGAAGCTTGTCTTTGGCATGTTGATGTCATTGTTTCGATCAGCAACACTTTATTCGCGAGCTTGCCAACAGCAAAGCTGAGCAAACATAACGATGACAGGTGACAGGAGTCAGAAGCAAGAATTAAGAGACTGACTCCAGCAAAAGACGAATGAATGTATCGTCAATGCCCGTCGAAAGAGATCCAGCAATTCGTCGGCAGCATTATGGATTCGGAATCGGCATTTTCGCTTTGAGATAGATGCCCCTCTGTCAGAGGTCCTGCCAATCTACACAAGTCGGACCGTTTGCTCAATTTACATTTTGGAGGATACCTTTGACCAGGCGACCTCTATCGCAACATTCTCATTGAAGCACTTAACATCATTCTGGAGATTATTTTCGTAGATCGGATTGCAGGAGATGAAAAGAGATACTCAGATTCAATCGAGTAGTGGAGACTTGTCACTCTGTGAACTTTGGTGCCTGGAATTCTTGAAAATGCGAAGACTACGAGTCCCCAATGACGGCTGTGTTTTGTCTCTCAACAAGTGGAAAGAATCAAGGCATTAGAAAGAAGGTGATTATAACAGTTCCTAGCATTGCTGCGCTCTTAGTGAATGAGTGCGCACTTATCCGCATCTAACGACAAGCAAGTAGTGTGATTATTTGAACTGAATGTCAATCGACTAACTCCCTAGGGCGGAACCAAGAAACAGGAGAAATGGCAAGCACTTCCATCCCTCAAGTCACCCATAAGAGCGAATTTTCGAATGCGTGTGCGGGCATCACACATGCATCACTTTCAAGGCAGCAAGACTACGCGAACAGGTCAAACAAGTGTGCCATTTTGCGGGCATCACACATGCGTCACTTTTCAGGCAGCAAGACTACGCGAACAGGTCAAACAAGTGTGCCGTTGTCATAACATGCGTACCGCCATGAAATAGCGCTATCCCTTCTTGTCAAATAGGCAAGCAAGTCTCCGATATTTCGCGCGCAATCCAAAAGACCAGATTCACACCACAATCTACCAAAGTCACACCATGAATCTGCAATGCTTTTGCAAGTATCCCGTCGTCCGGCCGAATTGTTAGCCTCGCCACTCTTTCGCCAAGGTGATTGTTCGGCCATATCGAGGAGAATACTGAATGAGACATTATTCCGCCCATGTGTACCTCCAAAATTCCTTCAAAGCTTTTCTACTTCAAAGCTTTCTTCTCAATGAAATTGATTTGCCAAGTGCTTGCGTGCAATCCTGCATTTTTTGTTCGTTGGCGTAACTAAGAATTTCAAAATGTGGCGGGAATGAACTCACTTGCCCAAAATACCGCGACGGTTTGGCCCAATTCCATGTGATGTTAAGTATTTGTGTTCGTTTCGCGCAGGCGAGCCACTTCCGTTTTGTGGCTTCAATCACAAAAAGTGAAAACTTGTTTGTTTCCACAATCACAGTCCCAACCTTTGTCACAATCCACTCATTGTTCTTTGAGCGTCACTTACTCGCCAATCTAAAAGCTCCAAAGAGTAGATCATTCCACTACGAAAACCCCCCAATTTAGCGAATAAGCCCGCCATTTACACCATCATAATGCCCACAGCCGCTTCAGTATTTTGGTTTTTCGTGTCGATATCTTGGATGTTCTCCTCAGGATTGGTACACGGCAACGTCGTGGAACCTCGACTATTGCGAGCCAATGCCAAAGGAGAAAGTCTGACAATTATCGAAGGCATAGAGAGGGATTCTATTTTGAAAGAATTTCGCTTTGAAAAGAGCAGTAGCAGTCGACTGAGTACTACCCGCGAAGATGCTTGGCAACATGAAGAGGAGGGTGTTGCCTACTATTCGCGACCAGTATCCCAAGACTTTAGTTTTGATGATTCGGAAGACGAAACAGACTTTGAATCAAGGCTGGTTACGCGCACAAACACACTTCTTCGTCATCGCAACGCTGTGTCCTTGAAAGAATCATGATGATATTCAAGTCGGGGTATTTGTTCTGCAAGAATGTGATGGCCATGGCGAATGATTTCGAGTGAGTGTGACAGTCCAATTGACGCTGTAGAATGTTCACATTTTATGATAACTAGAATACCATAGAGAAAGCTATACAGATTCAAGATTGCATAGCATTTCACTCAACGAGCACTACATAAAAATGATAGACAATCCCATGAGACACGGAATAAACTCTCATCGTTCATGACATATAGTACAAGACATATTTTTTCAAGATTAGCGCTATACTTGTTGCTGTATCATGTTAGGAACCCCATTTCCATTCATGTTTCCACTACCACCACTCTTTGGATCTTTCAATATTTGTTCTCGTAGCAACCGTTGTGGAGTACTGTATCCCATAATTTCATCATAATCATCAAAGACAGGATCCGTTGGAAAGAGCCACGTATAGAGTGGTCCAATCCCAAACACCGACGTCAATGGCACAGGTTCCTCCAAAGCATCACTCATAGTATTGGTGGCCTTTTTCTTTAGACGATCAATGGTCCCAATTCCCGTCATGAGCCCATAGACGACATTCATGACCATACTGGAGGTAAATAAAAAGGCTCCGATACTGAGCATCGTCATGATGCGGACCAATTGAATCAACACCACATTGAAAACACAATCCTCTGCCGCACAAAAGAAATAGTTGAATCCCAGCAAAGTCAACGAATATACCGAACACGACCAAGTGTAAATCAAAAACAGGAAAAAGTGTTTCATATTGCCAGCTCCGACGCAATTGTTCATCCATGGACAATGGTCTTGGTGGTTGAAAAAAGGAAAGGAAGAAAAAGGTCAGTTGACATCACTTTTGATTGCACAATCAATTTTCCTCCAAGTGCACTGCTCGAAACTTACGGTCCATTTTGCTAATGCATCGATTGCAAATCCTGCAATGATGTGAGAGTGGTGGCTTGAAGGTTTGACATTGCGAGCACATGGCCAACTTATCAGCTCTTCGTTGGGCCTCGGTTGGTACTGCCGATGGTGGTACACTTCCTGGATCGGTAATACTCGTCTTGGCATGGCACGCCAATGCCATGCAACACAAAATGCTGTAGGAATATGACAGATAGACTGGAATCCCACCCGTTTGCGCTAGTAATGTAATGGTCACCATGGAATAGGCCATTAATACCCACACCATCATGGCCATGATGGTCCCCGCGGGATCGGATCGATTCATCCAAATCCCATGCTCATCGCCTGTCCCCAAACTACAGGACCACGACATGTCATTGAAATTGTCTCGATAATATTTCGCACCTGGTCCTTCGTCTTGCAAGACTCGTCGATTGGAACAACAATCCGGCATTCCCGAAAAATAGACAGATGGCTGTCCTCCCAAAGATTTTTTGTATTCGTCGTCCATCATCATGGCCCCACCAGTAGCTGGTCCGTAACCTCCATTGCCATACGACTCCAAATGAACTGGTGCATTCTGAGAAGAGATAGTAGAGAGATGGATAAGTGCATGCATGCGTGTATGTATGTATGTATGTATATTTGAGATCCAATCAAAACACATGATGGAAGGATTGATAGTAGCTCAACATGCACACAATGTACCTACAGGATCGTCTCGATACGGTGTTTCACCTCCTATTCCTCTATACCGGACATCTTGCGACCGAATATTTGGACCATGTTCTGTTATCGTGTGCGACATTGTGATGGCTCCAACAATCAACTACAGCGTTGCTATTGATTGTTGTTGATTCTATTGTTGTTTTTGCGTAGTTTGCCACCGTGTCGTGAGCAATTGGAAGGCTCCAATGCAATGATGTACGAGGTGTTGTTATGTGTAACACATGTGAACACAACGGTTGAGGTTTAGAGGGCGATCGGATGGGTCGACGTTTCCACAATCAAATTTTCAAACGCATTGTGTCCACCTGCCGTCCTTTCGTCTACGTCCATTGGCGTACATCTAACGCATAAACAACGTGTCTATGCTTCTCCCATTCTCCATTAGCTCAAAATGGACCACCTCTTCCACCCAAACCCAAATTTTGAATGACAGTCAAACTCGTATTGTCATTGTTATTGTTTGCTTGCTTTGCACAATCGTCAACTGCTCAAACTTGTGCCTTTTCTAACAACAATCACAACAATAACAACACTAGTAGAATGTCCACCAACAACAAATACGCCCAAGATGGCCCCGAAGCCAAGGAAATCGCCCAATACCTTCCGTATTTCCCCTTCAAGGGAATCCCTCGATTCTACGACATTGGTGGCTTTCTGTACGAACCTGCCATCTTTCAAAAGATTGTCGACATCTTTGTCGAACGCTATTCGGTCCTTCAGATTGATGTCATTGCTGGACTCGATGCGCGTGGATTTGTCCTGGGACCTCCCATTGCGCTAGCCTTGAAGAAACCCTTTGTCATGATGCGCAAGGCCGGCAAAATGCCCAACACGATTTGCAGTGACGATTACAAGACGGAATACGGAAACCGCAGTGGAATGACTCTCCAAAAGGACAAGATTACAGAAGGCCAACGTGTCTTGATTATTGATGATTTGGTCGCTACGGGAGGAACCTTGTCCAGCGCCATTTCCTTGGTCAAGATGCTCAAGGGAACGGTCGTCGAATGTGCCTGCGTGGTCGAACTCAAAATGTTTGTCGATCCACCAGCCGACAGTGGACTTCCTTCTCGCACTAAGCTCTTCAAGGATCTTGGACACGATGGTATTCCTGTCTGGGGATTGATCAGTGAGGATGTCTTGACCAACGAAGCCAAGCTTCCTGATGGATATGTCGACGATGGAGAGGAGCATTAGATGAAGTGAATCAATGATTGAATCAATGATTGAATCGATTGAATAGACGATTGCCTTCTATGGTTACCCATTCCATGATATTTTTGCAATCTATTGATGCATAATTTAAATTTTTGTTGATAGATTAAAATCGATTGCTATTTTTGGTGAAGTCGTCTATTTAAAATCATCATGTGCATCATAAAATGCATCATCAATCCTACTGTAGATATTACAATGTAATAAACCCATCTCTGGTTAGCAGCATATATTATTATAGATTGACACTCCACCTCCCACTATTGTCATGCTCGTCGCGACTACTTACATTGGAACCTACTGCACCGTACCCTCCTGTCTTCAATGGATCCTCCTCCTCTTCGAGTAACAGTTTGGTCTGGCTTTCGGTTGGTTCGTCCACTCGGAGTTTGCAGTAGAGCCTTTGAATGGTCGATCCAAGTATGAAGAGTATTCCGACCACCAGTATTGCTGGAAGGATTGTGGAAAAGGAATCCAAGTTGTACACGCTGGCACGACCACTGGTTCCAATTGCTCCCATTGCTGGCGTGTAGTGATTCTTGTATTGGGCATGCATGTTGCTGTAACAATCCAGTTTGTTGGTGACAAATCGAGGGTTTCCCAGCACCCGTTGCCGCCAATTGGCCATGACTTTCGGAACCGACGAAATCCGTGTGTCTCCAAAACCAACTCCTGCCCACATGGGTTGGGAATTCCAATCGCAATTGATGTACGACCACATTCCAATATCATATTCTTCAATCAAATCCAAAGTGGGTTGGAACCATAGATCCCAAATGTCCATGTCATCTTTGTCATCAAAGTCAACAGGTGGTTGATTTTCGAAAAACATGCCACCAAAGGGAGTGGATTCGGCAATCATGATTGGTTTGTCATGATCTCGAGCAAAATCCAAGACTTCTTGCACTTGTGCCAAGGTTCCTCCCGCAAAGTCGCCATTCGCCTTTTCATTGGCCCATGGATACAATTGTTGAAAGATGGAAACACCGACCCAGTCGACGTATTTGTCTCCAGGATAAAAGTCTGCCAACGGTGCTACCTTGGGAGCTGCCCAAGAATGCCACACAAAGGATACGACGCGATGACAGCCCGGTATGGAAAGTTGGACTTCGCAGGCTTGGACTAAATATTGAAAGGCTTGTTGATAAACAAGAGGGTCACTGGAATAGCCAAACCAAGGATTGTCGAATTCTAAAAGCAACATGACGAATCAAGACAAAACATAAGTACGAGCATGAGCATAGGGCGGGGGGCAGCAACACAAACGCAATCCAGCATCCTCGTCAGCATCATCAATTCGTACCATATCCTACCCTCAAGAATACTTTCGGTACGTGCAATTTTTGGAGTTCCTTGTACATTTCTTTGATTTGCAGGTCCAACGCTCCATCGACAATGTCTTCACAACCGGCCGTCCCATTCAACCACAAACCAATTTGAATGCCGGATTTTGGAAAAGCCTCCTGCAAGGCATCAGCATATTCAATTCCACTCCCATAGTCGACGGGTTCCGCCAATCCTCTCAGTTCTTGAATGTCCGTGTAAAACATGGTGGCCGCGGGGTCGAAGGATGACAATGGGCGCATACTAATAATAGATGAATGAATGAATGAATGGTGGGAGAAAGAAGATGATGTCAACAGTCGTGAGATCATTTCACAGAATGAATCAATCAACCAATCAATCTAACGGATACATGCAAAACCTGCGAGACGATACATTCCGCAATCAAGCGTACCTATTATCTTCCAAACTAGCATTATATTGACTCAGAAGATATTCTTCGATGGAGAAGAAATCTTGACCGATCGTCAGATATGTTTTTCCAGGAGGAGGTCGACACGAGGTGTCTGGCTGCCATAATGGCTGCTTCGGTTTCGATTTCTTCATATTGCCTTTCTCTTGTGTAGGAGCTGTGCGGGAAGAAAATGTTTGATTTGGAAAGTAGTGAGCAAAAGTGAAGCGGTATAGGTAAGGCTTATAATGCGAAGACCTTCATTCAATCGATCAAAATCCTGAAGATGTCGAAGGCTACTCGACTCCTTCGAATGCAATACCCTACAACATCCTCACGTCCTATTGAGTTTGTGTTGGCTTATTGTTGGTTGACTTTGCCTTGCACGCAAACGCAACTTCGTACTGGTAGTACCAGACGACTCAAATCAAAGAAAGAAAGATTGCTACAGAATGGAAGAGGAAGACGAACTCTATGGAGACCTTGGAGAAATAGACAAAAAAAACACTCCAGCTACACCCTCCACGAGCGCCAGTCCCATGGTGGCAGCCTCTTCCAAAACCTCTTCACTGAAATCCCCACCTCCAGGTTCCATCATGGCACAACAACTCGAAGAAAAGGTAAAGGCATTGGAGGCAGAAAACCTGACATTGAAACGAAACATGGGCATGTTGTACCGGACTGCCCGACGAGAAATCGATCGAAAAGACAGGCAAATTGCAGAGTTGATGGCCGAGCTGGACGAGACAAAGAAGAAATCTTGAATGTGGTTATCTCGTGTTAGATTATGACTTGCCATGCAGATGGCCTCTCTTCCTATCAAGTCGTCCTAAATTGGAAACTTTTCCAAAATGAGCGCCAGGACTTGAGAACCCACAGTAACTATTTGAATGGTAGACCAGGCACGATTCGGCACTAGCGGAAACAGTTACATAGCGAACAAAGAAACATTTCCGATAAAAAGGAAAGCCGTGTTCTCTCCTTCAGAGACTTGTGAGAAGCTTTTGCAGTGGATGTACGAAGTTTACGCCCAATTGGCCTACCGTATACCGCCCGGGGGTATGGGTTCTATGAGCTTCCATGATAGAATGTCTGGCGCGAACGCCTCACTCTTCACAGAGAAAGAGTACTATAGTACGAGTACTGGATTGAAACAGGGAAATGGTACATGGTACTGTCGTCCTTCAATAACTCCTCCGCGGCAATCCAATCAAGCAGCGTCATCCGAAAAGATCATGCACCTACGCTTATACCTGCTTCAAAGTCACACTCTCTTGGTGTCACCGGCATGTTATGTCATCAACACCTTTTTGTGTGGTCGGCTTTGTTTTGGTTGATACTGGCGAATCATTTGAGCCGATGACACTAGGCAGTCTTTATATTGGAAAAACTACAGTAGTATTTCATAAGACGTAGTAGTAGAACCGGGTGATGTTATCTTTCCAGCCTACTAGCTACTGTAGTTAGTTGTAGATAGGTAGTGTGGCAACTGAATCTACCGGTAGGTGCCAAACGATGGTACCACCAGGGGACAGTACCTGGTACAGTGGGGCTACTCTACCCTCTGCTAGCCTGTACTCAAGAGGAGTACTTTACCGGTAGGTATCTGCAGTTGCATTCAGAAATGGTGCTGAAATGCGGTTGGCGAGTGAGAAGTTAGCGGATGTGTTTTTAATTGTTTTCAGAAATCACTCTTGGTGCAATAAATTAAAAACGGTATTGGGGAGAGTCACTAAGCAAAAGTGATCTCAGACATCTAGGGCCATGTTCGAAGAAATGGGTATTTTGGACTGTCCCTAAGTAAATGAGTTGTCAAAATATCGGAAGACATCTAAGTAGACGGTTTGGAATGTTCGAAATGTTCTATTTCCCACAGGAGTGGAACTATTTTTTATTTGAAAGCATTTCTGTGCTCATCGCGTTACATTTTCTCAATCTACACTTTCAACCTCGTCACATAAATTTGTTACTTTGTGTCTCATCATTGCCTTGCTAAACAGAGCAACAATTACACAACCCCACACAATGTCAAACCATCCTAGTTCCACAGGCAGCAAACATGCACCAGACGAGGACAGAAAGAATGTTTCTCGACGACGAAGAAGAGATGGTGAAGGGAAGAATGACCAGGAAACCAAAGCAGTGCGATTTCATGGACTTGTCCAGCGTCGTAGCTTCCAATGCGTTGCCGAGGAGGATCGCGAGAATCTCTGGTACACATCTGAAGATTATGATCAAGCGCGGAAACGAGAAGACGCACTTCAACAGTATGTTTCATCCAACAAACAGGTTTACCGTTCCATACGAGAAAACTTGAATGCGGAAGGAGTTGTGACGGACCAGCAACAATCGAGGCTAAAAGACGCCATTGAGGCATCCACCAACGCGGTCCTCGAGGAGCAAGAAGAGCAAGAATTTGCATTCCACGGAAAGAGAAAAGACTTTTCTCTGGATTTCAAAAAGATTGCAAAAGCCTACCGCTCACACTCGGAAAAGGCCTTGAAAGAAGCACAACGCCGAGCGGAACGGCATGAAAAGCACTTGGAAGCCATCGGTGGAATGAATATGTCAGGTTATTCGTCACCGTCTTCACCTTCCACAAGGAAAGGAATTCTACGAAGGAAAACGCCAAAAAAGTCATCGAAGAGGGAAATTCCAAGGCCTCCTGTACATTTGCAGGCAATATCTGTGTAGCTAGTGGTGACAGTCACCGCATCTCGTCTCTGCTGCCTAACCTGTAAATAATAGAAAGAGAATAAAGAACAATGCACGCACAATTATTGAAGCTGAATAATTTGAGACCTTAGCAACAATTCCTCTATTAGTACAGTAGGACTACTGGTTATAGCATGTACTGTTTGCCTCAATCCAAATCACACTCGGGTAAATGAGGACAATGTTCCACGTTGAGCTTGTGTATTTGAAAGGAGCACAGCGCGGTCTCTGGCAACTCATCCTGCTCGGCAGCTTCAATGATAAAGGCAAAGGCAATCGACAAGGATTTGGTATGGCCCTTCACGACACTCAAAATACCCTTGGCAATACTGGAAGCAGTAATGATAACATCCACCTCATAAACAGCCTTTTGTTTTTCAGCGCGCTCTTGAAAATAGTATTGGAGGGGAATCACTTTGCCCAACAGTGCTGGCGCCGTTCCATTGCCAACGGCCGCCTTGACAATCCATGGCCCTTCCATGACAATGGGAAGCAACTTCAGACGGGCGTCCCGATATTGCTGATCTCCCTTGACAAACTTGCACCAAACAGACGCCAGTGTCCCCGGAAATTGATCCAGCGGTGGTACCGTAAAGTATGCCACAAAGTTGCCAAAGGGTAACAAAAAGTTTACCAAAAAGGTATCTTCTTCACCCAACTTGCCTCCCATGACATTGGGATGCCGGGCAATATGTCGTAGAGGATTATCCGCCAACCACAAATCGACTCCTCGGCATTCAAAGGGAGCTTGTCCCGAAGGAATCTTGACCTTATCTTGCAAGTAATTGGGTCCCCGTACCCGGAAAATGCTATTGTCCGAGGGGACCGACCAGCACGACTCGCCTCCATTGGATGGATATTGGGCCAAAGGCGAAGTCAGTGTATCCAAATCTTCGTGTATACTGGCGTCGAAAGTCTCGTCGATAATGTCTTCCCCATCGGTGGATTCGTTGTCAGAATCGTCCACTTGTAGTTCGGTCGAAGCAGAAGTGGTTGAGGGTGCCCGATGCAGGCCTGCAAGTGTTGTTGGCTTCATCGTCGAAGTAGTACTGCTGATGCGTTTGGCGGCGGAAGGTCTTGGACGACTGCTTCGATCATTGTAATAATATTCCTTGCCCGCCCATGCTGCCGCCATCCACGTCAAGGCCAAGACATCCACTCGTATTTGCACAGAGGGAATATTCTGTTGATATACCTGAAAGAATGGATATAACGACACGAGTCCAATTCCAGCCCCGCCCATGACCATCCATGGATACTGTAACAGCCATAGAGCCTTGATATGTTTTTGCGGCGGTTGTTGTTGTTGCTTGGCCGTGTGTTGGAGCCATTGCTTGACAAATTCGTCCGTATTGACATCGGCCCGGATCGATCGTACTTTTCGAAAGGCTATGGTCAAAGGCACTTTCCACCAGGTAGGTTCCTGTATCCGCAGATCGTCACATGTATTATTAGCATCCAGCAAAAAGGCCGATTTGAAAGCTTTGGTATTGACAATCGAGGCATTCATAGAACACGCCCTCAATATCTTGTCCACCTTGGGTATACTTTGCGTGACTTCTTTTGGTTTGCAACCCTTGTGAAAATCAGGCAAGCTTGCCAGCGTCGATTTCAAGGATTCCAATATTTTCAAGGCTTCGGGGTCTTGCTGCTGCAATACCACTTGCATTTGCTGTAGCATTCGTATCAGTTCTAATTTCGTTTTCAATACTCGTCGTTCTTCCACTCGGGGAGGTTGCAATAGCAACAACGCAATTTCATAGGAGATTTCCCATTGTAAAGAATGTGATGATTTGGATTTGGTAATGCGATACCAAAGCACTTTGGTGACAATGATCCGACCCTTTTTCTTTTTGGGTCTTTCGATTGGTGGCGCTTCACCGACCGAAGAAGATTCTCCATGCTCAATGATTGTAATGTCATCATCAATGCTACTGCTCCTGTTGTCCGGTGATATCACGACCTTTCGGTTGACCTTGACGGATGGTGATAATGATGCGGATGCCAGCAATCGTTGGTGTTGGTGTTGTTGTTGTTGTTGTTGTTTGCTTCGATTCCCACCAACACCACCAACACCACCTGGTTGTTCTACCACACAATTGGAACCGCCGCTTGATCCTGATGACATGGACCGTCGTACTCTTTGACACATTGTCGCTGCCCATTGGAGTGCCACAACCCACGTCTGAGCTTCATCTAACGTACTCACTGCACAAAAGAAATCCCGGGGTGGATTGGGCTCGGTCGATTTGACCATGAGTTCTTGTGTCAAAGACCGCTGTCCTCGAAAGAGAAATCCAAAGGAACCTCCCGGTAATCCCACATGCAAATCCCGTAACGTAGTGACATCAATAATCCGAGCGTGGTAAATGAGCAAGGTGTCTTTGGGAATCATATTCACATGATCCAAATCGGAATCTTCCGGTAACGTCACGTCAGCAGTGGAAGGTAATTCGTAATAGCGAATCATCCCATTGTCCAACAATTCCAAATATCGGGGCCTCCAAATGCGACGGAATTGCCCTCGAATATGAGCTCTTCCAGCATGACGAATGGTGGGATCTCGGTTGGGAGAAGAGAATACCAAATCGTACATGCTGTCGCGACTGTAGTATAGTAATTATGATAGAATGGAGTATGCTGATTATTTGAAGCAATCACAGAGATTGGAGACGTTTAGACTGTAATGCACTGGTTTTTGGAGTACCTAGTGTTGTAGTTGAGCTAGAGGATGACTATCATTGGATGAAAATGGACTTGCGCGTTGAGTAAGACTTGTCTTTATTCCTGTTGCGTGTCATCAATCATCGCATTCTTTGTACCGGTACGAATGAGGAACAAAAAAACGTTACCTGAACGTCGTATCGAATTCCCCCAAATTTGGAGTCTGTAGTCATAATCATTCTACGGGTACTGTGGTAGATGAAACATTTCAAAAATTTACAAAACCCAAAACGGTATTAAAATACAGAGTGAAAGCACCCCTATTTCATGCCCACCCCTTTTTGGGTCTAAGATATCCAACCCATCACCTTTTCTTCTTCTCCAAAAGCAAGTCGTCAAGAAATATCCACAACGCCCATTGTTGTTTTAGTTCCGCTACAAAACTAATCACACCTCTCACTTACAGTCGTCAGGCTAGATGAGTTTAGGTCAAACCATCAAGCATGGCATCGGGCGCCTCACAGCCAGTGCTGATACCCAAGTGACGAGACTCACCAAAGTCAGCCACAAGGCTCCGACTCGACTCTTGCCCATTCGAAAGACCAGCATTGAAAAGGCGGGAGCCGCCGTGTGTGCCTTGAGTAATTATGGGGGTGGCATGTTGCAAGGAGATGCGTCTGATTTATTTATCAATGTCGAGAAACAAGCAAGATTGGGAGTGACCACACAAGGAGTTAGTCGAATTTATTCGCAACGATTGTCCAACGAATGTCAAGCCAATTTGCAGGCCACCGTCGACAAGGATGCGCTGTTGGTGTATGCTCCCGATCCCTGTTCTCTCTTTGCGGCATCTTCCTTTTCGCAAAAACAAGACTTTTCCATTCACCCGGATTCCTCCGTGGTCCTAGTGGATTGGTTTTCGTCCGGTCGATACCGAAACGGGGAGCACTGGGCCTTTGACAAGCTGTCGTCTCGTACCTCTTTGAAATGGTTGGGAGAAGAATCCTCCCCGCCATTCTTGCAAGATTCTGTCACCATGGATCTTCGCATCAAGCAGACCAATCCATCTGAAAAGGACCCATTGGGAGTTTACAACTTTCATACCTTTGCCTCGTTGATTCTCTATGGCAAAGAGACGGAAGAAATCAAGAAGCAGTGTGAAATGCTCCAAGATAGTTTTGCTTCCGAAACGACACGAATTCGAGCACGAGACTCGGTACAACTGTTGGAGAAGGACTTGAGGCTATCAGGTCAAGTCTGCATGGGATTGAGCAAGGTCGAATTGCCCGGCAAGGAACATGATGCCCACGTCATTCGGTTGGCCGCCACGACCAATGAAGATTTGTATCGAGTCTTTCATCATTGTCTCTTGCCATTACACGAAAAATTTGGAATGGAATTCTACAAGGACCGCATCAGCGCCAATCAGTCGCAAATCGACAAGATGCAAAAGACGGATCAAGGTTCGGGAGCCTCTGTTCGACCGACCAAGTACGCAGTCCGAGACGATCCAACAGAAGGCAATTCCTTATTTGACGAATCCATGGAGAATGTGGGGAACGGGTACTGGTCAGCCTTTATGCTTGCAGATTCCAGCATGCCCACGGGGAGTTTTGCTCATTCATCTGGATTGGAAGCTGCTGAACAACTTGGTTTCGTCAAGGACGAAGACGATTTGCAAACCTTTGTTCAAGCTGCAACTCGGTCCACCATGCAAGTCATGACTCCATTTCTAATCACTGGACACAGACTGGCTTTGGAAGATATTGTGGACCATGAAGTGTATGCCGCCAAATGGAAGGAATTGGATCAACAAATGCAGGCTGTCTTGAATTCAAATGCTCCTGCTTGTGCGGCATCCTTGGATCAAGGAAAATCCTTGTTGCGAGTCGCCAAACATTGGATTGGTCAAGGCAACAACAGTACCATTCTGAGCCTGAAGACCTTGGGTGGTGGGCAGTGCCATCATATTGCACCGATCATGGGATCACTTGGTGCTCATTTGGGTATCTCTGAAGTTCAAGTCTGCCGTTTGTTTGGATACTGTGTGGCAAGAGACATTGTCTCGGCAGCCGTCAGATTGTCCTTGGTGGGTCCCTTGGCCAGTGTTCCACTCTTGCATCGAGTTCAAGGAGCAGCCGAAGATGGTTATCGGGCTAGTTTGTTGGCCATGGCTCAGAGTGTTGACGGCCAAAATCCATTGGTGTCCGCGGCAGGAAGTTCACCCATCGTCGATGCGATTCATCCGTCCCATGACGTTTTGCAAGTCCGATTGTTTCGATCATAGAAATAATGGAAGACTTTAGAGTGGATTTGAGTAGTTGGTTTCTACTGATATCGGAGTAATACTGGAATATTCTTACATCGTTTTGTTGTAGGTTTTTGTGTTGAGGCGTTCGATCTTGCCTTTTATGACATGTTACTACCATAGTTCTACGTCATGTCCGTTCGCACACAAATGTAGAGAATACAGCTTCTTATGAAGAGTGCCGGGCAAGATCTCCATCCTTGTTTCGTCGTGCGGATCATCGTTGTATTTTTGGTAGCCTCGACGGCCACATAGAATGAGCATTCCAGGTTTCAATGTGCGAGATTTGGTTTCGTTTTACAACTGTTGTGAAACTTCTCCTTCCATAACAACACCCATATTGAAGCCTGACAACGCATTCGTGTCCTATGGTTTCAAAGATACTCTTGGATGACTCAGACGCAAAGCAAATGATCCACAAAGAACAACGAGGCCAGCCGATGCAAAAGCAGCTGCAGAGCCTAAGCGACTGGATACACCTCCAAGTAGTATCGGACCGATCACCCGACCGATCGTGTTTATTGCTCCATCAAGACCCAATATCTTTCCTCGCTGGTTGGCTTCAACGTGCTGAAATAGCATTGCAGGAATGGATGGACCATACAGCGATACTCCAGAGCAGAAAAGTGATGCAAAGGCCACAATCCAACGCCACGCGAAACTAGCCGAAGAACCGAAAGCGGATGCTCCGATACCAAGCAAACCAGTTGAAACAATAAATAGTCCTGCTGCGCATGTCGCAACAGGACCATGATTCTTGAGAATCGAGCCAACAGAAGTTGCTGACATTAAGAAGCTTATGCATGCCATGAACGTGTACACAAGTCCAATGCTTTTCGCATCAAAGTGACCATCGTGCTTCAGTAGCTGCGCAAAAAATGCATGAAAAGTGGCATCTCCAATATTGAATAGAAATGAAACAATGAAAATGGAAGGCGCCCCCATTAGGGTGGCCGCAATCAATGAGAATGGTGTGGAATCCTGGTTCGTGTCATCGTTGCGTATCTTTTTGTTCCACCTCTCTTTTGCATATGATTCCTTGACGAACAGCATCACAGCCATGGAAGCTACGATTGATGCAGCTGCAGAGACTCCAATTACTATAGATAGAGAATCCGACGAAAGCATGTCTTCAGCATTCCCTGTTCTATGTCGGTGAATCAAATCGTACATGATCCCCCCTGCCGCTGGTCCAATGACATATGCGGCCGTGGCAGAAGCGTCTTTGAGTGCAAGATACTTTGGCAAGTTCCCATCCTGGAATCCAAGGTCTGCTAGAAGGGCCTTGCTCACAGGACTGTTTCCGGCAAAAAGTCCTGTCAGCATTCTCATTGCCAAAAACAACGAAAGGGATCCGTCAGACCGAATCACGAGGCTCTGAAGTGTAAGGCCAAGCCCGCTGCCAAAGAGGGAGAGCGCAATGACAGGTTTCCTTCCAATCCTGTCGGATAGTGCAGGCCAAATAAACACACCAACAAACATGCCCATCGGATAGGCAGAGGTCAACGAGCCAAATGAAGCGCCAGCTTCGAGCTCGAAATATCTCCCCAGTGCTGGTGTGATTGGTCCCGTCATTGTAAATCCCAGCAAACTGAGGAACGAAGATGCAAGTATTGCACCAACGGTCCACCGTCGATCGACTTTCTCATGTCTTGGACTATTCAGCAATGGTGATATTGACAGTGAAGGCAGTGTTGATGAACCTAAATCATTTGTTGTCTTTTGTTGTGAAGCAGAATGAGAATGTCGTTCCGTCACTGAAGCTAGCCGATCTCCAGTCATGGAAGAATGTTGTCGTACAGAGAGAATGAAAGTTTGTGAAGGCAAGCCATCACCACTGACATTCAATGGAGTTCTTGTTACGTTTTTCGAAAAGGCTTTAAAATGTACGACTAGGACGATTCGTGGAAGCGTTTGGGTTCTTTGGTTTTGAAGGGTTCGTACTGTGTGACAGTGTAGAAAGCAATCTCGATCTGAATGACTATGTCTATTTACACATTGATGTCTCGCTCTCGTTTGAGTCTGTCGGGTATTGCATATCCCATGACTCTATCATAGTCTTCGAAGACAGGATCCACAGGAAGAAACCATGTCCAGTATCCTTGAAGTCCAAATACATCCTTCAACGGCATCGGTTCATCCTCAGCATCGTAAAGCGTTCCGCTAGCCTTTTTCTTTAGCCGATCAATTGTTCCAATTCCAGTCATTATTCCGTAAATCACATTCAACAACATGGACGACACAAATAGCATCGTCATGATACAAAGAATGGTCATAACCCGAACCAACAAAACAACAAGATCTGGGAACACACATTCATCACTATTGCAGAAGAAGTAGTTGATCCCAAAGACAATCAGCGCGTATGCACACCCGGTCCATGTGTAGCAAAGAAATAAAATGAAGTGCTCTGAAACGAGGAGATTTGGATTAGCACCAGCAAAAGTGAATTCACGAAAGCGTAGAAGTTGCAAATGCTTACTGAAGTTGTTGGCTCCGACACAATTGTTCATCCACGGACAGTGGTGATCCATCCCACTTATACATCTGTTGCATATTCGGCAATGGTGTGCGCCTGGTGGCTTGTAGGTTTGACAGTGCGAACACATTGCATGGGTTGTGACGCCCTTTGTGAAAAGAATTGGCAAAGGAACTGCTTCTTGCGGTATGGACCCTGGGTCTGTCAACATTGTCTTGCCATGTGAGGCCAGTGCGAGAGTAGCTAACGTAATGAATGTCATCGCAATTCCTGGTCGTATACTATTGTTTTTTGCCAACAGTGACATTGTCAGGATCGCAAACATGTATAATATCCACACCATAGAACTCATGATAGTCCCAACTTTATCACCATGGTTTGTCCATATTCCATTGCTTTCGCTAGTCCCACAAGTACATCCCCAAGGCTCATCATTGTACGTGTCTTCATAGTAATTGATGTCCAATTCACCTGCTTTCCCCACACAACAATCATGTTTTGCCTGGGTACAAAGTCGGCTGCAAAGTGACCTTCTATCCATTTTCTCCGAGGCATCGACAGAATACATGGACTGCTCAAACGTTGGAACATGCTGCGTGCAAAGCAAGAGGGAAACATTGATCAGATGATGCATCACATGCTGAATGATGTTCTTCTTCTATTCTTACTTGTGGGACCCTCCGTCTTGGAACATTACTTTCCCTTCTTCCCCCAACTAATGGTGCAACTTCAGCTTGGGTGAACGACATTGCTTGCGATGTCTAGTGGAGAATGAACACTGCCAATTTTGCAGCAATGTACCGGTATTCAACTGTTGTTGGTCTTTCAGAGTGAAAGAGGCTTCTTCAGCTCCTGTTTCCGTTCAGTCCATTTTCATTTTCGTCGATGAAGATGACAAAACAATTTCCCGCCCTTTGCGAAAAAGGTCTGTACATCTGTTCGAAGCAAAGTATTCGAATGAGTCGGAGGACCTTCCGGTATTTGGCTAGCTTAGCGTCATATTGGCTTGGCAGGACCGGCCTACTACTGTAAGGATTGCAAATTTAAAGTTATAGTAGTACGTTGCGACTGTAGGTGTAAAAAGGATTGACCGACTCAAACACTAGTATATCATGTTAAAATGTTAAAATATCCAAGCCCAATCATGCGGAATTCATCATACAGCTGCGAGCATAGTTCACAATAGCTGTGCAAAAGATCTTTGCAGAAGCAGGAGGAGGATGGTTCTTCCTCGTTCTTCAGCAAGAGTGGTTCTTCGTCACTCATCTTTTGCTCAATTCTCGGGGCTGCTCCGTTGCCGCAAACAGTGAAGCATGCCTGTACTTCTTCTTCAACTACATCCTTCTGGATTGGTTGCGAAGTAACAATCATAGATTTGGTTCGAGCTCCTGTTACTGGATCGTCAGTAAAGGTCTCTATCCGGGTAACTCTCTTGCCATACAAGATACGAGTTGTGGTAAATACTCGGGTTCTTCCGTCTGGTGAGGTCTTGGATGATCCTTCCCACCCAGCAGGATAGGAGGACAAGCTTTTGATCTCATCCCAAGAGGCAGTTGGTGTCAATGGCCGAATAGGGGTTTCAAAAACTTTGCTTCCGAAGACTTGTTCAAAGACGACCAACGAATCTGAAAATGGTACGCATCCACGAGCCTCAAAGAGGTCTTTCAATGGTCCTTCCAGGATTCGCTCTTTTTCCTCTTCTGAAATTTGATTTCTTTGCTGTTCAACGAAATCTATTCGATTCAACTGAGCTGTTCTCTTTGTTCCGTCATCTTTCTTGCTTATATTCGTCGACGCGACAGACGCATCCCCAAAGGATTCACCAGAGGCCACGGAAGAAAATGTTGACGCAGAATCGGACCGAACCAATTCCGGAACCACTACTTCAGGTTCAGCCTCGGATTCAGAATTGGCAAGTATGAGACTGTGTCTGCTTGTTGCCAAACGGCCCCCAACAAAAATATCGCCTGCCAAATTCCGAGTCCCCATACGTTTGCCTCCAACATACATCTCTCCTGCCAAACCTCTAGTGTATTTCCTGTTTTCCATAGAGCTCAGATGCAAGTCGTACCTTCGCCTCGCTTCTTTGTTCACCAAGGTTTCATAAGCAGCTGACAGTAGATCAAATAACTGTATCCTTCGCTGCTGTTGCTCTTCGTCGGTGCAGGTTCTACCTGGGTGATGTAACAAGCCCAATCTGCGAAATGCCTTGCGAACTTCCGATGTGGTGGCGTCTCGTCGAAGGTGAAGTATGTCGTATGGATTGATCGGGGGTGGATCCTCCTTTTCCACCACCTCGTGCTGTGCCAGCGTCCCGCACTCACATTGTTCTAACGTCAGGAGTGCTGACGACGAGAACGGATTGCACCACTCCATAATGATGCCGGGTACTTCTTGAGTTATCAATTTCTTCAAAGACTCTGTGCATTCCACATATATAAAAGAGTTGTTAGAATGGTGTGTTTGTCTGTGAGACCAAAGTGTTGAGAATGGACTTCCCGAGATTCACAAAACGATTTCGGTTCACGGTGTCTTGTCCGAAACATACCTCCACTATATCTACCGGGAGAGCAGAACCATCATCGTCTCAACCGATGCTTGGCGATTCTCACGATCGATCGCGTGTTTGTGGTTGGACCACAAACTGGCACAACGAAAAATATTGTGTCGTTCGCCGGTCCAGCATTGAAAAAATCACTAAGTAACAAAGAACGTATGTCGTCACGACCGTTGAATGTCATTCCAACTTCCTAAATGGCAGGCCTAATCTAGTTCCAAAATCCCGGAAACTCGACCAATTTTTGTCACCGAGCAATGCATATCTAGCACCTCAGGTACGTGTACATGGTAGTGCCGGGATTGTAATCGTCATGGGATGTACAGGTAGCTTGCTAGTATTAATAGTACTCCTTCTCGCAAGGAGAATGTGATGATCATAATGCTCCTCAAGTTGTCAACAGAAAAATTCACTAGATGCACTGTTGAACTTTCAGTTAATTGCAACCTTTCCTCGATCAATGGTCTACAATGTAGATAATTGTACCAGGAACATCAACAACCTAGAAAACTATCTATCAGATTCCACCATGTTCCAGGGATGTAATCTGCTCCAAGCAATGATCATATTTTGCAATACATAAGGCTTTTGATCGACATTCACAACAACAATTAACATTCTTCTCAAAACAGCATGCTGAACCCCAATATACCAACACCATTCCCAACAGCAGCCAAGCTCCCCAAAGTGCTTCTTCAATGATCACACAATATTTGCACCCTCCGTCTCCTGACTCTTGCTCGACAAATAGCTAGATGTAACCTGCAACAAAGCCTCCGGTGATTGATTCGTTCCCAAAAAGGCGGCTCGAAGGGCTTCCTCATCAATGTAGCTGGAATTGCGACCAGGATGTAACCCCTTTAATCGTCGCATAAAGATATCCATCTCCTTTTCACACACAACGTTGTCTACCTCTTGTTCGGATGCAATCATGGCGTCGATGAGTTGATGAAACTTTTCGGCTTGGAGTAGTGCCTGTTCAGGTACGGACCAAAAGTTGACAATGGGGGTAAGTCACACGAATAAAACATTGCAACACTCGGAGATCCCATTTGATACAAATTAACATACCGCCATTTCCTCTTGTATCGATTTATTTTCCTTTAATAGCCCCTTGAATTCATTGACATTCCTGCCTTCTTTTTCAACAATCTCAGCAAGGCGGTCCTCCACACCCGATAATCTAGTGTCACCATGAATGACCAATGTACGAAAAATGAGCAAACGTGGAACGATTCAACAAGACCATTGTTAGACAATTCGCCACTTACTTGTTGACTTGTTGCTCCAACCGTGTATTCTCGGCTTGTAATCGAGCATTCTGATAGGCGAAATCATTGACGGAACTTCGCAATTTGTTCAATTCCTGTCTCAGAGCTATGTCAATAGAATAAAAAAAACACGGTTTGTGAGCACATTTTGGTTTCCTTTGTCTCTTTGATCCCTCACTCATATAATACTTGTGCTATTGAAACAAAACTCACTTGGCATCCACTGAATTCGAATCCGTTGCACTACCACCGCTGGAGCTGTTACCAATGGGAAGAAAAATGCGATATACGCCACTTGACTGGCACACCACCACATGGCCAAAACACCCGACAATAGAGAAGCAGTGGCAACCATAAAGGTGATTCGAGTAACCGTTTTGGCGTAGTCGGGCAATAGTTTGAAACCACCGTCGTCCGCATCGTTCGCGGAAAGGGATGCTTCACCACGGTGGACAGGAAGATCGCCCATCAACTCAAAGTCACCTCCTGTATCGCCCATTTTGTTTTGATATTCTGTTTTATCTCTACACTTGTTCTGTTCTTGACACGGAAAGAGTCAGTCTTTTGATAGATACCTCCTGACTTGTCTTCTTTCTATGTATTGGATCCAAAATTTGTCTCCTCTTGTTCTCACGACTTGCGTTCTTTTTCGCGCACCTTTCGCTTTAACGGATGGGGCACAGACGGGTAGATCAGCTGTCATCTTTTTATCGAACGTACAAAACACGTCAACAGTCACTACAGAGCGGCTGACTTAAACGCTCCCCTTCCTCTATTAAACGCTCCCCTCCTCTATCTACTCCATCAGTCGGAGTATGCAGTGACATTAGCACAAGTGTAAATTAAGGCATACGCATGACTCCAAACTAGAAGAAGTGTTGTTACTATCTGGTAGCGAATTGATTGATGTTACTTTTTTTTTAACTCACCACGCAGAAACGAATGATAGACACTCTAACTGGAAAAGCTAAAGAAGTACCGGGTCTGTACGGCGGTAACACGATTCATTCACGATTATTACAGAGTGAATAATGGAAACGCTCGTCTTCCGTCATTGTCATCGAGGTCATCCCATCAATCGTGGTGTGCATTTTCGACGACATAATACATCAAGCAACAAGAGTAAGTCGCACACATAATCCAAAGCAAAAGGAAGCTTGATACTACTTGTGATCAAACTGATAAATTTTACTCTTTCACTCGCACAACAGAACACAAATCAAAATGGCAGAAGTACCTGAATACAACAACCGAAAGTCGGTCGTCCCGCTTGTCCCCTCCGCCAAGGATTATGCTTGGGGTATCCGTGGAATGGATTCCCGAGTTGCCCGATATGCCTTGGAAAGCAAGAGTATCGATGAAGTCGATCCAGATACCCCGTATGCCGAACTCTGGATCGGAACTCACCCGAAAGGGCCTTCCAAGCTGAAGTCTGGCGAAGATTTGCGAGACGTTGTGGGCGAAGATCTTCCCTTTTTGTTCAAGGTTCTGAGTGCAGGAAAGGCTCTATCCATTCAAGCCCACCCTGACAAGGAACTTGCCGCTCGTTTGAATAGTGAAAACCCCAATGCGTATGGAGATGACAACCACAAACCTGAAATGGCCATTGCTCTGACGCCCTTTGAAGCCATGTGTGGCTTTCGTCAAATTGAAGAAATTGCCTTCCTCATCAAGAAGCATCCAGAATTTGCTGCTTGTCTGAGCCAAGAAGCCAAGTTGGCAACCTTTTTGGCCCAAGATCCCGACAGTCAAAAGGATGCCCTGCAAAAAGTCTTTTCCAGTTTTATGCAGTGCGATGCAACAGTTTCGTCGAAAAATTTGGCTCTGCTATTGCTGAGATTGCAAGCCGAACAATCCAAATTTCATCGACACCCCCACGACGAACCTGCCTGGGAGCGCAAGTGTTCTCGGGCTGTGCTGAGATTGGCCCAACAGTTTCCTGGTGACGCTGGTGCCATGGCGCCATTCTTTCTGAATTACCTATTGATTGCTCCCGGTGAATCCTTTTTCATGGCAGCCAATGAACCCCATGCCTATGTGGCTGGTGAAATCATCGAATGCATGGCCTGCAGTGATAATGTGGTCCGAGCAGGATTGACCCCTAAATTCAAGGATGTTGACAACTTGGTCGAAATGTTGACCTACAGCATGGGCGGACCAACCATTGATGCAGGAGCATACATGGAAGAGACTGGATCCAAGGTGATTCGATACACACCACCAGTTCCAGAATTTGAAGTCATGATGTTGCACATTAATCCGGGAGAAACATTGAATTACAAGAATCCTGGAGTTCCAGGCATTTTGATTATTTTGGAGGGATCTGGTGAACTCGACGGAAAATTGGTTCGGCCGGGACGTTCTTATTTCTGGCCCACTGATTCTCCCGAACTTGAATTTGTCGTTGCCAAGGATCGTCGGGGTCCCATGAAGGTGGCCTTGGCACACAAGAATTGTCATTTGCACAGTCCGACCGCCATTAACCGAATGAATTTTGGAGGAGCTTCCAGTCGCCGAACAAGCGTTCCACCATCTCCATTGCCATACATGGGGTTGGGAAATACTACACCATCATTTGAAAGAGAAGAAGCCATCAAGGATGGGGCTTTGGACCATGCCAAAATGCCAAAGTTGTAAAAAAGAAAGCCTCTGCCGTGAGAGGAACAAAACACAAGTGGCTGATGACTACGAACAAGATATGATGAAATCAATATTCATCCCTTCCATATAATAAAATTATACTTTTTGTTTCTTCTAATCTACCATGGATGATTCGTTCAATCATTCGTTCCGTCAAATTGTGATGTCCAAAAAGAGAAAGGGGGTTGATTGATTTCGACCATTTTCGTAATTTCGGAACAGTCCTTCACAAGTCTATTCCAGGACGACTACGATGACTTGGAAAGGAATCGGGGTTTGAAGGAAGACTTGTTCTTGGATTTCTTGGCCTTGATGGAACCATCCCCACCAACACTGTCATCGTGATCCATGGATCGTGGTGGAAGAACCGGGATGCCATGACCGCCACGCAGTTCATGAGAAGTTTGAAGACGAGCCGCAAATTTCATTTGAGAAATGCAATCTTCAATGGAAGGAAGACCAGGCGGTGGTGGTGGTGGTGGAACCCCTTTGGATGCTTCTTTCTTCAAGATTGATGGCATGGTCGTCGTGATGCTGGCTCGACGACAAGGAGAGGAGTGGCAAAATGAAGGGAGGAGAGGATGATTGATCGAGTATCGACGTACTTGTCTGCTTTCTTTGTGAGAGATTGAATCGAGGCATTGGTGGTTTCGATAGAAGAAACGTCCGCAGGTTGAAAAAGAAACGGCCGTCTACGGCTTCTGTCGTTGTGGGGTAGCATTGTGAGAAACCGACAATCTGAAATCCTTCGATTTCAAATCTGATTTGTGGGATCGGTTTTTTTAACGCTCATCCTTCGTCCGTTTCGTGACGTCGCACGAGCGTCAATGTCTTCTCCTCCCAAACTCACCACTCTAATAAAAAAAGGAATACCTACAGTACGAATACTGCAAAATACCAGTAACAGTACTCTGGAAAAACAATACCGGTACGTACCAAACATAGAGTAGAAATAATCCAACCATTTCAAACCATGGCAAATGCAACAAATTCAAGCATAAATATTGTAATTAGTTTATTGAACGGTGCTTAGCGTTCAGGTTTGTATTGGTTGCAGTATTCGGATGTTGGAGTTGTTCTATCTCGTAGCTGGATATGGCACGATCTTCAAAGAAATGGAATCAAATAATTTACTCCTTCTTCTCCTTCTTTTCCTCCTTCTTCTCCGCTGGCTCTCCTGTGATCTTGGCGTATGCCTTCTTCAATTGTCCTGCACTGGACTCAAGGAACTTATCGTATCCCAAAGCACCAACCAACTGATCCATAACCTTATCTTGGTCATCAAGGCCGTTGGTCTCGCAGAATTGTGCGATCTTGAAGGTGGCAGCCTCCTTTGTGAATGCCTTCAAAGTCTCTTCGGCCTTGGCCAAGTCCAAGGAGACAGTGGAGACGGCTTCGGCGAACCAAGGTTCATCACCACCATCTGCGGCTCCAGCCCAGGACGATTGTCCAATGGGGGAGGTTCCTGGGACTCTCCAGTCATTGGGGGAGACAGCTCCGAATGTACCTTGGCCACCATCACCGTATGTTTGAGGAACGTAGTCGTTCTTCATTCCAAAATCCAAATCATAGTCCTCGGCGTTCAAGGCAGAGGCTGAAGGAAAAGAAGAAAAAAAGAAGGAACATGCGTGAGCGGAGGTTGAATTTTCACAGTATTTCTTCAGCAGTTGTTCTCTAAAAGTGTGTTTCAATGGTCTCCAGTCAAAAAAATTGTCGACGGCAGTCATTCATGTTGCTTTGATTTCGAGTAGATGACTACATTGGCTCAAACTGATGGATTGCATCAACCAACCATAGAAATGGAGAAATAAATAACTACGTACATCTAGAGACAGAGGCAGCTGGGGAGAAAGCAGCGGCAGTGCCGGCAGAAAGAACAAGAGCAGAGATGATCTTCATGGTATTGATGGTTTGGCTGATAGAGGTATTGCTATGGTTTCGTACAGGAGTATCCATCAGAAGCACGCAGGAACGTTGAAGCAAAGGATCGGCCATCGAACAACGATTGATGGACGTACGTTTTCACGTAGACTCGGTAGGATACGTCACTGGATACCGTTTGGAAGTTCTTCTCCTGTTCGAAGGAGTCGAAGGTGTACGCACTTTCGTCCAGTCTGTCTGCCTATCCGCCACCATTTTCGAACACGTCAACTGCCTGTCCGACTGAAAACTAAGAAACGCATTCATCATTCATTTTTCTTCGTGAAAGATTGATTTGTTCCATGATGACCACATTGTTCAGTCTTTGCTTCAGCGCTGCACTATTCTCAGCATCTTTGCAAGATGCAACTTCGTTCGTTGTCAAAGATGCCCCCAGAGCCTCTTCTCGATGCATGGCCACAGCTGTCGTGGAAACTGTTGAGGAATCCATGATCCAAGAAGCGAGAGACATGGACCCCCAAATAGTTGAAAGCATGCCACCACCTCTTCCCTCCGACTTGAAAAATAAATACTACTTCTTGAGACATGGACTAAGTACCGCAAATGTGGCAGAAGTCATTTCATCAGACAGATCTCTGGCCTACTCGAATAGACACGGACTGACCCCGAAAGGATATGAGCAGGGAATGGCATCGGCCAAGGAATTGTTGGATGCTCTAGAGGAAGAAGGTGTCGCAGCAGGTGACAAGGTCGTCTTTCTATCTTCGCCCTTTGCCCGAGCCAAACAAACGGCCATGGCTTGTCTAGATGGATTGGCCGAACCAGAAAATCAGGAACGACTCCGCAATGAATTTGGTGATTTAGAGATTTCGTCGAAAATTCTCATGGAAAATCGATTGATGGAACGTTACTTTGGTCGATTGGACAATGAGGCCATTTACACCTATTCGTATGTATGGCCGCTCGACAAGTTCAATGCGTCCCACACGGCCTTTGACGTCGAATCCGTCGCTGCCGTCTGTCACCGATTGTCTGAAGTGGTCGAACGATGTGAATCAGAATTTGAGAATCACCACATTGTTTGGGTCTCGCATGCGGATGTCTTGCAAATTGGACAATTATATGGAGCCAATGTGGAGAATGTTGGAATGTTCAGTTCGTACCGATTCAAGAATGGAGAGGTTCGGGCGATGAAGCGGACACCGGATTCCTTGCCAGACCCAGTGCCATTGGAGGCACCTTTGCGTGGAACAAATATGTAATGATAGTTTGCTAGCTGTATATAATATTTCTGTTTTCAGTATGCTGGTTGCTTAGCAATGAACTTGCTTGGGTCACATAGCAAGATCAACCTGACGACAATAGTCCCGAAATCCGAAGACATAGGCTCTTCAAGTTCAAGTTGTTTCCATGGTACCTTCACAATGCCCGGCTAGAAAGCAAATACAAACGGCTGAAAAATACCAGAAAGGCATGCCAGAAAAGATATTTACTAGCAAGTACTGTAGTTTAGCTTGTATGTTCTATTCAATTTCACTTCAGTTTTGTCGTCAAAACTAATCTCCTGAATCATCTGCAGCAAAGATTTACAATACTAATACGGTAAACAGCGTCATGGAGACCATATCAGATGACTGACTGATAACAAGTGGCTGCACAGCCACTGCTCCCAGCACCCCTCTTTCAGTACTGTAGCTTGGTGTAATATGCAGAAATCTTGACAATCGATTTTTGTCAACTCTAATAATGCGTTTCATCTGGGTTGACTCAAGCATCCTTCAACACCAAAAACCGTCGATAAAGAGTGGTTCCCATTCCTACAAAGACCAAGGATCCCGCCAGACCAAAGGCAGCACCAGCTCCGAATCGCCGGTAAATTTCTCCCATGAAGAGTGGACTAATGATCCTTCCCACAGTGTTAATTGCACTGTCCAATCCCATGATTGCTCCTCGCTCGGACGAAGGGACGCAGCGAAGTAGCATGGTTGGGACAGAAGGACCATATAGAGGTACACCCGCATAGTAAATGGCTGCAGCTGCCGTCAATATGCCTAGACTAGGACCGATGGACGAAACTCCAGTCCAGGCCGCAGCTCCAAATGATAGCAAGCCAGAACCAATGAGACCGAGTCCAATTGCACAGGCCGCCACAGGCCCCAAGGTTTTCAAAATGAAACCGCTTCCCAATGTAGAGACGGAAAAACTAATACATGCTAGCAGCGTGTAGAGCATTCCGATCCCCCTAGTTTTCAGACCCGCTCCATCTCGAAGAAGGGCCGAAAAGAAGGCATGAAACGTTGAGTCACCAATATTGAACAGAAACGAAACAAGGCAGACAGATGCCACTCCTGTCCACATACTTGTTCCGAGAGGACAACTAATCAGCTCTTCGCTGCTTTCATCCACCTTGCTCGTGTCTTTAGTAGCCTCCTTCATTTCCTTCGACTTTAGTTTTTTGGCATCATTGACGAAGAAGCCGACCAAGCCAGATGCCATGAGAGAAGCAGCCGCCGACACGGCAATGGTAAATGCCAATGAATTAGATGTGCTAGGAAGAGCGGCTCCTGTCCCTTGTAACCACTTGATTACCATGCCTCGAACATCATAGACAAGTCCCCCTAGTACAGGGCCCACAATGAACGCCATGGTACACGCTGCATCCCTCAACGCTAAGTACCGAGGCAATTCTCCATCTTTGTATCCGACATCGGCCAAGTATGCCTTAGACACTGGACCGCTACCCGCAAGCGCCCCCGTCAATGCTCTTGCTGCCAAGAAATAAGCCAATGGAGCATTCGACCTGATGACCATACTTTGCAACAATAATCCGATTCCACTCCCCAGCAGACTCAGCGTGATGATTGGCTTTCGACCTATCTTATCAGACAAGCGAGGCCATAGAAACAAGCCGAATAGCATACCAGCCGGATAGGCACTCGTGAGGGATCCAAAACTGGCACCCACGCCTAGATCAAAGTGTTTGCCCAGGGCGGGAGTGATCGGACCAGCCATGGTAAAGCCCAAGAGATTCAAAAAGGAAGAGCTCAGAATGGCGCTCACGGATCGCTTACGCTGTTGAAATTCGCCATTGTTTTCTTCACCGTCCTGAATATACGCGGTGGCTGCAGGCAGGCCGAGTTGATTCTTTTGACAGCCTATTATCTTCGCTGTTGACACCACTTTTATTGGTGGAGGAGTCATGGATACTGGATTCTGAATGAAAGCGGCTGCCATTTGCAGGCATAAACAAATGTGAACAGCTTTTATCCCGAACTTCATCATGCTGCATGTACTTCTATGTGGACTATAGTCTTTTCGATGGTAGTCAACGCCTGTCACTGATGAGCTTTGTGGTTGGCACGCGAGATGATGAGAAGCCACATATTTTGAAGTGAGAAACTTGGAAGGCGGGACTCATTCAACTCGTGACCCCGAAATTGGACTACTTCTGTTCCTCAGTTTTTAATCTTGCTTTCACTTGGATAGATGTTTCTCACATTTCTTTTCCATTTCAATACCAGTGGCGACACCATGAGGGAACCCAAGGAGGTAACTCCAAACGGTGTATTTGATGGCGTGAATTTCGAGAGATCACAGCCGCTAAACCTCTCCTATGCAAACTTTGTAGCGCAGCGTTCAGGCTCCCGTTGGGGGACGCACACAGACGACTCTCGCTGTGCACACCAGGCATCAGAACCACTTCGACGATCCACAAATCCAATCATTCCGGTCGAAGCACAAGTTCATCCTTTACCACGACATTTTCGAAATCAAACTCCCCCTACTTCCGTGGAGCAGACATCCCTGCCAAGACGAGCGCGATCCCCGAAGCCACCACATCGACGGAATTCCCCATCTGTAGTCGAGCGACCAACAATTCATACCAGCAGGTACCAAGATCGAGCTCGAATACCACTTCACCATTTGCAGCAGAACAATCCAAATACAACTCTGTTTGACAATGGTTATCACGGCAGTGGGGCGATGGAGGATGTTCGAAAACAGATCGTTGACCAATACGTAATGGAGGCCGTGAATAGGAAAGACTCAGGCCCATATGAAGCACAAACTGGACTACTACCAGACTATGAACCAGAACTGGCATACGGAAATCGCCGTTTAAGCAGTTTAACCTTTCAGTCTAATGTTGCTCCTCGGGCTCCTGGCGAAGAGACGCCACACAAAAGCACCCGTTGTGGCAATTTGCCGGATCACCTTTCACATCACGTTTTGATCAAGGAAATTCCAATAAATTCAGAGGAGCAAAAGCTGTACAAAATGTACAGCCCAACCTTGAGCATAGATATGCAAGAGGATCTCGAAGCGCCATCGACTTCGAGTCCCCTCAGTAAATACAAGGGGAGTAAGAGTCCAGCAGCCCACTCTCGCAAGGTATCTTTTGCAACAATGGGAAGTGATGAAAGGTCCAAAGCAAGCCAGAAGACAATAAAGTCTCTGATTTCAGCGAAATGGGCACTTGTTCTTCCATCTCGGAGATCTTCTTCTGCGATACACCCAGCTGATCTAAGGAGGGCACCGGTGGTTGAGCACCACGACGAAGAAAAAGCAATGATGACAAAATTCTTGTCCATTTCGGCGTGTCTGTGCACTTTGATGATAATCGCTGCCGTGGTTTTTCTTATGTTTGTCCCAAGGAGTCCATCACATGGAAAGTCACGCCATATGGGGGCACCACATTGGGCTGATCATCGAACCAAGTCAACTAGTAGTAGTGATGATCAATATGATATCGCTCCTTCAAGGGAAAGATTCCCAACGGATCTCGCCCGCACGCCCAAATATTTGCCCTCGATAGAATCCTTGATGAGCAACGAATTATTTTGGACCAGTGCTTTTGGTCGGTGAAGTTGCTCCACCAGGTCTTGACCCACCAGACGCTAGTAGGTTCCACAATCCACTTCCTGCTGGAGTTGGCGGAGCACTTGCTGGTGGTTGGCCGCCACCACCGGCATTAGGAGAAGGGGACGCTTCTTCCGAGGTGCTATCGAACGTAACGGAGAGTCCAATAAAGTCATCTTCATCCTTTTTGGTTTTCGATGTCGTTTTCGATGACGTTTCCTTCACATTCACAGCTTGTTGCTTTTGTCGTTTCCTCCTCCTGTTGATTTTTGGAGTAGACCATTTTCCAGATACCATGGTTCCCGATTGAATAGTGACTACCTCGATGGCTAACGTGTCCAAGTACTCGTCAAGAAGTCGAAAGTTCTCCACGTCCTCAGAGGTTTCTGGCATGGTATCATAGTCTGCCACAGCCAGCCGTATGAGCGTTGGAACACGAGCTGCCACAGAACATTCTCCGATGAACTTTGCGTATCCAATTAGTTCCAGTCGTTTCAGCGTCCGAGGAAGTGCCAACATAACTTTCTTGCAGCCTTTCATGGAATCGATAACAGCATCTCGTTCGAGATAATATTCCCCTCGAAAAATCACATCTTGTCGGGTCAGAAAGCTCTTTGTCTCATCTTTTTGAACCAGCACCTTGAATTTGTCGTAGTTTGCATTGACGAGCAACGGAATCAAGCCTTTTCCAATGCTCCCGCCTACACCAAATACAGCTATTTTGCCTTTCCCCATTGCTCTCGTTGTTGTGACTTCACAGATCGTGCAGCAAAGCTTCCTTTGGCGAGCTGAGAAAATTTCACTCCCAAAATTTTTGGCGATGAGAATTACGGTTATAATACCGGCGGCATGAACAGACGATCCGAACGTTTGATTTTTGAAAACTCAATTGTGAGAAACGGAGATTCGGAGTACTGGCTTCCCAATACTGAACACGTGTTACGATCTTCTTTTGCAATGTCCAAGATGATTGTATTTTATTTACAGAGTAGTGGCTTAGATGCTAACTACCATACTTGAGACCCAGCTCCCAATAACGGTTTCCTTCTTCTTTTCCCATGTTTATGTTCATTGTATTTACTAGAAGATTCCAATCCCAAGGCAGCGAGATATGAACCTTGCATGTTGGATGTTGCAGCCTCGAGAAGCCACCATCCATATGGCCAGTCGTTGGATGCCAAATATGATCACCAGTAATGAATGGTATCCATGCCGTTTGCACGAGAAGGGTTTTCAAGTGTTCCAAGTCTTCAGCGATGTTTTGTTTTACTTCCCATCCGCCACTTTTGGGAACAGATGTCAGAATGTGAACGTTGGAAAAGGCTGCCACGTCGAATTCTGAATTCGAGTTGCCAAGTAGATCGTCCACAAAGAGTTCCACTGCGTCAAAGCGAGAAATGGATCCCTGCTTCCAGTTGGTCTGAATATTTAACGCCGAATCAAACAAGTCATCAAACGTGCGATTGGCCATGATAGAGACTGCACCGAGGCATCCAGCAGAATAGCACACGTAGTCCTTGATCTCATTCTTTTCGTGTAGTTTGTAAAGTTGTCCTAGAATGAACCAGAAACCGCCGAATCCACCACCATTTACATAGATACAGTCCTTTTCAAATGGCTGCTTGGTACAAATCGCATGAACTACCATTGTGATTGACAAGATGCACATGACTGTTTTCCACCAACGAGTCAATTTGTTTAGTTCGGATGCATAAAGTTTTGAGCTGGCAACCTTCTTTGCTTTCTGTGCTGTCACCGCAGCTTTGAGTAGATTCCTAGGATACCTTCTTGTTGAATGCAACGATGTCTGAGGTTTCGAAGATACCGTCATACAACGATAATCCTTTATTTCAGTAGGTAGTGCGTCTTGATAGACAGGCTTTGTATTGCTTCCAGCCTCGCGAGACGAGAGAATCTGAGGGGGTATTGCCTTCATGATAGGAGGTTCTGGGAAGTCTTCCTTCTTTGCTTTAGTTTCAAATGATGTACAATACAATTCGATAGTTTTCAGCATGACTGACACAGGAACTTCTAAATACCTTTCTTCTTGGTTTCCAGTTATTTGAGGCTCTAGGCCTTTCCCTAAAATTCGGTCAATCTTAGAATCATGGTCCTTGCTGCAGTGCTTGGTGCGTTTCGCTGTGCTGTGCAGAGCAGTTCTTGATACAGCCCTTTTTCTTTGTCTTCGTGCTGAACGAGAAGAGTATGTATTGAATTCCTCTTCCTTCGCAGAGATTTCAATGTTCAGCTTCTTTTCATAAGTTCCGTCATGCCTAGTATAACTCGTACGGCTTCGTTTGCTACTTTTCGTCTCCATTGGTTCAGTCTTTGGATTAATTCAGCAAAATAACGAAAGAAATCAATGCCATCCATCAAACACGAAGGAAAAAAGCATCATAAAGGTGATGTCAGTATCACATATTTTGACTCACGCTGACACGTACTTCGTTTCGGGATGATGCCATAAGTAGCATGCGCGCGTGCAAGCCGAAAAGAAGTCGAAGAAGTCGTCGATGAAATGAGTCAGGGGCAGAATTTTACCGGTATGTGAGAACTGTTGTTGCATTTCAGGCATTTGTTCTGTCCACAACATTCAAGTGCATATACAGTAGCAGTAGTCAAAGGTACATAATTCAAGAAAGATGACCACCATAATGAGTACCACACGCTCACTTCGACCGCTGGTGTCAAAAAGAGGTTCAGCTTGCGGCTACACGACCACTCGTCGGTCGCGGCAGAACCTCCAACACCTTGATTACGCCAAAGACCGCCACAATGCCAACAACAATTTTGGGTTTGGAATTGTCTTTGGCGTCGGTGTTACTATGGGTGTGGGTAGTGCAGTTGTAATGTCTAGATGTGAAGGCTTGGAAATCAACGAAACAGAAAAGTAAGCCGTTTGCTCGGTGGACGATTCATTCATTCATTCATCGCTAGTTGACGATTGGGTGACGAATATTGCTTTTTGGGAAAAGTGGCGGTTATGATTGCATTCGAAAAATGAGTAGGTTTTTTTTGGGTAGGGAAGGGTTGGATGCTGCTCCATTGTATTGGAAAGGGGATGCTGTCCTAGTACATAACTGACTCGTTTGTCGAAAAATGAATCAATCAATCCACGGGAGGAACGATAGGTCGTAGTCGTCGCTGAGCATAATGCAGCTGTCTGACGACTATCGTGAATCGTGGGCACTGAATTTACTGGGAGAATACAGTGGCAGAAATTAAATTTAGCACTGACAGTCTCTTTAGAGGTCGAAGACGATTAGGCTTCATTTCTTAGTTTTGACAATGCGATTCGTTTTTTACAAAGTATCCTAGTGGGGCATTCAATCACAACATACACTATTTGTCTACGAAGTTTTATTGTTTTTTGTTGTTGATCTATCTTTTTGTCTTTTACGCAGGTTAGCAGGAAGCACATCGGCAGTCTGATGTGATCAATCGCCATATGCTAATGAATTGTCTATTGAAACGGCAGGTCGTCCTCCTCAATCTCAGCATCGATGATTTCTCCCATATCCTTCTTGCTGGGGGGCTTCTTTTTGTTTCCACTAGTACTGCTGCTGCTGCTTCCACTGCTGCTTGGACGGCTACTCCTAGTGGAGCGGGTACCAAATTCGTCCACATCAAAAATTGTGGTGGTGGTGCGTGTAGTTGTGGTTTCAGAGGGAAAGCCAGATGACGACACTCCTGGTCCTCCAAAGATATCGAAAATACTGTTGGTAGCTCCACCACCACCACCACCGAATGGATCCATGGAATTTCGTCCGGTAACGTTGTCGATGCGCGAATTGTCATAACTGGCTTGTAAAACGGATCCACAGCTATAGCAAACGGTTGGTTGGGATTCGCCATCCTTGCCCTTTAGAACTCTCGCGGGAGCTCCGCAGCTTGGACAAGGGCCTGAAATGGTGTTGAAATATTGCCAGGCTTGAAATCCAATCGTTGTGACGGTTGGAATCAAAATGGCCAACAGTAGAAATGAGTTGAAAATGCTCAGGACAAAGCCTCCCACAGGTGATGCAAAGAAGGCAACGGTCAAGAGCAATCCAGCCGCTCCCTTTAGGATTTCACCAAGACCACCGCCGCCTCCTCCTCTGCCTGGGGGTAGATTGTACATGTGAAGCTTCGTAGTGGTGGTGAAGTCACCACGTTTGCTGAATCCTTTTGTTGTCAAATCATTTTGGCTCCTCCTCAAAAGATTTACGGAAGAAGGAGCTGCCGAAGACGCTCCCTGCCTATGGAATTGTAGACTAGTCCTGTATGGAACGTGCAGACTTCTGGATGGTGTGATGTGAAAGGCTTGCACCTCTGGTGCCAACAGAGGCAACAACGCCATGAGGCAATGTAAACTGCTGATGCTATGAAGTTTCATGATTGGTGGTTGATTCAGTAGTATTGTGTATCGGTATATTCAGGATGACAAGAAGTGATTAGGCAATGTATTTTGCATTTATGTTGCGATTGATGTGCAGTGGGTCGTTTGGAGAGAGTTGTGATTGATTTTATTTGTGATGCGATTTTGATGATGATTCGATCAGAACCTTGGAGGTTCGATGACCATCTCTCACCCATTCTCCACTTCTACTCGTACCTGCAACGCTGGGACAGATGCACAACTTCAAGTAGAGATAGGATAGATGTTCAAATATGGATATGTGGTATGCGAGCGCTTCCAGCGTCTGTCGTAGCAAGTTGAACGCGGCCAGGTGGTGGTGCCAAAGAGAAGAAGAAGCAGAAGCGAACCTGATATCTTGCTGACATCAGCATCTGAATAACACGCGTCAAAGTCAACCAATCAGGGAAATATCTCGACGATTGACTCATCATCGATTTATATCGCGACGAAAACGACATCAACCACGAAACACCTCTCACTTTCCACGCGGCAACAATTCATTGACATCTCTTCCATTTTCAGATTTCGAAAGACAGATTTTTAAGGATTCAGCAACACAAAGGCTTGGATACACAACAATACAATGTAAGCGTGCATTGAACCTCAACTTTTACTGCTCTCGATGGTGGTGGCAAAATCGTCGTCCGTTTTTGTTTGATCGCTCAAATGGTGACATCTGGAAGTGTGCGTCGGTGGTTTTCCGAACTTGGTGTGTTTTGTGTAGAAATATACGACGGACATGTAGGCGAATTTTATGAGAATCGGATGACAATCCGATCCATCAAAAATTCGTTCGACCAACCGCTTTGAAAACTTTTGACAGCTCTCTCCACAACACAATCAAACATTCTTTATCATTCACATTGGCTTTCTAACAATATCTCTCCTTTTCTTGTAGTTCTAAATTGATTTTCTGGTTATCATATCATCTGGGTGCAGACAAGAGAAGACACAATACCGACTGAAAGATCCACCTGAAAAAATACCACCATGAGATTGAACGAACAAACCAACCGAGCCAATTCAAACATTGTGAATACTTTGTTGGGAGAGGAATCTGGATATCGCGGATCGAAATCATCTTTGGATTATAAGGAAAAGGACAGTGGCGTGCTGACCACTGCCAAGACTGACAAGAAAAAGAAGGATCCGAAAAACCAATCCAATCAAGAACAACAGAAACAAAAGCAGCGGCAATTCCCAACGCGAGCCAGGGAACGTACTGGAATCCCACCTCGCCGTTACGATCTTTCTGACCTTGCCAAAATGGACGAGTATGACCTTATCAATGCCCTGAGAGAGGATCCTGAATTCGCTGCAGCTGTCTCAGAATATAGTGCCCAACTAGAAGAAAAGGAAAAGGCTGAAAAGGCAGCCCAAGCCCAACGAAAGGATCGACGATCCAAACCAAGTTCTCCACCAGTGGCAGCACGACGCAAGGCTCGACTCGAAAACTCGTCATCAAAGCCAACGGCTGCCCCAACAGCACGTCATCCGGATCACGTTCGCAATCTGATGGACAGTGGCGTTCCAGTGACTCAATGGATTGTTTTGTTCATCTTGGTCGGTGCAGGATTGTACTTTCTGATGGGACCCGAACTGAAGGAAGGCTTGAAGTACATTATGAAACAAACTGGAAAAACAAAGAAAACTTCTTATGAGGGCAACAAGAACAAAACCAACAACAAGTCCAAGGTAAAATCTCGACAAAGCAACAAGGGAAAGAAAAAGGTGGATGCTCCTAGAAAAGCATACATGGCAAAGAAGTCTCCAGCCATCACCGAATCGAAACCAAAGCCTGTCAAACAAGAAGCACCCACACCGGTGACACAGCAACAAACTGTCGAAGAAACATCGTCCCAACCATCACCTGCTGCGAAAAAAGGCAAAAGCAAAAAGAACAAAAGCAAGAGAAAGCAGGAAACAAAGGCAGAAGAAAGTCTTGATCAGGTATCGGTCGATGATGGATCTACACATAACAGCGACGTTGTAGAAACCCCTACCCTTTTAAGGGCTGGTGTCAGCATTCCTCTGGTTCACATGGAACCAGACGCGGATGCTGGTGGATGGGAAACTGTGGGTCGATCTCGCAAACCGGTCGTAAAGTCACCACCAGCTACAACAGTCATTACAGAAGAATCACCCAAAGCAAGTAGTCAAAAGCCAGTTGTGCCAGAAGCACCCAAAGCAAAAAGTCAAAAGGTTGAGAAAACACAAACAGTTGCCCAGCAAATTCAAGTCGACGAAGCCAAGATGACTTCACAAAATGTTGACATCCAGGAGGAGATAGAAGCTGCTAAAGCAGCAAGCAAGGACCTGGAGAGTACCAACGATGGCTGGGAAACGGTCACCAAATCACGCAAGCCAAAGGAGTCGACTCCAGCAGCAAAGGAGTCATCTGATCGTCCATCCTCTCCAGCCCCAGACACCAAATCATCCAAACTGGCCGAAGAAGTAGCAAAGGCAGAGGATAAGAAGAAACAAGAAGCCCAAGCGCCAGGCGACAAGAATGTGAAGAAAAAGGCTGCTTCCAAGAACAAGAAACAGCAGAAATCCACAAGCCAACCAGCTAAATCCAACAATGCCAATGCTACCGACGGCGATGCGGCTCTGGCATTGAAACTTCAGTTGGAAGAGGAGAAACTTGTGAATCCAGAAGTTTCTGGACAAGTTGAGGATGATGCATGGGAAGAGGTGAAGAAGAGCAAGAGCAAAAAAGGCACAAAGGCCACCACCTCATGAATTCAGCAATCACAGCCATGATCATAGCAGTGACTGTGCTTGCATCGCAACCATATCATCGAAGCAAATCAATACAACTCATAACTAGAAAAATTACAGCTAATTAGACGGTTTCAGAACGATTGACCTGCACTTTTCTGGTGCTGGCTACCTCATATAATAGTTTTAGGACTGTAATAAAATACTGTAAAAGCTTTCGCTTTGTGTCATCAATTGGACCGAAAAGTTGGATGCATGCGGAAATAGGGGCCACGTCACGTCCATTTTCTGTCGCATACCTTTTTCAATGCAACATTACGGCCTGCATGTGATTGCATTGAAGTCTCTTTCAACCATACTTCTCCGAATTCAGTACCTGCTGTACCGGCACAGGTCAATCAATAGCTACCATGTCGGAAGAGGTAGCTTATATGCCTACGATACTGCAGCAAAAGCTGTTGAGCATCCTCTTTGTACCGTCATGCATTTTGTCCATGATTGGTTCTGGATTCATCATTAAAAATATTCGAGAGGAAGGAAAGCGGACACCCTATCGATCGATTATGTTGTGGACTTCCATTTGTGATATCATTGCCTCAATTGGAATTTTCATGCAGCCGTTCTTGCCACCCGCAAATCGACCCGATACCTACGTATGGGCAATTGGAAACGATGCTTCCTGCAATTTTCTGGGTTGTAAGTGGCTGCAGTCCTGGCTGGTTCTGCCATATTGAATATTGGTTCGTAAATGCAAGACCCAATCTCACTTTGTTTTATCTTTTTTAAAGTCATCACACAGTTTGCTTTCAGTGCACACATGTACGCAGGACTGTTGAGTTACTACTTCTTGATGACTGTGAGGCATGGAGTCAAACAACATGAGTTTGCCAAGAAACTTCCGTACATCCATGGATTCATTATCACCTGGTCCGTAGCGACTGGAATTGCTGGTATATTTCTAAAAGCCTATGGGCCAACCGGTGCTGCCACTGCTTGTTGGGTAGCTGGAGACTTATGCGAAGGTGACGGTTGCCCCAACACGAGCTTGATTGGTTACTCGTTCGGCGGGTTTGCGTTTTTGAGCCTGTTCAGTATCATCGTCAATAACTTTTTGCTTTATCGGTTTGTCCGTGCGACTGTTCTGCAAGGACAGAAGCGTGGAATGAAGGCAGAGGAAGAGCTTCGTAACTATCGTCGTCCAGAAGAGGAGGACGATGCGAAGTCAACTTTCACCGAGTTTGGAGTTCGATCAGTCGCTCCTGGAAAGAAACCAACTTTTTTCAGAGCAGGTAGTAGCATGGACGACGACTCCACAGTGAAGCCAAAGAATAAACCAAAATCCTTTCTTCGGTCTTCAGACAAGCAGTGGAAACGGGTTCAGGAGGTTGGGAAACAATCCTTATTGTATGTTGGCGCTTATTTCTTTTGTTCCATGTGGCCAATCGGCATTCAAGTGTTGGACAATCGGGACTACGAATACAACAAGAATGCTGCGTATGTCTTTCTGCCCTTATTGATTGGGCAATCTATTTTGCTTCCTCTAATGGGCTTCTTCAGTTGCATTATTTACTTTCGACCTACTTTTGGAAGGGTGAAAAAGAAGTTCCCTAATGAGTCCAAAATGTGGTGTGTAAAGAGAACCCTCTTTGGAGGTTCCATCAAGCCAATGAATCGCAATAACACGCAAAACAACACTGCTTCGAGTGGCAATGGTTCCTTTTTGCCTCCACCTACCTCGACCTTGCGAGTCAACTTTGCTGGACAAATCAACATGTCGACGTTGGGTCCTGGAAATTCCATGGCAGACTACAGCGAGGTGGACGAGGACAAAAAATTTAGTGTCCACTTGGAAGAAGATGAAAGTGGCGATATCGATGAAGATGGGAAGGAAGAAACAGATGCTATAGCCGGTGATACGGAAAAGACAGCGCAAAGTGTTGAAACCTTCGAAGCGAAAAACGAAGAACCTTGAATGTATGGAAGAATAAAGCATTCTTATTTGAGCTCCCTTGGAGTCCAGTGAACCGGATTGCATCAATATATTCTGGCTTGCCCTCGTGTCCAAAATTGAAGTCCCCTGGACTGCAGCGAACCGGATTGCGTCAACATAATCTGGCTTTCTCTCTTGTCCAAGATTGAAGGGTACCACGAGCAGTACCTCTGAGATCTGCCTTTCAACATTCTGCTGGACATTCTGCGCACAATAATTGTCTTCGGATTTATTTTTCTCTCGAAACGGGTGTCAGCGACAAAGCGATGGAAAGAAAGGCTGTGCATGGAAAAAGGGCTGAATGAAGACGTAATTTCCTCCAAACTGTGAAAGTTGAAATGATAAAGATCAAAGAACCCCCAAATTCTCTTTGATATCAATTTGAGAATCGCTAAACTATTGCTAGTTAATAAAAGAATTGAAAATACAATTGTGATACATTGGATAGTGCGATCTAGGTACAGTAAAATCACGCCTCTGTTGATTCTTTTCTTTTCTCCCCTTCATTCTCTTTTCCTTCTTCTGAAACCTCATCGACGCAGCGACGGGAAATCTCGACCATGGCTGCCGAATAAGTTCTCTGGTTTTCATTTTCAGCTTTCTTCTTGGTAATTACGCCTCTTTCTACGAGCTTCTTTTCCAATAGATTGGCGTCTAGCCGACTCCAATCTCTCTGTTGCTCGGCTGCCCTTCGTCGTCGTCTTCTACCTTCCCCTGACAGGAGATCTTTGGCCTTTTGTGCTTTATTCTTTGCATACCATCTTGCCTCTGTCTCCGCTTGGCCCAACAAACGGCCTCTTGTGAATGCTGAAGAACCATGTTGCTTGAGCGCCTGTGCAATGACACGATTCTTTATCGTGCTTCTCATGTCCTTCAGAGCTTCCCCAAGACTGGAATGTGTGTTACCTCCCCAGACACGGGGGTCGTCAATGACAAACAGAGGAACATTTGCTTTGCGACATGCCTTTTGTAGCAGTCGTAATGAGCTAGGTACCCGTTGCAATGCAGCGCCATTGGCAATGACAGCATGTGGCTTGCTGGACGCTCGACAAACTGTTTGATTTCTTCCATCCAGACCATCCGGGTCACTCTTTGCAAATTTCGGCAACGGCTGGTAGGTGTTTTCATTTAAGTGTAAGATACAACTATTCGTAGCGGCGAGGTTCGCCTTTCGTTACATTACTTACCCATTCCCAAAATCGGCTGACAGTAGGAACCGTTGAAAGGAATGCGCTTCCCAAGAAAACTCTTTGGAACCGATTCGAGCGCTCCAAGGGAGCCCCGAATGGGACTTGTCCGGATATCTTTAGCGATAGAAAGCACATGCATTAGAATAGCAAACACATGCAGCACTCAATGCGTACGTCTCGTCTTACCCGCAATCTCATTTCTTCAATCCAGGAATATTGATTCCATGGAGCTTCGAGTTCGTCTTCGTAGGATGAAAAATCCAGCAATTCTGCGGGATCAGCCTCTTCTATCTCTTCGTCCATATCCTTTCGACGATCTTTGTTATTCTCAACAAAGTATTTCCCAGGATCATATTTGAAACTTCCTACTTCATGGGTTTTGCGCAATCGAAACCTATTTAGGCCGGCCACCGAAGCCTCCATTATCTCGACCCCTGCTTTCTGTTGAGACTGCGCGCTCCGGCATTGGACAAGCGATTTGACCAAGGCCTTTTGCGCTATTCTTAGCTTCTCAGTGGATGGTTTCTTTCCATCTTTGGCTTTCTTCGCTTCATCTCTTGTCTCAACTTGAATTGCCTTCGGAGGTGCAACATCATCCACAAAGATCTTGTCATGGGCTAGACGGCATTCTCCCACGAATGCATCTTTCCGCAATGTTGGAAGATCAATAGCCATTATCCTGAGCGTCGATGGAATCCCTTCTTTTGCCGTTTCAAGATAACTTTTCTGCTGTATCTTATCCATCAGATGAACTTCGATTCGGAAGTTCTTGTCTTTCTCAGCACGTTCCTCACATCCTGTTGTGGTATACAGTGCTGAGTATAGCACACCAGCTGAAGCAGTGGCAAGCGCAACACCACTTGTTCCTGAGGTTGTTAGGAAACGCGCTGCCATGGTGACAACAGTACACAGTAGGTACTGGAGGTGCTGTCTTGGCTAAATTTGAAAACTTGGGTGACACTACCCTTGTTCAAAATCATCTGACATCGGAGCGCGCACGCGCTCTCCATCTTCAGAATTCACTCTCACAAAGATGAATCAGTTTTGGATGACGACTGCAGCACGTACCTACTGTCTCGTTGAGGAGGAACTACAGTACATAGAGCAAAACAGAAACAACAAATTCAGTTATGGAGGTGACAAGAAACTCTATTTTACAAAGCAAGCGATATCATGTTGTAGTGTCGCCGTTCAGTTCTATGTTCGTATTTTTTCAAATGCTTCCGAAAGCCTCGTGCTTTAAGATGCCTGGTCATTATTTTTTTCGTGTAATGACAGCATGGGTTAGGCGTATCAAAGCATCGCGAGCTTCTGACCGTGGTAGACGCAAAAGTGCATCAATAGCTCTCTGTAGTGTGGAAGGAAAGAAAAACGATATGAGAGACCATTCTGCATACTTCAACAATCATAAGCCAATGTCGAAGAGCCAACGTACCTGTGCATGGAATAAAGCAAGCGCCTTGGCCTTGTCCATAGCAGTGTCACTGTCATAAAGGGCTCTCAATGCAGTCTCCTTGTCCCCCTTCTTCTTGAACCTTCGCATAACCAGTGGTCGCAGGTGTTCGTTTTCTTGTGCAGTGTATAGGATTGGGGCAGTACTTAGACCCAAGTCCATGTCTGCTAGCGCAGGCTTACCAAGGATATTGGCGGCTGCTGTGAAATCAAGAATATCGTCTTGGATTTGGTAGGCGAGACCCAAGTGGTAGCCAAATTCTTCGCATGCTGTAGCGACGGTGGATCCATAGGCATGGCCACCAAGAAGCGCAGCAGATCGGCATGCGTAGCAGATCAAAGAAGCGGTTTTGTAGTAAGACTTGCGGAGATAGGTTTCCATCTCCAACAAGGATTCGGCAGGTGCCTTGAGTTGCATGATCTCTCCAGCAACCAGAGATTCCAAAGCGTTAGCCATTATTTGGACAACAGCAGTGTTTTCCAGGCGAGCCAAAAGAACAGAAGCTCTGGCAAGGAGGTAGTCACCGGCCAAGACAGCGACCTTGTTGGAATAAAGCTTGTGGACCGATTCTCCGCCTCTTCGTGTGTCGGCTTCGTCCAAAACATCGTCGTGAATCAATGAGGCCACATGGATCATTTCGACAATTTGTCCCAATTGGGCTTGTCTTCTCCAAACTTCAGATCCTTTGTGATTTTCAGGTGTGATCACTCCTCCTTCAACTTCAATATTTGAGGCTCCACTCCACTCCCAGCCTGAAACACCTTCAGTGTGTTCGATATCTGACTCATCCAATCCTTCGACTGCGATAAGCTTACCATCATCTGAGAACATTTTCTCAGGGGTAGCAGCTGCGACAGCCTTGGCCATCAGCTGTACGATTGTTGGACGGAATCGCTTGCCGTGTCTCTTTTCAAAGAAGTGCTTTGCAGCCATGGAAAGGACGGGTTGGTCTGTTGACACAAGCTCCTTGATGGAATCAGAAAATGGCTGCAATTCCTTCTCAACCATCTTGAAGGGGTCCGGAAGAGTGTCAATGGACATCTTACCACCACATCCCTTGAAGGAGGTCAGTTGCAATCCCTCTAGTTCATCGGGTTGACCAACTTTCAATACAGTTCCATCCCTAAGAGCATTTCCACTGATTCTGCCAGGCATTTCTCCACCTTCCTCTTCCGCCAACATTTGAAAGAGTTCATAACTAGGTGTCAACTTCAGAGTAGTTTCGGAATGCGACAGTTGCTCGGCTTCAGCGGATACAACTACGGGCTTTGTGCGGAATTTCTCTGAGGATTTTTCTGGTGCAACCGCTGACATGGCCAAGGTGGAGGGCGATTCTACGAAATTTATGGAATGTCGTCGCATGGATGTGGTATCTCGCACGAATGCATCCGCAGATCCAGCAAGTAGCATACTTGTTACCATTCCAGACGCAACAAAGGCCCGTCGAAATGACAGCCGCCTTTTCTCGACCATGAGCTGATTCGACATTTTGTAATAGCTGGCAAAAGAAATTGGAAAAGAAAGATTGTGAGTTTGAATGCAATGCAGATAGATTGTCGTGACGTAAAAAGTATGATCTTTCTACAGTACCTCTTTCCAATCAATATATTATAAATGACAGAGTAGTGTTCTCAATAATGCAGTTGAGACGGTCTTCGATCGTATTTGCCCGATAAAAACCAAACCAACTCACTCTGATTGACAATCTTCGTATCGTCAGCACCAAAAAACAGGATGATACCCGACAACTGAAGAACGATGGCTGAGATGGCCAGAAGTACGTGTTATGATGACGCAGCCGGTGTCGGACGATTTTCGAGATCAAAAATTTCTGCTGACGTATCGTAGCCAATCAAAACTATTGAAATCATCCGACTCTATCGACCGAACACGAAACAACTCAGTAAGGAAGGAGGATAACAGCTGTTTTCGCAGCCGAATAGAGTTGATTGGTAATTCCCAACTTCAGTTCTCATTATTTCCAGCATTGTTCTCACACGTTTGAGGTTGGATGACGAGTTCATGAAAAGCTCTGCCTGGTGGTCCTGGCAAAAACAAAACAGGTGGTCCTGGCAAAAACAAAACAGATGGTTACGCTATACTAACTTCAACATTGTTCCTACGATCGACAAAGAAGCAAATGTGAATACAATTTGGTTGGCTCCCTCTGTCAACCTTTTTGGCTGGAACGAGAACAATAGATTTTGAAAGAGTGGGTGATGGATTGTTCTCATTATGTACAAAACTATTTATTAGACCTGCTCCATAACCCAGCAAGTAAGCGATCATGGAAGAATAGAACATCTATCGAAACCACCAGTCAAAAGCAAGAAGAAATTAGTTCACCCAGATGGAAGAGTGGTAACAGTACCCAGAAAATATCGCAAATCGATGAAAATATCAGCGCGTGCTGTCTCCCTCTTTGCCTGATGCGACCACCATGCCATGGTAGACTTGTGGCCAGCTGATGACATCTAGTGCCAGACTCACTCGTCCCTTTACAGTACACTGTACCTACTACGGTACCTACCAAAATTCGGATGCAAAATTCGTCTTCGCATTTGATGGCACACGTCAGCACACGTCAGACCAGAATTGTTTTGCATTTATCACTGGGATTTTACACATAGGAATTCCTTTTTCATATATAATAAAATTTAAAAAACCAAGGTCCCGACCATGTCGTTTCGGACCACGTTGACTGTTTTCAACGTAGCTTGTTCCAGAAAAAAGCTCACGTGGTCACAAAATGCATTTGCCAAACGTCGTCCCACAAGTCGATGATCAGAAAATAAAAGCAGCTGCAAACACCGGTGGCCATCTGTTGTGTTGTATCCTTGGATCCTTTCAACTGTACATATATAAAACTTAGGACCACAGGAAACAACGACGTCTGGTAACTGACACAAATTTGAGGAGAGAGAAGAGATTCATACTGGAACGTCATTGCTCATCAACATCTTCATCACAAACCATCAATCACTATCATTCTATCATTCTATCATCATCATCATCATGTCGCCAGCTGTTGGAAACATGGAACTTGAAAAGAAGCGATCGGCAATACGAACCCAACTCCACCGTCTTCGGGATAGACAATTTGGTGACGAGTGCAGGGAGTTTATCCGTGCCATTCGTTACTTGCGACTTCGCAATGATGAACTTCGAACCCTCGACTTTCTCGCCCGTCTACAGACTGCACTCCAACGAGTCTCCAACGAGGGTAGTATTAGCGAAATTCATCGGATGGCGATGATTGCTGTCCAACAAAGAAGAAGACAACGTCGACGACGACGTGCACCTGCAAGTACAGGAGTGCTTGGTTCCAAAAATAGGAAGCGATCACCTCCTCGGTAGTCTCTCAAATTGTAGATTGTCCACAAAACACTTTTGGGGCAAATCATCGTTTCAGCCACGAGCAAGTAAGCCTGAAGTTTGCAATCACAATCGAATCATACTGTAGTCAGGTAATGTACATATCCTACACCTGAAGATTTTGTTATTATAAACCACAAATTATTATGTTGTAATAGCTATTATTATATACCTAATGGAATGAGTCTGTGTTTGATGGCTTTTGCAAAAACTAGTTTAGTCATAGCTACTGCTACTGCTAGTCCTTCACTACTTTTGTCCGCTTCTTTTTGCGTTTGGGTGCTTTTGTTCCCTCTTCCCCAATGGCTAGCTGCGGAATCGATGCTCTAGCGTGTGTGCCACCGGTCAGTTGTTGTCTAGTCGGTTCCTCCAACACTGCTGGATCATCTCCAGAAGTTTGAACCTGCCGTTGCACCGTTCCATCAGGATTTTGTATTACAGTCTCGGTCACTGTTTGCCGTCGACCATTGACAATGCGAGTACTCGTGGATGTACTTGTAGAGACCATACCTGGTCCTCCTCCCAAACTAGTGGAGGATGTCGTGAAGGACGATGTTCCCCCCATCATTGGCATCATAGTTTGTTGCTGCATCATGGCAAAGGGATCTTGTCCAAGTCCAGCAGTACCACCCATGGATGATCTCCCAAAGAGGACACCCCCATTCCCACTGCCAAAAAAGGGATCATTGAACAGACTTGCACCTCCCATCATTCCTCCCATGCCCATGCCCATTCCACCCATGCCCATGGGATTTTGAAAAAAGGGATCGTCGAACGGACTTCTACTGCTGCTGCTGCTACCATTCGGAACTTGAGCACCATTTCCTCCAGTTTCTTGGCGCACAAATTGTTCAAAAATCTCAAAAGGATCGTGAAATCGAAAATGTTGAAAATGATTGTGGAAATGATTATTTTCAAAGTGATCTCGGCTCCGGTGTCGACTTGCACTGGAAGTCTCCCGTGATCTTGCTCCTGCCGCAGTTCCGTACTTGCGCTGATGGTCGAACTCTTGTTTCTTCTTGGCATCACTCAACAGTTCGTAGGCATTGGAAATCTTGGCAAACTTGGCATGGGCGTGTTGGCGACCCTCGTCCGTCGTTTGTTTGTCCGGGTGATTCTTCAAGGCCAACTTGCGGTAGGCCTTTTTGATTTGGGCGTCCGTAGCTTCTTCCGGAAGGCCCAGCACCTCGTAGGGATTGTCCCCATCATCCATGATGTGCTATTTCGAGTTAGGTATAGCAAAGAGGATCCGTTTCTAGCTTACAGTATTATGATTGTTATTACTGACTCTCAACCAAGATTCTGCTCTGTCCCTCCTATTGTCACCAGCCAGTCCAATGATTGTTACAAGAGCAATGCGTTATATATATATATGAAGTGCGTGTCTGCTAATGTAACCTATCCATTCGCCTCTCTTCACATCAAAAGTTTTGTGTGCAAATTGCCTTCGTATCGGTTCTCATTCTTCGCGGTGGATCGAATCGAATGATTATTACGTAGAAAATGTACCAGCGCAAACTGAAAGACACACCGAATTCCATAGAAGTGTATCCACCAGCTGGTTTTGAACAAATAATATTATTAGTGTAGGTTGATGTGCTTTCCAAGCTATAACCAGTATTAAATTGTTGACTGCATTACTAGTCTTCAATAGCTGTACAAACACTAGAGTTGATGATTGGTGATTCGTGTTTAGTAGAGTGCGTTACTATATCCAGACTCCTGCTGGTGTCTTCTTGCAACAAGAAGAATATAATTGTTGTGCTCCTGGGTACTATCTTGTTACGCATCAACCAGAGCCATGTTGTCTTGGTTCCACAAGACTATCAGGTCAAACAGTTATTGCTGACAGGTAGTCGCACTCGACATGCTCTTGGGTGCTATCGTGCGTATTCTTGTAAAGTATCTTTGGGGCCCATCATTTCGTTGCACCATTTTCGCCATTACTCCATTGTACTGATTTGGTGAAGACAAATCTCAGTCCAAACCTTTGACAGAAAATTGAAACAAATCAGCAGTAAAGAGAGTAAGCAACAGTATCAAATTTTACACCAAATGCCGATCAAATGAAGCCGACATTGCAAACTACAGTCAGTATAGGCTACAACAATGTTGTACCCCGTACCCCGTACGAATGTAGTCCGTGTGATCGAAACTTCAAGTGGACATAATATAAAAAATATTTTAAAAAATGTGGAATGAGAATTTCGAAATTTGGGCATGGCATCGAATCTTTGGAATAAGAACAACAAGGTGACCGCTACAGTACATTCCTCCTTTCATCCTCCTGTGTGCATTGACACTGCGCATGATACAAAAGGAAGGGCAATCATAAACATAGGTTGACAAACAACAACAAAAATAACAACAACAATGACATCGCACATTCATCAATCGCGTTACAAAGTAGCATTGCCAAACTGTGTTCGCAAGGTGGACATTCGCACCCATGAGGGGGTGGAGGCCATACTCAAAGAATCGGACTTTTCAAGAGAGTACGTTGCTGCCACATTGCAAGATGCCCTTGAGATACGAGCGAAAGAAGAATTGGATCAGGAGGACAAAATCTGTCTGTCTCAAGTGTATACGCTGATGCACTATCTTTCGATGAATTCTGACAAGGACAGCAATCTGTTGATGGAAGGAATCCGAGAATCAGATATCCGTCTATGGTTTGAAATTGCCATTGATGAAATCAAGAAACTGTCCGCCAAGCCAAGCTGGATATTGACTGGAATCCTAGATGATTACGAAGAGTCGGTCTTACATCCATGTGTTACCTTGTGCTGTCATCCGGTTCCTGTCAAAATTGCGTTTGAGGCGGAATTCTTTCACGCCTTGGCCAACTTTATTCGAGCCAGGAAAGGAGGAACTAGCTTACCATCACCACTGGTTTGCACTTCCATCAATGCCATGGTATTTTGGTCCTTCACTGTGGCTACCAAGAAACCCTTTGATCCAAAATGGTCCGACGAACAGTATTTCGATACCTTGGAGGAATGTGGGATGCTGGAGCAATTCCTTCGATGCGTCACGGTGCCACAGTTTCCGGAATCGGATACTTTAATGACCAGGTTGCTCAACTCGATCGCCTCTTGTCCCAATTTACTCCGAACCAAGTTCCAGGAAGGGATGCCCTGTAGAGACACTTTGCAGGCACTTGTGGATGGTAAAGACGGAAGCAAAACCGAACGTGCAGTCGTCATGGCTATACTTCATGGCATTCTAGGGCTAGTAGAAAGGATAACGCCAATTGACGAAAATGATCTTGTAAAATCGCAATGCGGACACTGTCGCGAATCAAGCACATCGCAAGAGTTTCAACGGTCACTTTTGCTTTGTTCTCGATGTCGTCATGCACGGTATTGTTCCAAGGAATGTCAGCGAGGTGAGTCCTCGGTCTCTTCTGCTCTTTTCTGTGTTGCCCTGGTTGTTGCTTTGTCATGTAGTTCTCTCATCCTCACCTCTACTCTACTATATTCATCCCTTTAGCGAATTGGAAGGAACACAAGAAAATCTGTGTCCCAGCTGCTACCAGCAAGTAGTACATTGACCATGCATGGGGACGAAACGAGATGGTATCTTTGCTGGGATCAGCAGAATATGGGATTTTTATCGGTGGGGGTTGTATTTTTTTTGAAAGAAACAAGAAAAATAAGAGAGTATGTATAGTTATCGACTGAAAAATAGTATCATTCAATATTCACAATAGTAAATAGTTACACAGTGAACCAGGTGTCGCCATTGGATATAGTATTTCCACTGCTTTCCAAGTTTATCCAAAAATGGCAAGAGTCATTCGTCCTAATGTTCTCAACACCTGGTATCATTCCGAAATGGAGTAGGAGTTGGAATAGGACGAGGAGGATGATTGATCCATTTCTATGAGCGGTGGAAACAGAGGCTCCTTCAAACAGAGGATTCTTCGCCACTAACGTCGCTGCGCTATATTCATCGTCCATGACCAGTATTGTTTCAGGGAGCATCTTGCTAAAGTCCTCGGTCGTAGCGTTCCACACTTTTGGCTTTTTCGTTTCATGGTTCTTGCCCAACCACGAGGGTATGTTGATTCTTAATACAGAAGTACTGTTGCCTTCTTTCTCCCTCTTTTTCATCCATTCATTCGAAATTGGGTGGCATTGTGTTCTCGAAACCAGGACACGAACTGAACGATCCCTTCCTCAATTGGAGTACTAGGATTGTAGGCCAGCAACCTTCGAGCCTTGGTAATATCCGCATAGGTGACTGGAACGTCTCCCTTTTGCATTCCCACCGAATCAATGATAGCCTCCGTCTCCACTTGGGATTCGACCAATCGTACAAAGTCGGCCAAAAGAATGGGCCGACCATTGCCCAGGTTGACCAATTCAGGTTGGCCGGTATTCACAAACAAGGAATTGACGACGCCTTGCACGATATCCCCCACAAAGGTAAAATCTCGTCTCGAGTTGCCATGATTGAAGACACGAATGGTTTCGTGATTGGAAATTTTGTCGGTAAAGATCCACGGGGCCATGTCGGGTCGTCCAAAGGGTCCATAGACGGTAAAAAACCGCAGGCCCACGGACGACAAACCATGCAAATTAAAGTAGGTTTGGGCAATCAATTCGTCACTACGTTTGGTAGCGGCATATAAGGATGCTGGATCTTCGAGTCGATCCGATTCTCGAAAGGGAATCTTTTCGTTGCCACCATAGACCGACGACGAAGACGCATAGACCAATGGTTGGTCGTGAATGCCACATTTCACCATGGTTTCGAGCAACCGCACAAAGCAATCGACATTGTTCCGTGTATACTCGTCCGGATGATCCAAACTGTATCGAACTCCTGCCTGCGCCGCCAAGTGGATTACACGGGTAATGTTGTGTGTTCGAATGGTGTTTTGGAGGGTGGCACTATCGCAAACGTCCGCGCGGACCATTGGGATGCCGTGTTGCTGCAATTCTTGTATCCGCAATTCTTTCAGGTCTTGACTGTAATACGAATTGACACTGTCGTATCCAATGGGATTCATGCCGATTGCCTTTAATTCCAATGCCGTAAACATGCCCACAAAGCCTGCAGCTCCCGTCACCAACACATTTGGTTTGTCGCCATTCGGTCCCTTTAATTCTGCCATTTTGGCTGGCGTCATTTTTGGTTTCAAACTATAGGTCTCTTGTGGATGTAATTTTCCCGAATGCATCATCATCAATCCCAATGGGCCACCTTGTTCCAATTCCTCCACCATTTGAGTTTCGGTTCGAAAATGCCAAAAGACAAAAAAGGAAAACGAAAGCAGAAACAAACGTTCCACCCAGAATTGATGCTTCATATAGATATTCCATAATATGTTATTGTTGTTTGACACTTTGTGGTGGTGGTGGTTGTGGTGGTTGCTGAGACTGCTTAAAGACGCCGTTGAAGGGGACCGTCTTTGGTGGTGAGACAGGATGGAGTTGTTCGAGGAAGAGGTGCGGCGACTGGACATGCTGGAAGATCGCACCGAAGCAGCCGAAGATCTGGAGGAGGGGCTCAAGCTCGCATCCGGTGCCACCATGGTTGTTGTGCAATTGCTGTTGTTGTTGGCAGAGAGAGTATGGTTTTCCCAGTAAGTTGTGGTTGGTTGGAAAGTGCGGGGTCAAAACGTATTTTTGTGGTTTCTAAATGCGGCCAGCTTTCAAAGGCGGCCACATTTCCGTTCGACCACCGACCGGACCGTCCAACGGAGATGCAATATTCGACTAATTTGACCCAAAATAAGAATACGAAAAGTTGGCCCGAATTCGCATAAACGAAAAACAGCAAG